GCCGCCGTATATGGGCCACCGTATATGGGCCACCGTATATGGGCCACCGTATATGGGCCACCGTATATGGGCCACCGTATATGGGCCACCGTAGAGTACATTGCGTTATGTTATTCAACCCAAGAATTAGTATGGGTGCGACAACTGATGAAAGACCTACAAATGGATTGCACTGCGGCTACGACCATACATGAAGATGATCATGCTACAATCGGTATCTCAAAGAATCCAGTACTACACAAGCGGACAAAGCACATTGATATTAAACACCATTTCGTGCGCGAGAAAGTTCAAGACGGAACACTCGAAATAAAGTACTGTCCAACCAAGGGAATGGTGGCAGATATTTTTACTAAACCATTACCTAGAGAACAATTTGAATATCTGCGATGTAAACTGGGACTTGTATAAACATTATGACATATTAGGGAGTTTTAGCAGAGCCTACGAGTACGACTACGAGTACGATTTACGTCATTTTGGGGCGAAAACATTGTTGCGACAACAACACGTAGCCGTCATCAATCTGAGTACGATGTTTTGTAAAAAATTCGTAGTCGCGACTACGATGTCTTTTTAAGCAAAGAAAGTAGGTATATTTCTTCATTCTGTAAGAAATTAGTTTACAGTACTATTTTCGAGCATCCAGGCTTTAATTTAGAACCCTTTTTGAGCGCAGATGTACATTAAAAAGGAAAATATGACCTGCAAAACTTTCATGTATTTCGTACGCAAAGTGAAAGGCAAACAAACAATAAAATAGTACAAATATATCGTACATAAAACTTAAAATAGTGAAGATTTTTCAGTCTAAAGAGTCCTATATTCTCGCAAAACCAGTATTATCGATTCTTTGATATCATTATTGACAAATAGAGCCGTAGCTGCTTCGCAAACGTCGGTGTTTTATACAATAAAAAGGCTCGTTCTGTTGTTTACAACTAAAGCAAAATTTTGACGAAGCGATAACGACAACAACCTTCCTCGTGCCATTCCCTTACACGGTCAAATTTCGTACTCGTTCTCGTAGTCGTACCATTGAGTTCTATAATAACTGGAGCGGCTATCTTTACTGGGGCGAGGTCGCCAAAAAAATGGCGGCCAACGGACGTATTTCCGCTGAAATGATCGCTTTGCAGAAAAATAATATTCTCGACCTCCCCCTGGTGTCTATAGTAAATTATAAAGAATTTTTAAAAAACAAACACGATATCACAGAATATGGATATCCTTAGTTCCATATTCTGTGACGATTCTTTTTTGGCATTTCTTTTATAATGCCAACACTTCAATCGTTCAATTGTTGGATGTCGTAGTTTCCACAAAAAGGAACATATCGCTTCTCACAGGTGAGGTAGTTGTTTGTTTTGTTAGTCCGTCAACGATTGAAAAGCAATTATACATGCACTTGAAATGCCATAAAATACATATTAAAGATCGTATTTTTTAAGACTGACTTGAACGCCAAATATACTGATGTTTTCCTGTTTTTGTCTATAAAATTCTGCATACTTTTCTGTCATTTGTTAATGCATGAAATCGTAAATTTACCTATCTATTTGCAAAATAGTTTCCTAAAGCAAAAAGACCCTGCACACATTTTGCTCTGTGAAAGTATCAAAAGAAATGATCAGCCCCAACAGTACCCATGATTTGGAGCAGAGCTTTTATGTTCTATTTGCTGACAACATGCAGGGAAGACCAAGGAGTAAAGATGACTGGAAGATGTTATTGACCAGGCAGAGTCTTAAAAATGATAATGCTGTAAAGATAATTGATTTATTGTCTGCCTTATCCAGAGTTATTTAATTTGATCATGGTCAAATTCTATGGATGGAGACAATGGATTCACTAATGATGCCTTGAATGCTTTGAAGTTAAAGTTCATGAACCAAAAAAAGATGGCAAGAAGGTTGTGTGTGTTTTGATCCTTAATTAAATGTCAATTCACAACATATAAAATGGAAAGGCCATAAAGTTTGTGTCTATGTAAACATTTGTACTGAGATTGATGATGACTCGATGCAGATGTGAAGCATCAAACTGTATAAGCCATTGGGTTTTATATAACTTAATGTTTAAATCATGTCATATCTTTATCAAAATATTTTAGTTGAGTGTTGTCTGAATGTTACTAATATCTAATGCACTATACTGAAGCATTAAAGATTCAGTGATGAAACCTTTAAAATTACTGTACTGTATATTTCTTATATATTTCTTATATTTCTTTAAGAAACAGTTTGAGCTTATTTACCTATTAGAGTACAGAATGGAGATTTATCATATGCATCATTGCTGCTTTTTTAAATAAATGTTTTTCACTTTTCAAAGCTTTTCTACAAATATTTTGCTTATTTCTTTTCATGAGATTGATGATATAGAGGTAATATAATCCAATAACTTTATAATTTCTAGAAAGCATTCATGTATGAAGAAAACACCAAATGTGGATACTCAGAGAACAAAATGCACTACCAACTGCTTATGAAATTTATTATTGAAGTGAAAACTGTGTTAATCATTCAAATTGTGCACTTATATTGAAAATATAGGAAAAACAAAACAAAGTGAAAAAGAAGGGTAGAAGTATTAAAACTAAAAATGAATTATAAACACCATTGGAAGCATAAGTGTTTTGATGATTATTTGGATTTTGCCCAATTTATATATCAATACAACAAAATCAAAATGTGCTACAACTTTACAAGTATTTGATGCAGTTGCACTTCAGAACATCACAAAAAGGTTACTTAAAGTAATTTCTATACAATATTGTTTGTTTTCATTTACCAAACCTATGCAGACTTGAGTCTTTTTGAAATTTAATATGAAACTCAATTACAGAAAATCCGTAAATATCCAGAGATTTAATATTTACTTTTTTAAAGAAACAAGTAAAAATCCTACAATTGTGGCGAAAAAAGCCATTGCCTTTCCACGAAAAGAAGCAAAATAGCAATGATAACAAATAAGCTAAATTCTCTCCCGTGAACCACTGTGGACATGAGCTATGATATACTTTTTTGTATAGACTAAAGAGTTTAATCGATCAAACAAGTTTGACGCTGGTAAGAAAACGACGCATATCTGCATTCATAGATGTGTAGCCGACATATAGCTCTTTCGTCGATAGTTATAAATACATCCTCGTAGGAGCCGATAACTGGAAAGCTAGGTTGACTCGCTGTGACGAATTGTAGGTTTTTATCGTGATTTTCATCAAAAAATTGCTTGCCGAATCCCAAATACACACATAGATTTTCTTCACTCTTTCCTCAGGAGGGAGTGGGAAATTGTGAAATTTTCGGAAAAGCGGTCAATTTCGGTAAATCTCAGCGGCAACGGACGAAATCCGCCATTTTTTTGGCGTCATCAGATATCTAAGGCCGCGCTTAAGATAGCCGCTCCAGTTATTATAGAACTCAATGAGTCGTACTCTTGCTAAAACTCCCTATTGAGTGAGTGAGAGTGATGTAAATTCGACTCAACAGTCTTCATTACGTTGTTATGAAGTATTACCTACGTTTAAGTTTATATCGTGGGCGCATGTGTACGTTCGCACAACGTTCGTTGTTCTTTCCTTTTATTGTAATAAAACTTACCTTTATGTTTGAAGTGTTTTCTCTGCTGAAATATATCGTAATACGAACATTTTCTTGGTGCAAGACTGTCATCCACATGATTAGCTGGTGCTTGTTCACCTTATATCTGAATCAAACCATGGGAACCCATTGTGGGGACTTCTATCATCCAACCATGTGGTCGTTGTGGACTTTGCGTCCTGTACATTACAGCTAAAGTCACCTTGTTGCGTGTGATTTGGCTTTGCTGTTTGCTTACTGCAACCTTTATTCTCCTTGGCCGGATGTATTGGACTCTAATATGCAGAGTGTGTTTCATCATTTCGTATCTGCACTATTCTCACGCAGCACGATCTCTGCGTACAACATTCGACGACTTCAATCAGTCCATCACCTCCTTGTCAACACCTGGTTGAGTCTTATGGCTGTTGTAAAGATGACTCAGGGGTCGTTCTTCGGTTGAATGGCTCATCGCATCTTAGTTATGTCCCCTCAAAGATACTCGCACCCAATCTCATTGACACTGTGGAACGTTCTGCCAGTCAACAACTGTCGGCGCATTGACCCTCCACGTCTGGGGGTTCTCTCCTTTGTTGGTGATTAGTGCACTCAGTCCACGATACGGCATACACCATAGTTTAAGCATAACAAGTAAAAACCCTCATACACTGATTTTCATCACAAATTTATAACGTAAAGGCTTTGTAAAGCCAAGGCAACATTCGGCTAAAAGACGTAATCATATTTTCCTTAAGTTGCAGCCAACATAGACAACCGTGCGACAAAATTAGCCAAACGGAACCAATGGCTATTGCCGATAACTTATTTTATGCAAGTTTCTTTCTAATGCATACATATAATAATTTGTACTGGATACGCCGTTTTTTTGGACAGGTTGTCCCAAAAGAACGGAACCCGCATTAATAAATTATGAATTCACTGAAATGATTATGCAAATAATATACCTAGCATTCAAGACAGTTCGATGAATTTGACAGTTTTGTACCTCTGTAAAAACGAAAGCCTTTCACTGTAAGTAAACAGTAAAAGCCTTTCACAAAGCGTCAAACATACAACACGTTAACTTCTTAAAGTCCTCTTTTTGTACACCAAGCACTTTGTATATGACAGCTATAAATTTAAGTATAAAAAAGCTAAAAATTTGACATTTTTGCTCGATGTGAAAATTGAAATTAGTTAAAAGCAATTAGCCATGGTAACAATAGTTTCTTTCAATTAAAGCTCCACGGAGAAAGAATATTGAATAGATTTTGTTCCGTTTTTTATTTCCAAGTTTGAAAAGTGAGGCAAAATAGTAAACTATCGGTTAAAAATTGCTTGGTTTGTCCGGTTGTTTTCGCAATTCGTTCTTGCACTTGTGGAAACGTAAAAAAGATAATAAGCAAGGAAAGAAAATGTCGATTCTTACTTTCTTTACAAGTAAAACTACAACTTGTCTTATATATTACACAAATAAATATATTCAAATATGGCGGTTCAGTTATCCGTAGCTACCAGGTCCAGGCAAGAGTAAGCCAAAACACGCATTATCAGGTTGCCATCTGAACTTTGACCGGAGTTTGAGCGTAGAAAGCCTTGCAATAATTAAGAGATGTTATGCACCTTGGCGTCTATTCATACTAGTTTTACAAAACACATTCCATGCTTGATTTCTTTCCTTTTGGTTTTTATAGTCTTGGAATCAGCATTACCTTCACGTAACCTGTTTAAAACGAGAATCATGTATTCACGATACTGAGACAAACAACTCTGAATATTTCAATGAAATAAAATAATCTGCATTTCTCCTTAGAAAAAGCTCACGTCAGTAAAGACCTGAGCCTAAATATGTATGCTTTCCGATTTAGTGAATCAGACGATAGCAATGAGCACTGAGTATTCGTCGTTTAGATTTATCATTTTTACAGCATATTGTATTTCATTACACTTCAAACCAATCATAAGCCCTGATCATATTGGTAGATACCGCACCAAGTCCAGATACAATCGTCCTTAAAGTAAGTTGGTCACACGTGGTGCATACATATGTTATATCCCATAAACCTCAGCATTGGTTGATTTCATAAACTCCTTAATTAGTATTTAATTGCGCGGGTTTGTTCATGTAGGATGGAGTAGTGGATACCGATAAGAGAAAAACACAAGTGAAGGAAAGAAATTATCAGACACATGATATCCAAACCACAAAACTTTTTTACGTCATTTGACGTGAGCCGTCATGTTAATGGTTATCTCAAAGTTCCGAAATTAAGATTGAAATTTCTAACGTCCACTTCTTAAAAAGGCAAGAAATGCGCTAGAACTGACATGTTTACAAACATTTTATCAAAATAATCGGTATTCAAGATTTGTTCAGGGACTTTCAAGATCTTGAATTATTTATTAAAACATCCTAGGACATCCATGCACGTATTGTACGAGCCCTGATTTTGATGAAAAATAGCTGAAAAAACCTGCATACAGATCAGCTACGATCGTTTCAAATATACTTCTGTAGTTGTGTTAGTGGAGAAAATCCGTGGAGATTTATGAACTTATAGATGTACTTTCGATTGTAATCGATGATCCACTCACCACTAAGCGATACGTACGAAACAATTTTTGACAGTGGAGTCGACCTAATTTAAGAAATGCACAAAAATAGTTGTACCTTCTAAGACTGGCCGTATTGGCCGAGCCGAGAATGAGAAAAAATAAAGTCTTTTCCGGAAGTTCTTCGTTAATCTTGGCAATGTTTGCGTCAATTTGTTGTAACGAGTGCTGAAAATACAAAGAAACTGTCTGGACTAAATTGCACTAGAGTTTAATATCACGTTATTCGATAAATTTTAAACGATGTCAGGTTATATTTTCAAGAGAGTAGACATGAAAGTATGTCGTTTTACTTCAATATCTTCAGCATTGACACTTTTCACCAGGTCCATTCCATGTAATTGTGACCATATAAATTGCCTCTTAGAAAGATTATTGACAACATTCCTCACAACCTTTTAATATAAATTTTATGATAATATCACGTGGTGAGATGAACCAATAACAAGATCATCGTGTACTTCAATGTGAACCATTAAGGATAAACTATTCTCGTCGTATAAATCTACACTTAACAAAACAAAAGCAACACAAGCATATAACGTAGCGAATTTTCGACGTGAATAAGTAGATTGAACAGAAAATAAAAATGTAATGCTATTCTTTCAGTAAATATGGCTTTAATAGTTTGAAGCGGAAGCTTACGTCCAGTCAGGGTAAAGTCACACATTATAGTTGTTTTTCCATAGGCCGTGAGTGGAGAGATTGGGACTAGTGGTACTACTGGCTTCAAATCCGGCCTACCAGCATATTAAGTTTAATGTGATCATTTTGCGACAATGGCCCCCAGGGTGACAATATTTTTCTGGGGAGGGATAGGGCACAAATCTCGTGACACCGAGTGATTTAACTCCGTCATCAACACAAAAGTAATTACGGTCATTTTTGTTGGAAATTGCATTGAAGCAAAAAATTGAATATTTCAACGACTACCTCCTCATCATTAAAACAGACCACGCAATCGGCACATCCCGAATGCAATGTTATATTTGACTTCGTATCCACCATTACCCCTGAAACATCATGTATGTATTTGGAGAAATATATAAAACCATCTGTGTTCAACAAACGTCACCATTTACAATATCAAGTCCAACTCATGTTTGTAACAATCTCATTTTGAAGCACTAACCTTTGAACGGATGAACCGATTTCTCTTTTAATTTGTCAAAAATACTAAGTAAAAAAGTTTAAAAATAAAGTATAATTACCAATTTATATCAATAAACAATTTATATTCAAACAAATCATTTTATTTCATACGTACAAATTCATATACTCAATACAATTCACTTCATGGCACTGATAAAGGAATCGCACCTTATTTCATCACGATTGTCGTCTTTTAAGCCAAAATCAGGACCTGCAAAAAATGCTTGCTTCAGCACACAGTAGCACGAAACCGAGCCTGGATCTCACCTGAGACTAACCCATATCTATATCTGACCGAGAATCTACAATGTTTATGGCGTCCCAAGATAAACCTAAGTTGTTGTTCTGGATATTAGGATGGGGTAAGGTCATTGATATGATAAAATTATACCAGAGTACCTGGGACTAACCACAAACTGTGTTTTTCGCACGGCAGTCTGCAGGGGTTAACGCCACAAAACTAGGAATTAAAAGGTCGGGTGTAGGCCTAAAGTGTAAACTTAGCCTGAATATCAGCTCATAAGATTGCTTCCATGCAATTCAACGTATCCACATAGCACAACAAATACGATATGGCAGGAGTAAGCACAAGGAATGCATGAAAACATGAAGCAAGTTCCCTACGCTAAGCTCTTTTAAAACTGTTCACAAAGCAAAGATGATGCGTAAAAACTGTTGATCTCATGCATCCAGCTATCAGGGACAACTCTCTGAATATATCAGCACCAAACCTGTAGACTACACTTGATAGAACACGAGCTTGCTAAGGCTCTATCATGCTCAAAAAATCGACAAAAAAAAACAAGCGGTTGCAGTATTTGTATAGTGGTATTTCGAAATGCAAATAGTTCGCATGTTTTCTGAATCATTATCTCTACTCTTCTTCCTTTGTACCGAAATCACCATCATAACAAAGATCTTGAAGATGTGAACGTTATTTCACATAACTTACCCAGTAGGCATAAGAAGGTCGAATTCACACATCGGAATTAAAAATTTTTTCAATCTAATCAGGGGTGCGATTATGTTAGCATGCACGAGTTTCGTCGTGAAATGAAACAAATTCGATGAAAAAATATGATAACCAACTATGTACATTAATTAATTCAAATACCTTTAGAGATTTTAAGTTGCACTAGTTGCATACACGTACTTGCATCTTCAATCGAGCAATGGCCACCAACGTTATCTTGAATTTTTTTTCTAAATCAACAAAATCAGATGGCAAGATGCTGAAACATGAATGATCTGATGTTGAAACTCAAGTCTTGGAATATTCTATCATTCATTAGGTGTGATCTGATGTGACCTACTCCATACTAATGTCCTGGTTAGGAGTGATCTGATCATAAAACTTATGTTCTTACACAGTCCAGTTAATAGTTTCCATCAGTATTGTTCTATTATATAATCATCATATATTTCAATCGGGTGTCTTTATCAACCTTTATCATATATACTAAGAATAAAACATATTCTAAAATGTCACTATGAAAACAACTGTCCCTTTTTCTTTGTCTCAAATATTGAGTAAAAATGGATCATTTATTTTTATATTAACTTGTAAGGACAAGTGGACTTTCACCATTATCTTACTTTAAGTATTTCTTTGCCAGATTTTTCAGACCTGGTTTAAAGCCACAACCACGAAAATCATCATAGACCACGGACGTATCGATGACTTTATTGTGAAAAAACTTCAAAAAAAAAAAAAAACACAATTAATGAGTAAGAGACGTCAGAAAAAATTCAATTTGCACATCGAAAAATTTGAAAAGTGCATAAATAAATTTTCAAACTGTGTATTTTGAATTAAACAAGCAACATTTTCGGCAGAAAATTTAAAATCAAAATTAGTTTTGTCGCTATAGATTTAGAAATTCTTTCATTATTTACTACAAATCTGCAATGCATTTTTAAATTTAACAAAAAATTTAACATTAATGTCATATATTTTATTAAATATTAACATTAACATTACATATTTTATATTATTTCTGCCTATTTTTGAAAAGCATATCCTTTGGAAAGATCATTAGCTTTGATATTTTCATGCAATACTACAGGAAGATTTCAGTGAATGAATAAACCTTTGGATAAAGGTGAATAAAAAAGAAAACGTTACCACTGGCTAATAATGTCCAAGATATAGAATCTGTATTTTCTTTTATACATTGTTTGTAATTTGGCAAGTATAAAGTTGAGCATTCATAAAAAATTGATCTATTGCGAAAACTGTTGTTTAATACAAAATGAAAGACATAGCTATATTTACTTGAAGGCAAAGAAAATCAAATTCAAGTGAATGACCAACAAGTATTGCATCAGCTGGAATGAGTTTTTTCATCATCTCTTGAACATCTTTTAAAGTCGTCGAAACGTCACAAAGATCGTCTTTCGATATACCACTGTACCTTAGATGAATGGAGAAAAACAAAGATGTATCAACATCGTATGGCCGTCATCCATAGTTGATATGTCACTCAATAGCGTAGCCAGCCCGTATGTTATGGTCCTGCCATGTAAATTTTTAAAAATTATCATTAAATATTAATTTCTTAGGAAATTTATATTTTTCAGTGAGATATTGAAGAAAAATTTAAATTGCAGAAACAAATTTGCAAGTTGTTTACGTTATTGATCCTACTCCCCTTAAAGCGAAAATGTTGAAAAACATCTGTAGTACTGATTTTTTGCGCTTTTAAAAAGATTACGAATTCCTAAACCAAAGTTTTGAGCAATTTCCTCACTTGTCTTTCAAAACCTTTCTTCAATGATGAAAGACCCACAATTTAGAATAGAACATTTTCAAGTGCTTCTACTCAATGTTTGCTCATGCAGTAGTGTAAACTAAACCAATGTTTTTACCATAGCTACACATAAAATAAGACTTTATTTTCTGCTCCTTTTGCACACGTAAAACCTTTATGAAATCCCCTAGTGGCAATCTCTTTGAAAGTCGGATAAAGTAGCCGGATAAGCAGGAATGCAAAATTCTTTATTTTCACGAAAACATTTTCCGTGTTTCTAAATAGTTATAGAAATTGCGTGGCAAGCATGAGCACGAAGTGCGAGTGTTTTCAAACAATTTCTAGCATCTCCCAAACTTCCACAAGTGTTTCTATAAATCAATGAGAACAAGTTAACATGTTTTCTATTTCTTTTATAAAATAGCCTTTGAAAAACATACATTTTAACTTTTAAAGTCTTCCTCGCAAAACACGAATCCTGCGAGACTTACATATATAGAAACGCAGGTGTTTCGAGCATTTGAACAATCAGCGCCCGTGTTTTTAAAAGGTTATTTTATTACAAGCAGCTACTGCTGCACACATAAGTTTGCCCTGCAAAAAATAAATTCTAAATCTAAATGCAATTGTCAAGGCGTAAATCTTTATTATCTGTCTTATTAGGACTAAATGTCTTCAGTAAAGCACTCGAAAAGCATAAAATTCGTAAGTATATCTTTTACATTTCACAATAAACTTTGCTAGACGGAAATGTTGATAAAATCAATGACAACAAACTGATATGTAACCTCTACGCCCCAATCCCCCATTTTTCTATAGTTCGATACAACAGCCTATAATAACCTTGCAAGTACCATGCGACAATGTCAAAGAAACATTAATAAAAACAAAAAATAGGCCAAACCTGGTTAAATAGTCAATAATTGGCAAATCAGGTTTAACCAGACTGTCATAAACGACCTTACACGATGAATTGACGATCGAAATCCGAGTGAGCTCTTTCCCAATCGACGTCATGCACTATACAATTGGTGAATATTTAAAACTTACATAGCTAACATCTTTCAGAATGGTGCTAAGGAACAAAAAGTCAAACATTTGAAGAGAAAAAGGCCATTTTACCATTTCACAGTCAATAGCAAACATGGGACTTGAAGCAGTAGCTTCTGTCGTTGAACTCAGTGGAATTGTGACAAAACTTTCTGCATCTAAAAAAAAGAGGAATCTTAGAACAATCTTTATAATTTCATCGCATTATCTGACAGTAAAATACAAGTTCTTAAAAACAGAAAACTGGATGTAAACTATTTAAGGCGGCAAGAACTAATTTCCATGGGTTATGTTACCGAAATACTATGCACGTTTGCGGTAAACAGGTTTACACAAATCTTTTAAGAAAAAATGTAACCATAAAGTCTAAGCCATTAAAAGTTCTTGTATAGGCACAGTTTTGCGTGGGTATTTTATGAGCATACTATAAAGATATTTAGTAATTATTGCTGTTGAAAAGTAAGCATTACCAAGATTTTATGTAGATTTAAAACAATCGCAAGGTAGCTATGGATACGTTTCTGCAGTAATCCATAATCTTTATAACAGCATATGTGCATAAGACTCGAACTTGTGTGCTTCAGTAGTCCATGTTTTTCTCTTCCATTAAGGACTTAAACCTTCAACATTCATCCATTGTACTTCATAACAACATGTGGAAATATGAGATCACACTAATCTTGCTGCAGTGTATTACTTGGATTATTAATTTGTGTAGCTCATATATATGAGCTGTGTCTTTCTACGTCAATAAATACAACATCTTAGTTTATTTGAGGGCTTAGCGAAAAAAGTTACGTGCACCAGGAACATACCGCAACACACATTTCCTCCTGGTTGTACTAACTGTAACCAGACAATTACGTTTTTATCTCAAAAGTCATTGAGATGTGAACATATGCACTTGAAACTTTGCTGCATCACAAAATATAAAGACTCCATAGAAAGCAACTGAAGACACACAAGTTCGTGTCACACAGAAGAGTCTTTCATAGAAAAAACTCAAACAATAGTGTGCATGAAAGGCACATTGTTGTCACAAATTTTCACACAACACTAGCCACATCTGCCACGAGCAATGAAATTTTATCTGTAATTTCAGACCCTTAAAAGTGCTCTTTCGAAGCAGAGATCATTCCCTTCTACACTTCTAACGCACTTCCTCCACAAAAGTCTTTAAAACATTTAGTCCAGGACCCGTGCAAGAGTTTGTATGGACTTTCTTTACCGGAAGTAATCCTAACTGATTCAAAGTAAAATGACCATGAATGTCGACATGGCTTTACTTACAGTACTGAAGTGCATAAGTATTAACAGGATTAATTTTAGGGAAGGTCATCGAAGGAACATGGACTACTGAAGCACACAGGTTCGAGTCTTATGTACATACACTAGGTGCCAAAAAAATGAGTCCAGTTCCAATATTGGAACAATTGTGGGAAAAAATGTGTCTTTTGAAATATATAGTTACAGTAGCCACTTGAAAATACGCAGTGAGACCTGAAATTGTCTCCCACAATTGTTTGCAAGATATTTCACAATATCTAAGCGCATTGGCAGTACATTGGGAAATGGCTAAAGATTTAAGTGAAAGAGTTAGAGGACAAATTGTTGCTGTCACTAACGAAGGTTACTCACAACGAAATGTTGCTGCAATGCTGGGAGTGTCCAAAGGAGCTGTGCAGCGAACCGTGGGAAGATTTAAAAAGACGCAATGTTATTCCAGCTTACCAAAACCTGGGAGACCACGTATAACAACAAAAAAAGAAGATCAGTTCATAAAGCTAAGTTCTTTGCGCAACAGACGAGCAACTGCTAGCAACATTCAATCGTCAATTAACGCCACCCGAGAGAAAGCAATCAGCAAAACAACAGTAAGAAGGAGATTGGCTGCAAGTGGTCTGAACGGAAGAGTTGCAGCTTCCAAGCCGTTGCTTCGCCCGATAAATAAGCGGAAGAGATTCTTATGGGCCAAAAAATACAAGCATTACAGCGTAGACAATTGGAAAAAGTACTTTTTACTGATGAATCAAAGTTTGAAATACATGGAAATAATCGCCGTGTTTATGTGAGACGAAGATGTGGTGAAAGATTGTCAAGTCAGTGCCTCAAGTCAACCGTGAAGCATGGGGGTGGAAACATTCAAGTCTGGGGCTGTTTCAGCTTTAATGGTGTTGGGAGTCTTTACAGAATAAAAGGCAATCTTGACAAAAAGCAATACCAAGCAATATCTGGCAAAAGGTTATGCGGGAGAGGATTTACCTTACTTCAGGATAACGATCCGAAACACAGCTCCAACTTGCGCACAAATTATTTAAGGAACAAAGAAAGTCAAGGTGAATTGAAGCTCATGGCATTTCCGCCTCAATCGCCCGATGTTAATCCAATTCAACACTTATGGGATGAGTTAAAAAGAGAAAAAGTGAAACATGACGTAACAAGCCAGGACAGGCTATGGGATGTAATCTCTACATGTTGGCATAATATTGAACCATCTACACTTCAAAATCTTGTTAAATCTATGCCAAAAAGAGTTGAAGCCATTTTGAAAGCTAAGGGAGGACATACCATGTACTGACATTGCTTTTTCGAGAACTTAAAACCTAACATTGTTGTGACAGAGTGGTGATATGGTTCAAAACTAAAAATATGCATTCGATATTTAGTGGACTCATTTTTTTGGCACCTAGTGTATGCTGATATAAAATTTATGGATTACAGCAGAAACGTTTCCATAGCTACCTTGCGATTGTTTTAAAATGTACATAAAATCTTGGTCATGGTTACTTTTCAACAGCAATAATTAACTTTTACCAAGAATATGACCATGAATCAGCACTGCATTGGCAAGCATAATTTGCATAAAATAAAACATATATTTGGCAGAGATTGAATTTTTATACTTTAAAGGAAAAAAAACATACGAGATAAAGCTTCAATTTGAATCACTCTTAAACGCATTGAAAATCAACTGCGAAAAGAAGACAAAAGTCAGCTAATATATTCAGGGCTTTTGAATAAATCCTACTTAAATTGGAGAACACTTAAGCTCTAGAAAGCCTATTTTCATAACTGTAAAATACTTTACAATAAATAACTTGTTATTGGATAGTCTATACTTTGGTAAAATAGTTAAGACGTAATGGTGTGTTTGTGTGTGTTTGTGTGTGTGTGTGTGTGTGTGGGGTAGGGTGAATCATATTCACAAATTCATATTTTGTCTATCAGCCTGGCCACGGTACTGTCTATAACTTTTTATCTTTTAGTTTGAATACGAGCTTCAAAGTTCCAAAATAATTGTTGTTCCTGAAAAACTTGCTAAACAACTGCTCAAAAACACGAATTGAGCTAATTAACTCAGTCTCAATCTTCAAACACCTACCATGCACGCCATATAAATTTATGGACATTTATAAGATAGTCAACAGATGGTTTGCAAAGAGCGCAACAATATATCAAAGTTCAAATAACCCCTGCATGCAGGAAGAACGAAAATCGAAGAGACTGAAAAGCAAGGGAGGACATTCATTCATCTCCGAGTTCGTAGAGCGGATAAAAGTGAAAAAGGACTTGCATATTCAATCACTATAATTTGAAAAGTGGCGAATTTTGAAAACCCTAAATGATCTAACAAACGCCCAAGGTGTTTGGGTACAATGGGGGCGTTACAAAGATACGAGACATTTACATTAGAAGAAATTTACAACAAATTCTAGCAGTTCTGGGGGTTGCGCGTCAAACAGATGAAAGGTGTTAAATAGAGAGAGGGGTTTATGTCAATTTGAACAGATGAAAACAAACCTAAGACTAAATATAATATTTCTTAGTAATCAGCAACAATATTATAATAACAGCGTTTACGATAGACGAATATGTTGTGGCGTTTATAATAGACGAAGCGTTCATTAGAGTGTCTCATACTAACTCAGGTTTCAACCAAGGGATGGGGGCGTTACAAAGATACGAGACGTTTATAAGATAGGGGGCGTTTATGGGATATATACGGCATCTACTTTCTAACAAGAACTTTTCTAATGCACTAGTAAGCTCTTAAGAGAAATCAGAAAAGTAAGTTACGGCAAAACGTCCTTCGTAGTAATGCAGTGATAACCCAGGTTTCGTAACCATAACTTTTGACATTATAATTAAATTATCCCCGCCCATCGATTGGTTAAATTTATTGATTGCAAATTCAAAACCGAACTGTAATTCATTTTGCCTAACCCTAGATTCCCTACCTGTAGCAGAATAAAGTAGTAAATTGAAACTAGACATATACCAGTCTAATTTCTTCATCAGGAGTGATCTGACATTGTAACATGACTTCTTATATACTCCAGTCTAATGTCTTTATCAGAAATCTTTATTTTCTCCATCTAGTTTTCACATTAAGAGCGATCTTCAACTGAAACTTAAGTCCTTATAAACTCTAGCGTATTCATCAGAGATGACATCAAAAGTTTTACCGGATTACGTGAGTAGTTGAAAGTACTATTACCTTGTGAAATACCAGGAATAAGATAATGATTTTTTATGAGATCATTTTCACTCAAGATAAAATCCTTGGCATGAAGATAAAGAGGTTCAGTCTCCCCTAAGAAAGACAAATGAAAAGCTTTAGCTATGGTAGTATGACAAAACTAATAGATTGGTTTTAACTAACTCTTGGCAGGTTCTGTGACTTTTTCAATGACAGTCAGCAATGAATCTGTTGGAGATTCCATGAATATTTGATGGCCATAGTTTTGAAAAGGAAACACCTGAATACGAACACAAGCATAAACCCAATGAACGAAAAACATTTTCAATAAGAGCGCTGTGATAAGATAATGACCTAGTGAAAATCTTGAGTAGGTTCCAGTGCGATCCTACAGGATCCTAAAAAAGATCCTGTAAGATTCTGCTGTGTCCTAGTTACTTTTAATTAAATTTTAGAAATTAAAGGATCCTAAATAAGATTTTCACCGGGATCCTACTAGATAAGATTTTCATCAGGATCCTATACATGATTTTCACCAGGGAAAATACACCCATCAAGAAATGCATACTTAAAACAACACATTTGGTATGGGATGTTAAACGTCCCAAGGTTACATGAAGTATCTCATACATAACACTGACATATGTATAATATGTGATATGGGAAAAAACTTACGTAACTTGGTTACGTAAGGTCCATGGTTGATATGAAAAAGCTTGAACATTTTCAAAAATGAGCCCCAAATATGATTGTAATTATAGAGGGTCATCAATCCATTTTGTACGTATTTATAATTTTCTTAATTTAAAACACTGCCCTCATCTTTCTATGCAAATGTACAACATTCAGCCTTCATCCCTTCCCTTCATATAAAAACATATAAATTATCATATCTTGCAATCTGTGGAGCTGGTAAACAAGGGAATGAAAATGCAGCTGCCCCGCCCCATTAATAATCTCCATATTAAGGATTTCCCATACACGACTCAACCATTAGAACCTCCTAGAACTCTATAACTTATAGAAAACCTTATTTTTAACAACTAAAAAATACTTCACACAGCCAAACCTCACAACTGCCACATCCTTGCCTTTCTAGAAGCATTTCTCATTAAACTTAACAAACCATTTTTAGCACTGAACTAAAAAATGGTGAAAAATTACAACTTTTTGCTTAAAATAAAACACACTCGGGTTTGCACTTTCACATTTTCTGATGTAATATCACACTTTCTTCAGTTAAGCTAGTTTAGGTAAACTATTCATGTCAATAATCTTTTACATACATACATATGTACCAATTTTACAGTATGCTTTCTAAAGGAAACAAAATTAAATTCCAAAATGCCATTCACACAAAACAAAGCTTAGCAGCCCACTTCTGTACAGCACACAAAAATACACATTGGCTACACACCCTCTCTCCGTACCAAATTAACTAAATTTGGAAAATTCAAATTCAACTGAAATTTACCTTAACATGTGATCTTACCACATTAAACATTTTATTCAGATTTGGAAAGCTTGCTCTAAATTTGCTGAAGAGTTTTGCAGAGATATGTTTACACAAGACTACAACAACTCTAGATACTCTTGATGGATTTAATGTCACCCAGTTGGGTAAACATATATTCTCTGGACCCATAAAAGTAAATAATATTAGCTTCTGAATATCTTTGATGGATGGATAATCTCCCTGGATGCTTTGCATGTCCACAGAGAATGGTTCCTAAGTAAAATAAGGTCAAAATTAGCAGTGAAAATTTCATTCATGATATTATATCATGCAGCTTGTATACATGATATGTCCAGTGGAGAATGTCAAAGAAAAAAAATTGGAGCATGATCTATTTTCTGGGACCAACTTTGCAGTGTTTTTGTATTTGATATAAAAGACCACGTTTTGTGTGCTCTAACAATTTTGGGGGCTGACATTCAGTACACATTTTCCAAAAAACGCTAGGAAGTGGCAAAGCCTTTCTCCTTGCACACATCCTTAATGCAGGGTCTGAAATTTAGATTTGCGCAGATACTGAGAGCATTAACAATTGGTCAACAATCTGAACAGCAAATCTGTCAATTGTTAATAAACTATTAAGCAGCATTCCTGAACTGTAATTAAAATGCAAAGTTGAAGTCACATGTACTTTTAAATTTTGCAAAGGAACTTCTACATTAAACATAAAATGATGCAAAGCCTAAGGATTATGTTGTATATGACAATGAAATATGAAAACTCAACTTCTAAAGGATACTAAATTCTAAAACCCAGGTATCCATGAAGCTATTTACATATATTATACATTTTAGACCCTGCTAAATGTGTACATCTACATGTGTTGAACATGAAATCTTTATTGAGTATTATGTCTTTGAAATCTACATTGACTAGCTACGTACATTATTTAAGTTTCTGCATGATCAGCTCTAATGAATTCACCACTTCATAAGCCTCATAAAGAGCTCAAAGAGAAATTAATTTTGGATCATGTCATGTTTTCTGGATACTAAAGTTTTTGCAAACAGGGACACCCCACATTTTTGTTTAAGGTCAAGTAAAATATTTGCTTATGGATATTGTTGATAACCTGTTCAGGCTGTTCATTCATCTAAAATTTTTGGAGGAATCAAGCTCAACTTTTAGGATAGATTTTGCAAAAATCATGACTTATTTTAGGTAGTGGACTGGTATTATACAGAATGCACATCGATTCAGTAGCAAAAAATTGCCAAACAACAACATTTGCAACAACATTTTACATGACTAATGATTTAAATACTAACAGCAGATATCTGCATTTCCTCCTTATCAACATTAAGCTTTTCCTTTTTTCTCTTCTTTTCTCGTTTCGTCTTTTTCTCTTTCTTCTTTCCTGGACGAAAATCATAAAATACCTTAAGTGAACAGCTCATACTATAATTTGTAGATCGAATTAAAAACGAATAGTGGAATATTACATACGTTTGCTTTGTTTACAAGCGTCATTTGCAGACAAGATACTCCTATTTTTGTCCTTTTCCTATATTCAAGATTATTTGTGAGTCACCAAATTAAATATGATAAATTCAAAAAAATCAAATTACTCATACTTCCTTCTGGTCCATGATGATTTTGCGGTACACTGACTGCAGGTTTCTTACAGGAGTTTACAGGAGTTTACCGCTTTTAAAATTTAAACTTCAACGCCCAATTATTAGATAGTAAAATGTGCAATACCATTTCCTTATTGAAATATATTCGCTTGAAAATTTGCACAATTAACGAGTGAATTAAAAAACATTTATTTCTTCTGTTTATTTTAACGTTTCTTATCAAATCATTCAAATGAATAATCTAATAAACGCCAGGGGCGTTTAATAAAATAACTGATGGAAGATGGAAGATGGAAGAGAGAGGCATTCAACTTCTAAGTCATTGCATTTGCATGGCTTCTACCAAGTTGGTGAGTTTAGAGTGAACAAATGAACACAAGACGAAAATTTAGATTTACTGCAGTAACGTAAATCTCTCATTCATTCCTGGCAGCTTCGTCAATTTTTTACCTGCTGTATAATAGCTGTTTTCTTGACGCATGTGAAATATTTATCGTCTATACAATTGTCCTGTCCGTAATAATGTTGCTGACAGTGACGGTAGAAAGATACTTGGCTTTGGTTCATCCGTTTCTGCATCACAAACTCGTAACGAGACAAAAACTGTTCGTCTTTCTATCCCTGTTGCATCTGCCATTTATTTCAGCATACATATTTCATTTTGCATTTTTCATTTCGCCCTCCGAATTCTTGTTTATTATTTTTGCTGCATTATTTTCACTGAAATTCCTCGCAATTTTTTCTATGAATTTTAAAGTATTGCGTATTGCAAGAACACAACAACGCCAAGTGACCGTTAATTTGGGCAGTTTTAATTACGCTGAACATCACCAAACCAGAAACTCGACAAAATTTACACGAGGAAAAATTTCCACTTGCTTTTTCGTAGTTGTGTGTCTGTGTGTTTGCTTTGTTCCCACTATAACCTTCGAGATGATCTAGACAGTAAAACAGTTACACAAGAACGAAGACAGTATAGAAATGAGAACTTTTGAAAATTGGAATTACATTTTAATAACTCTGAACTCAAGTTTAAATTCTATAATATTCTTTTACAGAAATAGCGCATTGCGTCATTGTGCAAAAACATTCATTGGTAAATACTTTTACTAGATACAATGTATAATGTATTGTTTGAGAATAATCGAGTGAAATAAGGTTATTTGAGAAGAAAATTTTCCGATAAAGAAGATTTACATGCAAATTGCTCCATGTAATCGGCCCCTAAAGCATATTCTCAATTTCTCACCACAACGAATAGAGAAGAAAATAAAATTGGTGTTGGAATTGTTTTAATTATTGGACGAAATAGCACAATATATCTGCCTTTTGGTGAATCAACTCAAATTTGAGAATACTCAAGCTCTCCAAAGCATATTCTGGCATCTGTTAATGAGTTTATAATAAATAATAAAAAACACGATATTAAAGATATGTTATCCAGACCAGGATCTATAAACATAGTATGCTATAATTGTCATGACATAAGTAGGGAAGCCGGACAAAATTCATTAACACATAGTCTGCCATACTTAGGGCCTGTTCATATGAGCCTGGTTGCCGAGACATCTTGCCTACTACCAATGATCTTGCTTGGCAATAAATTTACTATTATTATTTAGTTCGTGTTCATATGAGAAAGCGGGCTTGCCCGGTTGCCAAATCTGGGCTGTTGAAGACGAGATCATGGGTAGGTGGGAGGAAAATTTTCCATACGAACTGCCATGTGAATTCTTAATTCGCGGCATTTGGGAAAATGTTGTTTTGCTATTTGGTCTCAGCTGGCGGATTTGAATTCCTCTTATGAAAGCGAGGTAATATTTGGCTCGCTTAATGGGATGTCTCGCGAACCGGGCTCATAAGAACAGGCCCTATACTCATTTTAAATCAAATGTTTTTATTCATCATTTCAAGTGCATAGAAATATCCCTCGCTGACTATCGAAACCAGCAATGCTGCTGTATATGACTTAATATTCTCTAATAAATGGGAATTTCAAAGTTCCAACGGTAGTTTATATTTTTGCAAAACTTGTTACACAACTGCTATAAGCAAATAGCTACTTATTGTTAATTTTCAAACACCTGTCAAGTTACATAATTTTATGAAAATTTTAGAAAAAAAAGTCAACAGATGTATCTCTAGGTTTATGAAGGACGCTACAATATATCAAACTCAAATTGATGCTCACAAGAAAGGAAGAAAATCAAAGAAACCGGAAAGCGAGTGAGGCCATATTCCTTTATCTCAGAGATCATGTCAAACAAACTCTTTGAATTTAATGTCATTCTGTTGTGCGTAGTTAACATTATTTTTACATTTACTGGAACTGCATTAAACTCGATCATCACGGCATATCTTTTAATTGTGTTCACAATTGCGACAAAACCATGCTACTTTACTACACTGTTGCTGGCCAGTTTTGACACAACAGTTACGTTAATTGTTCATCCATTCCTTGCAGCTTTGTCAATTTTTTGCCTGCTGTATAATAGCTGTTTTCTTAACACATGTGAAATATTTATCGTTTACACATTTGTCCCTTTCCGTAACAAAGTTGCTGCATGACGATGACGGTAGAGAGAGATATGGCTTGGGTTCATCCCTTTCTGCATCACAAATTTGTTACGAAACAAAAACTGTTGGTTTTTCTCTGCCTGTTGCATCTGCCATTTAATCTGGCATACACATTTCATTTTGCATTCTTCACTTCGCCCTTCGATTTCTTGTTTGTTATTTTCGCCGCATTATTTTCACTGAAATCCCTCGCAATTTTTCCATGAATTTTAATTATTTCGTGTAGCAAGAACAAAAAGACGCCAAGTGACAGTGATTTTGGGCAGATTTAATGACGCTGAACATCACCAAACTGGACACTTGACAAAATGTGCACGAGGAAAAATTTCCACTTGCTTTTTCGTAGTCGTGTGTCTGTGTGTTTGTTATATTCGAACAATCATCTTTGAGATGATCAAGACAGCAAAACAGCTACACAGGAACGACGACAATGTAGAAATAAGGACTTTGAAAAATTGGAATTACACTTTGATAACTATAAATTCAAGTTTAAATTCCATAATATTCTATTACAGAAATAGCGCATTACATCATTGCTCAAAAACGTTTGTTTGTAAATGTATTTCATAGCTATAATGTTTGGGAATAATTGAGTGAAACAAGGTATTTTACAAGAATATGTTCCAACAATGAAAATTTTTACAGACATATGCAAGTGTGACTCAAAAACATCACAGCGTGACCTGTGATTTAAACGTTTTTTAGCTATATACGTAGCTGTGAAAATAACAAACGCATATTTGTGCACATTTCGATATTTTTCTCAATAATTTCATAAGCAAGAAATGAAATAAACATTTTTAAAGTAAAAATTGTGTTACTGAGAAACACTTTTGAAATAGCTTGCGCACGAAAATGACACAGCCAAAAAGAAATTGGAACACATGGGGTTAAATTATGGCACAAATTCAAACCGGAATGAAAATCAAAACTTGTTCAATGTTTATATGTTTATAGTATATCTAAGCAAACCGACACGAGCTTGTTCCGGTTTTACTTCGTACAAGTTTTATGTAAACAGGGCCCGTGGTTCATGCGAAAGCGAATGCTTTATGCATGACCAAAGCGGCACCGTATAGCGATCACCCTGGTCAATCTGTGTTAAGCAGTCCTTTGGGAAAGTCCCAAAAATTTCATAACATAATAAATGCTATAAACCTTTGTTTAACGATCACCTCAATTTATCGGACACGGCCACCTTTTCCAATGTCACAAACTTAATTTTTCATTGCTTCAACCACATAATACAAAGTATATTGTTAAATATTTATTCTGGAACGTGTCAAAGTAATTTTTAAAGTAAATGGTTAGACTCTGAAGATGACTACCGCTAAGGTTGTCGAAACGTCAGTCAACAACAACAAAAATAGTCCTTCTCAGGACTATACCAACCTGGACGATCTACATTTACAAACATGTAAAGTAATTTTTGTTTGTATGGACGTTTTGCACCTGCAATTTATACTTTCTTGCGTTAACATTCCCTTCGGCTATTGACAAAAAAATTTATCTCCAAGTAAATACTATTCCCACAGAATTTCTTAGCCATGTTGACACGCATTTCAACCACTTCCTTTGATTATTTCTCGGCAGTTTACGCCGTAACATTTTTATATATTCTCTTTACTTTTTAGTTTAACTAAGAAAAAATTCTTGTTTCAAATTCTTACTTCATATATATATATTATTGGTTACCATGCATGTCGAGAAACAATACCATTTGGTTAAATTTTGAAGACCTGTGTTTAAGCAATCAACCTGTATTAAGTGTCACACGGGGAATCCCCACGAGCGACACCCTAAACAGGTCAACTGTGCTTCAAAAATGGCATTTAAAAAGGGAAATTGCAAAAATGGAATATCTATCATCAACTAAAAAACAAGCAATATTCTTGTATATATGACTCATTGTTTTCTAATAAGTGGTGATTTCAAAGTTCCAACGGTAGTTTTTATCCTTGTAAAACTTGTTATATAACTCTTCAATGATACAAGCACATAGCCACTTAATGTTAATCTTGAAACATCTGCCAAGTTACATAATTTTATGAAAATTTTATTAAAAAAGTCAACAGATGTATCTCTAGGTTTATAAAGGATGCTCCAATATATCAAAGTCAAATTGATGCTCACAAGAAAGTAGGAACACCAAAGAAACCGGAAAGCGAGGGAGGCCATTCATTTATCTCTGAGAAAATGTCAAACAAATTTTTCGAAAATAATGACGTGGTGAACATTATTTTTACTTTTATAAGAGCTGCATTAAACTCTATTCTGTCGGTCTAAGCAACGCCGCTTACCCTGTGGGTTTTTGCCAATTGTCTCCGGCATGAGACTAAGGTCGCTAGCAGTTTTGTCCTTTACCCCATCTTGGTTTCGATATTTTGGAGCATCGCCCGGGTTTGATTTTCTTCTTCAATTCGAGGCAATAACTTATTTTTAGATATCATCCCCGAACTCATGGTCTGAGTCATAACCATTTTCCATCCTTTTCCCTCCAGCAATTGTGCATTTAAGATACACAAAACTGTATAAAATAATTGTTCAAAACTTTTGTATCGAGCTCGCCACAGTTGACGTACCGAAATTTTGAAGGATTGCTTGATTCAAGATTTTTTATATTCCAAACGCAAGGCAAGTTTGACCTGAACCAGTTCGCTGACCTAAACCAGAGCCTGTATTAAGAATAAAGGCTCTGACCCATTCTCTGACCTGAACTGATTAACGACACGAATCACAAAGAACCGATTGGCATTGCACGCATGCGCATATTGTGTTACGTAGGGGTAGTGACGTAACGATGACAAATGACAACAGACAAGAAAGCATTCCCAATTTTTAAACTCAAATATAAAAGAAAAGAAAAGAATGTACGGACGAAATTCAGTTATTTTCTTTCAAATTTTTCGACGACCGGCTGTCCTGTCTTGTCGTTGTTTAAGTAAGAACCGACCAGATCCTTTAGTGGATAAGATTTTGAGAGTAGATCATGCTGGAGAAATCGGCGCCAACAAAATATACGAGGGACAAATGGCTGTGTTGGGGGATACAAAATGTGCACCTGTTATTAAGGTAGGAAGATGTTCGGACGAAATCTAGAACCAACTAAGGTTCGTTTTATTTTTGTTTAGGGTTTTTGTGCCAATTGGGAATTTGAATCATCATGGCATTTATCATTATGCAACCCATAGTTGAGTAACATTTGCTTTCCTTCTCCAAAGATTTATCATTCGAATGATTCAATCATTCTATTTTCTCCACACAACATTTTCCCTGTTGTAACGTTCTCTGCTGCTTTTTCGAAAACTATCGTTTAATTTTATGTACATTTTATGAAATAATGAAATAAAACATGCCTGGATTATCAATCTTCAATAATCATCACCAGCACCGACAACCTATTGAAGTAACTAATGTTAAAACATATATGTACATTTGGAGGTGCTTAGTCATCACAAAGAGGATAAATGTGTACATGATCTTTGTTAAGGGAAAGGTTAATATTTAAAAATCATTGCTTCTTCTCATCCTTTGGAATACTTTCCATTGAAGATGGGTCATCCATTTCTGCAATTGACAACTTCATGACTTAAAATTCATGATCATTTAAATTTCAGTTGTAAATTCCAATTGCTTGTTGGTGTTAGGCCATTTGATCCATTTTAATCAAATTCAATAGCTTTGACCTACAATTTTTTACAGCATTTACCTTGAATATTTCATTTTCTGTTCTTTCATTTCTTCATCATGTGATCATGCTTCTCCTTCATGTCTTCATTGATGTAAGCCCCAAAGGAGGTTTGCGTTGGGGCTGCTGCAATGGCTCAAATCTTGCATTTTGCATTTTGGAGGCTATGTGATTATTGCATTTTTTGGCTGATCATTAAAATTATTATAGTAGTTTCGTTATTTCTATTTAATTCTGAAGGAAGCTTGTAAAATCAAAATATTTGTAAAAACAGAGAATATCCTTTTTATTTCAAATAAAATACTTTCACTCTATATTTCTGTTGTTGTGTAATATTCAACTGCTGCAGAAGATTGATAATTGGGTCGGGCTGTATTCTTACATATTCTTATTGTAATACAATATTATTTACAATCTTATCATGGGCAAGTAAAGTTATTCATTCATTCATTCATCTTATCAATATATTTACAAAATATTTTAAGATCTTATATTAAATTTTTAAGAAAATGATCCATTAAGATGTTAAGATCCATTGAGATCTTATAATCCATAAGATCCTGCAGTAACATTCAAGAAAATTTAGGATCTCTAAAAAATAAGATCTTATCAAATTTCTTATAGGATCCTACATTAGATCTTATATCTAATTTAAAATCCATCCCGCGTTAAAATCCTGTTTAAGATCTTGTTAAAGATCTTACACATAAATTAGATCATACAAGATCCTACAGGATCTAACAAGATCCTACTTAAGATTTCTACCCCAGATAATTCATGATCACGGTTGATTTCAACTGAACTAAAGCTGAATTATTATCTTACCAATGCTTGATTGAATAAATGATCATTTTAATACATGTTCCATTCTTTTTCCACCGTTATCTGTACTTTTTTTAATTACATCCAATTACCATTTGAATTTGTCTCTTTTTAGGAAATGTGGGACCAAGAGAAAGAGCATGTCAGAAAATTTGAAGAACTTTTACCAAAATATCGCGCACGACCAACACTTTTGCTTCCCCTTTGGAATGTTGCTGGATATGCCTTAGGTAAAATTTAATGTTTGTGATTCTGGCGTGCAGAAAGCTTGAATCTGTCCTTTGTTTAGGAGCTGGAACAGCTTTGTTCGGTGAAAAAGCAGCAATGGCTTGTACAGTCGCAGTTGAAGAGGTCATTGGTGAACATTACGACAAGTACGTAATTATGACTTTTATTGTGACCCAGTTCAATTTAAAATGCTCTTATTACAATAAATATTCGCAGGTTGCGAATTTCAAAAGAATGCTTGCTTTAAAAGTTTTTACATATTCAATATCGGGTTGTTTTAATTCATTTTGACTTACCCCCGCGATCTGCAACTGTATGGGTACGTGTAAGTTTTTGAACTGTCATGCCATTGTCAGGCCATGACATATAATTTTTCTTGAGCTTATTTTGTTTACATAAATAACTATTTTTCGTTAACTTGCCTTAAATGAAATTACTGTGTCATTGCAAAATACATTTGTAAAGAATTTGTGTGGTGCATGATTGTGCCATGATATACATACATAGGTATATGCAGAGCGGTAAAATATGAATATTTATTAAGTTTTGATTAAGTTATCTTGAGTTAAGTTACAGTAAATAATGCCTTTACGTCTTTAGCCCATCCCTGTTTCCCAAACTTTCTGTTTGGACTGATGTCATTCTTTACCACAAATAGAAGTAGATTTTTTGTTTCATTAAAGTAAACGCTGCACCTGACGAGCAGTCTGCCGAATTGCAGTGTGAATTTATCTTAATTTTGCTTTTCAGCATTTCTTTTTAAACTTACCCGGTTGCTAATTACATTAGTAAATACGCTGGACGAACGAGAAAAATATTTATTCACTTGATGAGTTTAGCAGTTTAATGTACTTATTTTGCTGTTTAATTTATATTTTCATTGAATAGAAATTTTACAATGACAATGGACTTTCTAAAACAATTCAAGAATAGTCGTTATTTTGAGGATTCAAGTTTTTTATTGTGTAATGGAGACAACCTGTGACGTCACATTGCATAATGACTAGTTGCAAAATTTTAATATCCTAAATTGTCCTGTCAACGTTTGAATAAAAGGCTAAAGCAAAATTTCACACCGTTAGCAGGTCACCGGGGCGATGGAGAGCGTTGTTAATCGGGGGGGGGGAGTGTTCATTCGTAGTCAAAGCACGTAAAAAATTGATTTTAAAAGAAAGTAATAAAGCATAAATGTATGCATGGATATACCACCCCGCCGCAATCATCGAAGTACTGGGGTCCCTGCAGATGGTAGCTCTGCTCGTCTGAACTGGTATACATACCAAATAATTCAAATTCATTGTGCAAAGGACGTCAGTTCGGTCAAGTGACGTCGTTTTAGGTGTTTTTTAATTAAATTTAGACCAAGACTGCGTTTACACTATACCGGATTCGCTCATGACGACATCTTCATGCGCTTTAAAAGGTTAACTGTTCGGAGTAAAAGCTTATTAAGTTGATGGATTTTGTCTGACGTTGAACAATTTCATTGCCTTTTAATACAAAGAATATTCAACCTGCTACGATAGTCTTTGCTAACTCTCTTTGCTAAGTTCGATACCCTATGAAGATTTTAATTACTTCAAAATACTTATTTCTGACTTTATCCAATATAGCCAATTACGAGAGCTACTTGAAGATCCTGAATCTCTTGAAACACATGAAGAATTGCTAAGTGTGAGTTAGTTTTTGTTCAGCAATAACCATGGGAGCAGCCATAGAACCGTGGGCGAGTGGGTGGGTTTCAAAATATTCTTTAAAAATTGTAATTTATTCTGATTTACCTTAGATCCGCCACTGATTGCACGTTTTTTAATGTTTATTGGTCTCACTGTAAAACGATTTTAACTCATGGTTCACTCTACTTACAATATGAATGGTTAGGTGTTAGCTGGTATGACTCAGTGTGGTCTGGGCACCAAAAATGTTTATTGGTTCGAGATTAGGATTCATGCTCCTGACACCAATATGGTGGAAACAACGATATAGATAAATAGACAACAACAACAAAAAAATATTTGCACTTCAATCAGTTTTGCTTTCCCGCTATTCTGCTATAATTTCTCACTGCCTCGTAGCAGATGGTTACGATTGGCTCTTGGGCCCACTTAAAAATTTTCGTCGTTGCTGACTAGGGTGAAAGTTGCAAAATGAGCTCAATCTTTATCCGGGTTAAATCTTTTGAAAAGATTCCTCAAAATGACTTCACATTACACACATTAGTAGTGTTGGAGTATTCAATGTTTAACACCACTAAAGAGAGAGCTTTTGCAACTTTTTTAGGATTCTTGTTTAAAATCGAACGAACACGAAATGGATGCGGATGTTTTGTAAGGAATTTTATTTGTAGCTATATTTTGACTAAAGGGCATTTTTCTTTAGGTGATTCAAAAGTTTCGCGATGAAGAATTAGAACACCTGGAAACGGGATTAGAACATGATGCTGTCGAAGTAAGAATGTAACAAAATTTGTTCTTATTCCACTAACCACCGCCCTTCCCGTTTTCACTAGTTTCAATAAATTTGTATTTGTTGGAGATAAAGAGTCACGCCACAGATAATGCACCTGAATTTTTTTGAGCGCGCACGTTCATTTGATTACTGACAAATCTGTGTCCTGTAAGAGATAAAATTTACTAGTATTACTAGTTAAGACCGCTTGACATCCCGTACTTGTACAACTACAACGGAACATGTCGTGTTGTGATTGAGGGATCGGTTGCACGAAGCGTGGATAGTACTACCCATTGGATAGCATTGGTGTTCGATTGTATTTAAAATTTCTCAGGAGACGTGCATGATTAAAGCATGATTTAAACTGGTCAATCAATAGAATAAAGCGTCCATTCAACGATAACATAGTTTCATTATTGTGTAAAAGTTGTTATTAATACCTTTGAAAAGTCAATATCCAATGCTTGCGTTATCAGGACGTGGTGAAATCGACCTAAGACGAATGTGGTCGACTACTAAGTTGAAACTGCTCTAACTGTTTGGGAACTATGCTTCTTGCAAAGGAACTCAAATGTACTCGAATACAATACGGTAATATTTGGACATCCGGAACTTTTATTGTTTTTTTACAGGCTCCGTTTTACTCCAGTCTCAAGAAGATTATACAGCTCGGTTGTCGTACTGCAATTTGGGTGGCGGAAAAAATATGACTGATGACGAATGTCTTCTTTGTATGCGAAAATGAAACTAGTTTTTCCACGAATGTTCGAAACTGTTGCCTGGTACATGAATCTTCTGTTTGAGACTTCATTTGAAAGAAAAAGTCAAAACGTGGTAGTGAAATTTTCGTATTTTCAGCACTTCAATTAATGTAATTCTAACGTATCGTAGTTCTTTCTGTAAACATTGGTTTAATCCTGATGATTTACGTACTGACGAGTTAATAGTGATTAATATTTCATGTAAACTACAGCATAAATAAATGTGACACTTTTCTATAAATTGGCATATCGGTTTAATCTTTATTTTATATATTTTCGAGAAAAGTGTGCGAGAATAACTCTTATAAAGTACTCAAGCACTTTATTTTAAGTATGAGTTTTTTAAAACGTTAGTTATAAAGTGTACACTCCATACTGATCTACTGATTTACACGAAAATTTTCTTCTGTACTTGGAGATAAATCGAAAACTTTACTGATCACCTAATTTTTAACGACATGTCATAGACCGGTTCAAATTGGACTCTAGTTTATTACAAGATAGTGGTAATAACAATTACGTAGACCCAATCCCCTGCATTTCTAACTACCGTTTCAAAGTGAGGCAACGACGCCATTTTGAAAGGTTGCAAAAGAGAGACCCTCAGTCAGAAATAAGTTCAAAAAAAGATTTAAGACAATCCTTTCAAACATTTTACAAATCAAAAGTAGACTTTCAGCTCTGGATTTATACATCATCGTAGAAGCTTACTCTCATTTAATATTTCATCAGTTTTACTACCTTTCTAAACGGTGGCTTGTCTCAATCGTTACTATAGAATTTCGGTGGAGTCAGCTGTTTGGTAGATTAAGTTCTAGGTCATAAGGTATTGGGTCGTAGGATTTTGAGTCTTCTCTTAAATACTTCCTTCCTGAAGCGTTTCAAAACTGCTTTTTTCATGCACAATGTCACGTGCAGACACACTCAATCATACATTGATCTAAATATAGACTGGAAGGGTATTTTTAGGTAAACATGCTCGTACTCTATCGACACGTCTGAGTGGAAGTAAAGTTCTGCATTTAGATTACTGTGGTTATGAATTATCTATGGTCCGTGGATAGAAAGAATGGAACTAGTTAAATCGATGGCTTCAGTTTTGGTGGGATGTATTAGTTTGGCCATTGGCGTTAACGGCAAGAGTTCCTTCTGGCGGTAGGTGATGCAAGCTAATCTTGTATAGTATTTTTATTACAACCAAGTGAGGTTTGTGCCTCAATGATACATTTTCATGTGAGTAAACAACATGAAGATGCCTTTTTTATGGGCGGACTTTTAACAAAACATGAAACTTAGCTCGAGACAATGCAAACTGTTAAATGCAAAACGCCAAGCGTTTTTTTTTTGAAATTTGAACATTTCTGAGTCTCTGACCATTACATCCCTAATCAAGTTCTATTCATGACCGGTAGCGAGAATTCATGGGAATTTTTCTAGGCCTCAACACAATATGAGCTCGTGAGATTATAAAAAGTATTTAAATAAAGCTTTATTTATGTTTTCTTTTGGACATTTCATTATAAAAATACTCGTTGATAGTTTAGCCAATTATCGCTCTAACATCCCAAAGACTTCAAATAAAGTTCAATATGGTGTATACATAAGTCTTATTATCACCAAAGTCTACATATGTTTCGTCATTAGAATGGCATTCTATGCGACGTCTATGGCGTTTATTTGTACGTATGTTATCATTACATTGTTTCACGAATATATCAGTGCGATTGTCGGTGGTGAGCGTGGTACGTCTTCTGCGATCCCAATTATCCATGGCCATTCTGCAGATTACAGTAATCCTTCGGAGGGCAATGAAGCTGGACATGCCCAAATCCCTGTTCATACTCAACTATCTTGTTGGTGCAACATATCCAGCACGTCAAACCGCTGTAGAATACGTAACGTCTCCTTAAATTGCTCCAAGTTGCAACTCTTTCCCTGCCTTTGCGACCATATTGTTATAACTTCATTCGTCGGAGAATAGTTGGGAAAACAAGCTCTACTTTGTATTTTAAACACTTCTTCGATGGTGAGGCCAACCTCTCCAGCTAGACCAGTCCAATTGTTATGCAACGCACATGGAATGTCCATTAAACTACAAACTTCGAGGTACTTTTTCACGCCGATGCACGTCAAAGGATTGTACGCTATTCTTGTCGGTGAATACGGGCCATTTTGAGTTGCATCCTGTAAAAAGACGTGATGACATCAGACGTCACATCACAGCCCAATTATACAAACTATCTGGTGGATATAGTCAATTTCACTTAACTTTCCCGCTTAAAGAGACAGTGGGCTTGAAGTTCGAGCATGCGCATAACAATACAAGTAAATGAAGTTCGAAATACAACAGGCGGCGAAAGCAAAAGTTTGAGCAATGTAAATTTTGTGTACTTTAGGGAATACGATCAATTATAGTTTGTAATAATGATGAATGCAATTCAAAGTTCAAGACCAGCTGTATGATTTAGCGCACAACTAATATAAAACTTGTTCATTATGGACTGGTCGGGCAAAGTTCTTATTCACTTCCAGATTCAAATTAATATAACATCCGATCAAACTTTGTCCAATACATTCACTATAGATCAATGTTCATTGAAGATACGTGTGATGACCCCTACCTGAAACGTGGTGGATATTTGCGTTTCCTTTGACGAACGTGAGGACCTAGAACTAGAATTCGTGCAAGGTTCCATACGAATTTTCCCATGAAAATTTCGCCGTGAGCTTGACTCGTGCTCTAAATGAAACTCGATGATGAGCCAGCAAGACTGAAGAATGGCCTCTTTAACAATTTCATGCTCTATAATCTGAAATGAAGAAAACGATGACCATAAATGGTAGTGCTCTATTGAACGCAGAATTACCAAGTAATTTAAACAAGTGCGATGACTTTACGGAGAAATATTGGACCGACGTGTTTTTGTACTGAGCCCGTATTAGGCCATGGGCCCAATCGCAAAAAATCGTCTAGAAATAACATCGCAATGCGTCCACTGAGGAACCAGCTGAATTTTACAAAATAGGTAGTTTATTTTATATTTATCATTTCCCAAGGTATGTCAAATCTAAAAGTTGCACATTAAGGAGAAAATGAGCGTTGTTTGACTGCGTTGTTGTACAACGATGTCCGCCATCTTGAAACATAAAATCGCTACGCTTGCACATAGCCTATGAATTATCACACAGGAAATAAGTTATCAACTAAACATGTCTTTGAAGAAATGTGAAGTGCACCAGCTAAAAATTGTTATCACAAAGAAAAACATGAAAAATCTATGTGATAAAATGACGGCTTAGAATCATTCAATAATATATTTTCAAAAATATTTTAAAAGTATATATATCAACGTTTTCAAACTATTATTTCACCGAACAAATGAAAAAAAGGCATTTCGTCTCTGCTTGATTTGACCAAAAATCATCAATACCATGCTCCAAGTATATTTTTCTACTTCGGTTTGTTAATAAAATTGCTAAGGGCCTGCACAGACTAGATATTTTGTCGTCGACAACTTTCCGTAGTCGATAACTAAATGTAGTCGATAAACAACACTTTTGTGTGATTGCAGTTTCCCTTACAAAAAAGGGAAACCGTTTTGTTGTCGACAACTAAAATTTTACACGTTTAGTTGTCGAGTTGTCAACACAAGTCTATTTTTCTGTCTAGAAGCCTTCTTATCTTCGTCATTACTTGCAATATGAGTACAGATTGGGAGCCTTATCATACTGTATGTACAGTATACTAAGACAGTAGTAGTACAACGCTCAACTAGCAATTTCAAAACTACAACAAAGATGTCGTGTGCACTGTAAACAGCTGTGAATGTTGGACATGACTGACCAATTACAATATAAAAAGATTAATAACAGCAAAGCTCAAAAATTGAAAAAATGGACTCATAGCTCAACAAATGGCATAGCATGAGAAAGCAGACACGACATCTAAGATAGTATCTATCAAAATTATAGTTTAATACCGAAATAACAAATCGCTTTAGTTAGTTTGAAGCAACATCGATAAAAATAATTCATACAATATGTATTTCTTTTTTTATCGAAACAAAAAAAAGGGAACGTAGAATCAAAACTATTCAGAGTAGTATTTGAAGTAACTTTCGAGTAATAAACTCAAATTGAAAGGAAATGTAGCTTTGAAATTCAACTGGTAACTAATAATCTCACGTATACTGAATTACAAGTCGCCAAAATTGAAGATTTCGTATGTTGATCTAGTTTTTCTCATCGTCTCTATTTGCCTGTTCTGTTCTCTTAATTCTCAGCATTTGGACATTGCAAAGCCGACTTTAACAATCGTAATGGAGTTTGCAAAGTCCCGGTATGGATACAAATCACTCTGAAGAGCGAAAATTTTCAGCGAAAGACAAATTGTCAACGTGAAGATCGTCAATTAGCCCCCAGAATTTGACGCGGATTCTTACGCTATTTCGCTCTATTACATGGAAATTTTCTCCATTTAGCATTAATAAAAGTAAATATACAAGAAGCAAGTGCAAATGATGTTATTATTGAGTTAGCACTATTTTTGATATACATAACGCAAAAAACTCGTCATCTGAGTGAGCAACATCGGCAAGCTTAGTTGTTTGCTATTGTTTACCTTGGGTAGTGAAAGATTTTTCACCTTGACGCTATCTAATTGGTTGAGAGCAAGATTCTCTTTGCGTTGATTGGCTAAGACGTAAAAACATAACATCGATTTCACCTTTCTCTGATCATATATTCAAGATAAAATAATCGATTTTTCTCTTTAATGTGCAAGTTATACGATTGACATGCATGCTAAAGTTGATAAGTACTACTGGAGCAACTTGATGGTTAAAAATTTTTTTGGTTCCTTGATGGACGCATGAAAAAATCACAATTTTCGACGTGGGCCCATGGCCTTATGAGGCAAGGTTTGTAGCTACTGAGCAAGCGAGCTTAACGAAGCTAGGAAGTCAGTTGATGAATAATTTTCGCGATGCTTCTATTGTCACGTCCTTAACGATTGGAGGTAACAGGTAACAACCAGAACTATTTTACAAAGACTTACACAAGGTAAAGTTAAACAAATATTCAATGGATCACAAAATCACACACCTGTTCTTGATCACTTTTCAGTGTACAGCATTGGTCAATATCAACCAAAGAAATTTTCAAATCATTGGAAACACTGATGCTGTCTGGTAACGACTTTAAAACTTGATAATTCGCCTCTTCTTCCAATTTTTTGATTCTCTGAAGAAAATTAAGAGCATGCTGTCAAGTATGAAGATTGCTTTCAATTTCTACTACAAATGTTGCTATATTCATCTACGTTGAAACACCAAAAACTCTGGATTTCATTTTCGTCTGGAAAAAAGAATGGGTTGTGAAGAACATTTTTAGGTGAGTTGAATGGTTGGGTTTACTGAAAATCGTTCTGAAACGATACGTACAGTTTGCAGCGAAAGATTCCATTGGTCACAACAAAATCTTATCCTAATTAATATGCTTTGATAAGATCTCATTGATAAATGTTTAGTTAAGTTTGAACTTTTCTAATGTCAATACAACATCCTTTAACAATTTGGAAAAATTTCGAAGCACTAGAAAGTACTTTAGAGAATAGTCGTTTCTCTCAACTATAATTGTAACCTAAATATATAGCGACGGTTGGGGTTATGTGTCCGCAATACATCAGCATAGCTGTTTGTGTATTGAGTAAAGAAGTGTAGATTTCTTCCTAACAGACTTTATTATCCACCTGGTATAATCGTAGTAACCCCATTGAGTTATTGTATAGAATGATTACAGTCATTTGCAATTGACCGTGCGGCGTGCATAAATTAAACGTTTGTTACAGTTTCAAAACATGACTTTACTAACGGCTAACGCATTGTTGCTAAGGCATACGCGTTAAGTTATGGAAAATGTTGTTTTTATTTAATAAACAACCGTGACATGTCTAAATTTGGTAAGTATGGAAAGACGTTTGAAAACGTTAAACTCTATCGTTAGATATGAGACTATAAATTGGTATTGGTGAGACAGTGTGGCTTTGTCGTAGATTCGTAGAACGACACTTTGTTAATAACCAACGCTTTCTCAGGGTTACGCCTTAGAAACAATCAGATAGCTGTATAGCAACGTCAAGTTAGCTGTATAGCAACGTCAAGTTAGCTGTATAGCAACGTCAAGTTAGCTGTATAGCAAAGTCAAGTTAGCCGTTAGTAACATCAAGTTTAGAAACTATAACTAACGTTTAATTTATGCACGCCTAAAAATGGCTGTATTATTGAGCTTCTTAATTATTATAGAAATAATGAACTTGATCCAAACCGCTTATACGTCGACTAACTATAACAATTCCAATAATTAATTAAAAACAAAAAATCTTATTAGTTAAACTTTCTCCAGCGCAATCTTACCTCAAGTGTACGGAAGTCGTTCTTCTGGAAAAGTACGACTTGTATAACTAAAATTTGTCCAACCATAGGTTTTGAAGAGAATATAACATATTGAATTTCCTTCGTTGAGCTACTTTCAGGTAATCTGGGTAGAGGAAGTGATGGAGGTTGATCAACTACTCGAGGGAAGAGCGGAGGGGGAGTCTCGTCGGTGCCGGACGGTCTTGGAGGAGGAGGAAGTGGCGATGTGGGTGGTTTATTCTTGGTTTTAGGCTTTGGTGGTAGGGGTGGCGCCGTAAGTCTGGGTGGTCTGGGAGGAGGTGATTGGGGCAAATCAGAATACTGTGAGTGGTTCTGTTGTTCCATTTTATCTTCTTTGGTTTTCGTAAAGCTGCGCCAGTTTTGATAAACGGAAGCGAGATGAAAAACGTTAATGTAGGAATGGTTTAAACGTGGTGTCTTTCTCTCTTCAGGTAAGTTCATATATATATACTTGCACGGCCGCATTGGCAAATTAAAGTATACGTTTTTTGGGTTCGGGGACAAGCTAGACGCTTTATCGTGTTCCTTGGAACTCCGACATGTCGTCATATCGATGAATTTTGAAGAGTTCTTCTTTTCCAGCAAATCGGAACTTTCTGTTTGCTTGTTTTCGAACTGTAATCTCAAGTTATTTACAATTTTCGATTTCCCACCTCCAATGCGCATCGCTTTCAAGCATCCCTGAATCGTCTGCCATATTTCCTTATTTTGATCACCTAGGATGACAAAATAATTGTCCACCTCGTCAAAAACAAGAAGTTCTTTATTGCTTTTCAGGGTTATTCCGTCGCCCGATTTCGTGAATGGGTAATCCAAAATCTTTCGTAAATGTGGTCCACGTCCCATTAAAATAATGAGTCTGTCTCTCAAAATGTGTAAGTCAGCAAGAAGCGGGTCTTTGCTGTTCGTTTGTCGTACTTTGATGCGGTAGCAAATCACTAAAAGCAAAAACACATTCATCAACTCCCGTAAGCCGTAGGCAACTCATGCTAAATGAATGATTCATATACCATACCTTTCAAATATTCTCGCAATTTTGCTTCCATCGCTTTCAGCACAGAGACGCTTTCCTTCTTTGCCTCGAGGAGAACAAATTCGTTGGGCCGCGAAGCTTTAGCCATGACAAGTGAGTAAGTATTAGCCGAAATATTAGGCTGTTGTATGATCCAGTCATTTGCCTTGATTAACATGGTCACCTCAGCAGGCCTTAGCGCAGGGTCGACGTTTCTCAAAACAAGACGCGCTGAAATAAACAGTTAAATAAGACACATCAGGATTATAAAAATTATGAAAAAAATTTAAAATTTTCGAGTTATATTTAAGAAAGGCAATCAAAAGGTTTGCCAACATTCTTCCTTTAACGATTTAATGACTAAGTACAACCGGTTGTTTTAAATTATTCCATCAATTGGTAAATTACATTTATTTTCCAGGTTTATTTCAAAAGAACATTATCTAGCTTTCTTGTTTTCATACTTCACGTTTCCCCACCCTATTTAATTAATGTGTAATAACCGGAAGTAATCTGAGAGTTTCTACATTTCTGCTGATAATTTCACCCTAGAAGAAAGGTCTATTTTTTAAAAAAACTCCACGAGTAATTGACAAATTTCTTTCAATTAGGTGTTTAGGATCTTACTTTTTTACTAAATATAACATAATTTGGATGTACTATGAAGCCACCCAAATGTTCTAGTAACGACTTCATAAATTTTGTTCGACCTTGCTTACATATTTTCGCTATTTGAGAGAAAATGGTGTGTAAGGCTTGGAGTCAATAATGCTCAACTATTTGCCGTCAGTATTTTTTTAATGTGTGAATATGCAATGTAACGTCAATATCATCAGAAACAGACGACGATCAATTTAAAATAGTTTGTCGTCCGTGTCTGATGAATAAGGAAGCAATGAATGGGATGAAAAAAGTAAAAACTACGATTTATTAATGTTGATGTTGATATTACTAACATTGTTTCTTGTACTATTTGTGCAAATTACTATAGAGTATACACACAACAGACCCCTAAGATCTGAATCGAAACATTAGAAAATTGAATTTTGAATTTTATATTTCGAATTGTTCACAACTTTGATGAAAGCGAAAGTAACATAAGCCGCCTACGATAGATATTGGTTTCAAAGACAAAAATATTTCATCGGTATATAATTGTGATCTAACTTCTGAAAGCAAATTTTACCTGTATTGTTGTCGTCATAGGATAATTGAACATCACATTTCCTGTTCTCTACACCCTAGATTTGGAAGGAAGTGATGTATTAGAGCTTTCAATGTTGCGATCGAATTGACTTGTCACTGGGTAAACAAAAAATATTGCCTTTAGAGATTTCGTAGTTAGAGATTTCGTATTTTGAATTTACTTGTCCTTGTGTAAACAAAAAATAATGTCGATAGAAGTTTCGGTAACGCAGTCAAGTGAATTGGTCAAAAATGTATTTGCGCGAATTTGTGGTTAAAAATCAACATTGGAAATCGTATTTTATCTTCACGATAACCGAAAATTGTTCAATAAATGAAATTAATGAAGTATTTATTCCCGTTTTCGCCTAGATAATAAGTTCTTTATCGATATGTGTTTGTATTGCGTCACTTTCATAATGCACTTGTCACCTGTGTTTACAAATTGACTTCTATATTCCTTATGGTTGATCGCCAAATATTTCATTATCTCATACATTTTATGTGGATAATTATCAAAATATTTGGCTTTCATATTGTACAACCATTCATAACAAAAAACCAAAAACCAAAAAGACGGCAGCCTAAATAGGGAACGTTTCAAGGAATATACCCTTGACTCGAAAGCCGTGCCTCGTTCGCATAATTCACAATGTTACATAATTGTAATATTTCATCTCAAAAACTGTTTCGCACTCCATTATAATATTCGCGAGAGTCGACTGTTTCCTACTTCACAGACATTAATCACGCACCTTGAAATTAACTTTTGATATGACATATCGCCATCACTTTATATATAATAACAATGTTTTAATGACTGCTCTACGATACCTTCGTCGACGAAATGTAGTCCTGAACTAAAAATTGACCGCTCATTTTCGAATTCCCACTTTCAGCAATCCGGTTATTTTGCTGCACCATCGCTAGGTGTGGATGTGTTACTAACTTTATATATTTCACCCAAGATAATGAAACAAATGATGTATACAAACAGTAAATTGTAATGTGCGATGGATGACAGCCGCTTTAAATATAATATGTCGACTAAAATAAGGTGGCGTGGGAGTAGCGATACGTCATATTATTACTGATCTAGAGCTCATATCATATTCATGTAGAGGCAAGCGTTGGAAGTCAGCAAGGCAACTTCTCTGCTTCTTGTGTCCATCCACATTCCTAAGACGCTCAAAAGATAAGCGTTCATGGTGGAAAATCGTGAGCTTTTCTAAGTCGACAGAAATTCCACCAAGTATTATTGTATCTTTAATTGTATTTAATTACACATTTCCACCACCCCCACAGATTAATAAAGTGTTATGGCATTGTCAAGTTCATTTCTAAAGTTGTGTGATACATCTAAATATGGGTGTTATACATTTTGCTCTGTCGACGGGGAGGTTGTTCATTGAAATAGGAGACAAAAGTACTTTGATCATATTTGAAAGGTTATCTTGTACCTCTTTGTGAAAACAATTTCGACAATTTTTTCTGGTTATTTTTATACCTGGTAATATAAATATAAATGAGGTCTTAACTCCCCTTCCATTGAAAGTTCCATGTCTATCTCCATGGTTTGCAAATGTTGTGCCTGGCATTGAAATTGAAAAAATCGTTCATTTCCTTTTTGAAGTATTTTTGTTATGGTGCTACCTTAGAATAATACTTGTAAACTATCTCTGTCTTTTTTTTTAGTGTGCAATAGTCGAAACCTGAGTTAAAAACTGATGTTCATCTAATTATGGTGAAGCTTTTTAGCAGAGCTATCGGTAAAACTTGCCTAATATGATCATTTGTATATCATCAAAGCCAAACTTTCTTGTAGTTGGTTTTTTCGAAGAGATGTGTGCAGTGTGCTGCTATGAAACTTTGTCATCGATGTATCAGCCTTGTACAAGCAAGTTATGAAATGGTCTAAAATAAAAAAAACCTGTTTTGTATACCCTAACTTAAAATTTGTCCAGTATGCACATAGCACAATTAAAAATAAACTAAAATACAAAGTGGCCAGCGCGTATATTTAGACAGCTATGCAAATATTTCGGTTTCCAATCATAGAAAAAATAGGTACGCTTTGTGTAGATCAGTGGGAAGCTGATAAATCTGTAAAATACAAATTATGTATGAATCTACTAATTGGTACTGTTCATGTTCTAACAATTGTGTGACTGCAAGAAAATATCATGCCTGCTGTTACATTTTTGCTATAAATACATTGTTATACATAACAACGGTAACTCCAAATATTATTAGCATTTTGATTCAATGTTTCAACTTTATTTAATCATCATCAGGAATGATAATATTACATGGCGTGCAGTATATATACAGACTCTACGCATTTCGATCTAGTTAACTGAAGATAGATACATAGCTCTCTCCAAGCTTTAGTGCCATGATTAAGTTCCAGTATTTGCCTGCAGATTGCAAGTGCTTCTTCTAATAGAAGGTTTGACCAATCCGTGGTCCTGTGTATGATGTGCAGTTGCTTAGGCGGAAGAGAATAAGTCAAATAATTTGGCATTGGGTTTGTCCTTGTTAAGTTGTAAGAGATAAGTAAGATGGGTAAATTGTTTCGTAGCTGTTGATGTGTTTCTAGATTCCTGCTTCATTGTCCTCACTAGAATGTTCGTGTAGTGTAATATGATATCGATGTTGGAGAACATACCATTGAAACACAATGGCAACTCCAATTAAACTTTGAAAACAATTTAAGTTGAATGTTTTTTCTTGCTTGGGAGATATGACTTATGTGTAGTTTGTAAAGTAGGTATTAGCTTGTCTTTTCTTAGTACTAGTAGGAAACACTGTTTTGTTTACAAGATTGTCGTTTTCATAATCAAATGTATTTTGTCTCTATCTATTGCGTACTGTTAGTCTGTTACCATAAAACAATAATGAATAAATAATATGTAAATATTTAGGATGTGATTGTATTGTGTTTACGAGAGTTTTAGTTGTGTGAAATTTATGATCAGTGATATCGATGAAGAAAAATTGGTAATTTGGGGCCAATATTCATGTTATATGCATGATAGTTGATAAAAATTAGGCCTCATCAAGTTCCTTTGAAATCCATTGTTTTTTAAGAAGTAAAACATGCGTAAACGAATATACCCTCCCTCCTTCCTCATACAACTATCAACTTTCCTTCGTCCGTTAAATTAAATTTCCAACAACTTTGATTGCTAACCAATAACTCAACTTTTGTCTATTTTTTTTAACAACCAAACAAATGATATGACTGGTATATGATTGTTCATTACATACGTGCAGGAAGTTGTCGAACTTTTCGTAAACTAGTTAAGATTTTGGCATAACAAGTTATACCGTACAACAGTAACGAAATTTTTCCTCATCCCACCCAATTTTAACATGGCGTTTTAGATATCTCACAGCAGGAATATATGTATATTTGTTCTATGATTTGCATTTTATTACTACGCCTCACTATTGCAAGGTCAAATAATTTTGAGCAAAGTATTGTAGCAAATTTATGGCAACAGCAGTGAACGACCTGCAAATTTCAACAAACTATATTTATGATATACGACTGGCTTCGTACATGCATTAAGCACACTTTGTTTGTAGTTGCCACATTCCGTATAGACTTCCGTAGCAGCCTGTTTGAACAGCGTAGCTCACTTAAAATGGTTTGTATAGAAGCCCCATCGTGTGACTTGTTTATGACTTGCATACAAAGCCTATGTAATGTATGAACACGTATGAACTGACTGCGTAGCATAGTACGTATAAACACTGGCTTTATTGGCTTTATTGAGTATGCCTATAGCGTACTTTGCGAATGCCACACCTCAATATGACGTCACGATGGCTGCGGACAAGATTAATATACCGTAGACTAATGTTTTAGAATACTTTGAAATTTAAGACACTTTTGACAAATTTTCTCTTTTCTCTGACAGCAATGGCATTTTACAGATATGGAGAGTAGATGACCTGTATCAATTCTTTATCATATTCCACTGAGACTAGACGAGTTCCGCAATGGTTATCTTTTGCTTCCTGGTTTAGAAAATGTTGCCAATTACTTGATTGGAGATACACTGATGCATGCGGGCTCATACCAAAAATCACATCTATAATAAAATACTTAGAGATATTTCTTAAACTGTAATTGGTTGATTTTAGTGCACTGTAAAAAGAGTAATTGCAGCGTAAAAAAGTTGTAACTGCGCTGTGAGAGTCTAATTGCACTGTAAATACTGTAACCTGATTGGCTGTAAAGCTGTGAAAGCCAAACAAGCTTCTCAATTCAAAAAACCACATTGTAGCAGTTGTGAGCAAACAATATTTCCACTGAATTAAAAATAGTCGAGTGAAATTGAAAAATTACAAAACTTTGCACAGAATAAAAACACAAAAGCAAGGACTGTTAAAGCAAAGAAGGTAAATGTTAATAAGAGTCAGGCCGCGCAACGAGGCTTTCTGTGAAGCAAAAGAGAGTTACAAAGGTAATCCAAAGCAAAATTCGTGCAATTTTGAAAACAAGCACTCGTGAGTTTTTCAAAGACTTCAAATTGCACCCGGACTCGTGCCATTTTGATCGTCTTTGAAAAACTCACTCGTGTATGTTTTTCTCAAATTGCACTGGAAACCATGCTATTACATATAAAAATCAGTAATAAACGGCTTTTTGAGAAAAAACTCAAAGTATGTTATAAGCAAGTAATGTTATCGTTTTTTGAGCAATTACGGCAAAACAGTAAACTTGTCCTTTGGAGACTAATGGTATTTTGTTGCAGTCTTTGAAAAACCCTATTAGTTTGTAAGTTGATCCGTAGTTGAAATCGAAACTTATCATACCTAAACTAATTATTTAGTATATAAATATAAACATGCACGAGTGATTTTTTTGTTGCGATGCCAAACTTTTATAAACATTAACCACTAAAACAAAACTTATCACGCACGGAGCTATCGTTTGAAGCAACAAGACATTGACATTAAAACAATGCATTAAACAGAGCGCTTTTCTTTCACTCGTTACCAGTCATGTCTTAGATAGGGGCATGAATACGGGGAGAAAATGGGGGACCTCGATTTTCATGTGACAAATTCCAATCAAAGATACTAGTTGCTTTTGAGGAAAAAATCATTTCAGAACTGCTACTGTTGATGTTAAATATTTCTTTCTCTGATACTATCAAAAATGCTATATGTTATTTTAAAATTGAGGCCCGCCCTCAGTCCCCTTTTAAAAAAGTCGGTCCCAGAACGTAGGACACTACTAAATTTTTTTTGGAATGTGCGCTACTGCATGAACTATTTACATGAACTGCCTAAAGATGAATTTTGTATTGGGAGATTTGGGAGCGAGTTAGGAAGTATCGTTATTTTTTGTGGTCCGTCCATATTCCGTATATACTTATTATTACTATATGTATTATACTCAGACGGATGATGCGTGAAAACGAACTATCCATGCAAACTCGTCTTAATACACGAACTATTCAGATAATTTGTCTTTACGGATGATTCATCAGTTGCCCCGTGCTTACACTCTGAAGAAATTGACGAACTATGTTTTACACTACGGATGATGCATCTCTAGTATAAATCGGGCCAATGGCGCTATTCAATTGTGAATTCTATTTTTGGAGCGTATGAGTCCGTGTATAAGTTTGTTGCCTTGCAAATATATAAATGGTAGTTTAATTTTTGTCTAAGGGCCTAATTCTATGGAGGCGAGCTAGCCCGATTATTTCAAGGGATTAAAAGGAGCCAAAACATCAAGGTTAAAAATTACAACTGTATTCGAAGCACTGCACGTCACTCCGGTTGTAATTCTCAAATTATGGCAAATTGGTTGTTTCAATTTTAAATTTATTGAAAAGTTGTTAAATCAGAATATTGTGAAATTGCTTGAGAAGATTTATTTGATGATAAGTATTGAATCGTTCTTTTCAATTTGCCATAATCATTTAATGCTTGGCTGAACCCGGCTACCGGGCTCATGTACTCAGCCCCTAAGTTGTTAATAGTTGATCGCCTGCTTTGATAAAGTGACTCAGTGATAAAGAAGTTGCCGATAAGAGGGAAAGACGAGTTTTTGCTGCCATTCAACAACTTAATATTGTGGAGCAGTAATGAGCTAAGGCTTAGGATAACGAACACCACGGTTTTGAAGAAGAGCGCTAAAGTTTCATTGGTATCTCAATTAAATATTGACGGTGTAACAGTCGAAAAAGGTCTATTGGCTTGGTCAACATGACCTCGCAGTAGCGTGGTTTCAATCGACTTATGGTGGAAGATATCTTGATTTAACATTTTCCGTTCACAAGAATTGAAAATGATTCAGCCTTTGTAACATAATACAAATAATCTTTATAACATAATACATATTAGAAAGGAAAGCAAATAAACTTTGGGTAAACTTTGCGACACGTAAACAAATAAGAAAGATTGACACTTCCATAAATGGGCATAAAAGACCATTTTTAGGTTCTTGACGTCTTTCACGAATCACGATACGTCGTGTTTGCTAAAGTTCTCTAACTATTGATTTGTGAAGAGTGCATATTCATTAAATATCATTCATTATTCTCTCAATAATACTCGCAAAAACGGAATATCTTCAGTGCCACAACTAAATCTTAAGTCGCCGTTTCGTGAATAACAGTTTCGTGAATAAATATAAGTCTAATTAAAATCAACAAGATTTTCCCAAGTTTAATTTTTTAATATGAAAAACAACGATGCTATAAAACTTTGACTCAATGGTAGGTATTCCCTTCAACACCAACAAGCCTGCAGTCAGCAGTTTTTACCAACGATTTACATCGTTTGTGGAAATAATCATCTCCTCTGAGCGTGACTGTTAAAGCTCCACATTCAAATGTCTGAAATATTGTTTAGATCAGTGCCTCCCCCGCTTCCCCACGCTTTAAAAGCACATAACGCACGAGCTAAAATTATAACCGTCTATGGTGATGTAAAAAGATTAAAATTGCAGTGTTTGCAGTTGTATAACTTCGTTGTCTTGCGCTATTTGACGTTTAATCGTGGACGATTTCTAAAGAATTTTATAAAATTTTCTAAAGAATTTTAAACTTGGGAAAATCTTGTGGGGTTATATTTAACATGTAAAATATTTGAAATAAGATGTGACGGAAAGTAATTACTGTCAATACCACATTCATTTTGCGCGTAATGTTGCTAAATTAGTTCACAAGGTCAAATTTTCATCGCAAAGTTTATTTATTATCTAGTCACAAGACGTATTTGCATCAATATTGATTTATAATTTGATTTGATGATAAATATAATTGGCAATGAACATTTGGACTTTTAAACGCAGAATTACGGGTATAGTTTCGGCACAGTATAGTAATATAAGTAGGGCCACTTCGCTGTGCAACTGACTGCTGTATATTTGATTAGTTTACTGGCTGCCGTTTCGCCATATAGTCAATCCTGTTGGTCACCACCAAATGCGATTTACTGGCTGCCAATATGGTAATCACATGTGTGATAAGATATGCGCGGCACGAAAAATTCAGTGGAGTGGCCCTACTGTATGTTCTCTATACTGTGGTTTTGGTAAATTTTATGAAAATTGTGAAAATTGTAAAAAAAATTGAAAACATACTTAAGCCACTTTTGGTAAGACTTTTAGCAAAAATGGTTTTGAAATCTAAAAAAATTTATTGATAATGTAATGTACAGCAACAGTCTAACATAAAATCGTGAAGTTTGATGGCAGAGCAGGGCACTTGTACATAATTGTATTTAAAAAGACATTCCGTAAAGAACAAAACATGTACGTACTTCCTATTGGTAGCAAAAACTTTACGCCAAATATATAAATCTTTTCACTTTAACTTTTAATATGACTGTATTCAAATCTATCCATGCGAAGGCAAGCGTGGTATGGTTCAATGTTCTCATACGTGGGTGACAAAGAAGTCTTTAGTTGACTGTAGTATAGCACAAATCACTTTTCAGACCTAAGTAGATCCTGTAATGCCATCATGGTATCTACACCAGAGTTTCGCTGGAAATATAGGAAGCAGAAAGGTGTTTCAAATTTTTTGTATTCTTTGATAATTCGTTAACATATTGTCACAATATTTAAATATAAAGTCCAGCAAACTGTCTTATAAGAGCCAGAAAATTGAAATGTATATTATATTTGACATATTACTGGATGAGGTTAAACATGATATTAAGAATTAAGTAGAACGATCGGGGTCAATGTTTTCTGCCGAAGTAGTCTGTATTTTTTTGGTTGAAAGTGTAGCCATGGATTAAATTTTTCTGTGCACTTATTCTCCATAATTTGAACTAATTTCAATTTGTGAAACCGAATTTGATTCATATCACGAAGAAAGATGTGCCATTAAGGCCAATAATACATTTTGGGCTTTCAGTTGTCACATGTTAAAATTACGTCACCTTCAAATAGTTTTCACCTTACGTCACCTTGAATTCTTGATCGCAATTCGAAACATTTGAAAATTTATTGAATCGTTTTTATCCTTGCCTTCGGGAGCACTACAACAACATGTGCAATTGTATAATATTAGATAAAAAATTATATCACATGTATCTCCGTACGCAAAGCTTTGCTGATCACTTGATGGAACTTTTAAAAGTAGATATGATTAACATGTATAATTAGTATTTTCAAAACAAAGAAAATGTAAAGCTTCTTAGCTGAGCATTTTTCGTTACAGGGGAAACATTAAATGTGATCTCACGCGATCAATGATTGGAATTCTTTAGCAGGTGAAAAATTCGCTAAACATCTTCATACTCACAACCTCTGTAGCTACAATATCAAATTTTATTAGAATAGTTTTTGTTTTGTATTGTTTATAGTCACTAAATCATGATGGTTTTATAGCATTTTTAAATTGTATTTATTGTTACTGCTCCATCGAGCTGAGTTAAATACTTAATAAGGATATATTTACAGAAAAGTCTTCTATAAATATAGCCTCATTACGTATCTAATTCTGCTCGATTTTGAAAATAGTGCGAATTAAGAACTTTCTTTTGATAAGCTAAATTCATTATTCAAGTCATCGGAAAGTGATAGCCCTCTATACTTACTATACGTCGACGAATCGGCGCCTTTTTAAATTAAATCCATTACTCCAAAAGGGACATTTATCAAACAATTGGATGTATACTATATTCTGTGTATGGATAAAGGCCGATTTATGCTGCGCGCGACGTGTCGCACAGTAGATCTTACGTCATTGCGACTAAAACGGAAGTATATTTTGATGGCGCGTTTGCTTGATGTCGCGTCGCGTGCATTCAAAAATTTTGTAACGTCGAAGACAAGTTGTCGCGTTGTCGCGCGTTGTGATTGGCTGAAAGGCTTCTTTCGGGGGGAAGTTCTTGAGTTGTTTGTCAATACTGAATAATGAATATCCAATTACCAACACAAGCACAGAATAGATATATACAGAAGCGCCACTCAGCAAAAAATCTGTCCCCTACTTGTACCCAGTCTTAAGCACCCGTTTCGCTCATTCTAAATGGGTATTACTCAGAGTTCTAAATTTTAGAATGCGGAAGATAGCCAATTTAGATTGCTTTCTGTGCTATCTAATAATGGATGCGGTGTGATGTTGTTGTACACTATTCTACATATAAGGATAATAATATCTGTGATCGTCGCCATTTTTGTTTCCAAACATACACTGAAAATCTATACCAAGGATTATTTAAATACAATGAACAACAGACCTGAAAAGTATAACAAACTTTCAAGAGAGCAAATTGATGCTCTTAATTACTATTTTGAGAATGGCATGAAATCTACTCTGTGTTTTGAGCTGATAAAAACAGCCGCCGAAGAAACGTCGTTGTCTGTGGACAAGGTCAAGGTGAGAACGATCTCTTCTTTAGTCGTCCACCGTGTCCACCGTCTTTTAAAATTTTTTCTGTATGCAGTAAACCAACTACGAAACCAGCGCCATCAAATCAAAGCCATAAGTATCTCAATAACATCCCTAAATTTGTATTTCTACTCCACATTAATTTGTATGAAGTTCTACTTTAAACTTTCCTTTTTCAAAAAGCACATTCTTATAACGTATTGTGATATACAATGGACATTCTTTATGTACAGAGTTATAGGCTGTGAAACACAGTAACTGGTGCAGCTTTATTGTAACACTTGATGTTATAATGTCAGTAAAAATTTCACAAAATTTGTTTGATACTGCATGTTTTGAAATTATTCAAAAGCTTCTTCACAACTGACATTATGCTTTTTTCAGAAATGGATAGGCAACAAAGCTGCTTCTGTCAAAAGAAAATGTCAATCTAATAATTCGGTGTCACCACTACCCTCATGTAATCCACCAAAAGTCCCCAAACCACCACCCAGACTACGGGGGTCAAGCGGATATAATCTATTTTGCTCAGAATTTTTTAAATCAAGTGAATGAAATATTAAATCACTTTAGTATAATAAATTAGGGTTTAAGGAATGTTACCCACAAGAATTCACTATGATGAAAGCCTTGACAAATTTATCCATTATTGCAGATGAAGTAAAGGGGTTGTCTCACCTGAGTGAAAAAAATAAATTGGCTTCTGTCAAATGGATTGGTTTAGGAGAATCCGAGCAAAATAAATACATACAGAAAGCTAATGACATGAAAAACAACCCAGTGACATTAGATGATGCTCAAAGAACAAAATTGGTTGATCAGCAAATGAAACTTTTAGCTGAGGAGGTAACAGTCGTTTTAATAATTTAATTTTGCAATGAATAGCAGAGGTAGCATTCAGTAATTAGAATAAATTAGAATAGGCTATTGATTGGGGAGACTTTAGTCTCTGGAAATGTACATAATTCATGGTATTCTGATAAAGGAAGTTTATATTGCCTTAACATTGGATGCATTTTTAATAGTGTTATGTTGAGTAAAACTCTTTGTTTTGGGCATGTATTTTTTGTGCAAACATGGTTGCAGTGATTACCAGATAGAAAGTTATTTCTTATTGCAAACTTGTTTTTCTTTTGGCATGAAATTTGACTTGAACGTCATCTGGCATGAAAATCTTTTTTGTATTCTGGTTGTGTGGAATGTATCAGTTGAACTGTTTCATAAGGCTATGAAAGAATTAATGAAGAAATGATTTAATAATAATAAACTATATTTAATGGTAGTATGAAGTTTAAAGTTTGTGTGAAATTGAAATTTTATACAGTTACTAAATGCTGTGAAAAGTGATTGTAAAATTCTTTTGGTTCCAAGAAGATTAATCACTGAAGAGATGATTGTTGTTGCTGTTGTTGTTGATATTTTATAACAATATTTGTACTTCACTGTCTTAATCACAGATGTAATGCAGACATATATGTCATATAATTTGGGATATGTAGAATAGTGTTTGGACAACAAAAGATTCTGTTTAATTCTCCATCAGTAATGATGATCATTACATTAGCATTGATGATATAGCATTACATTTGTAGAAATAATAATTATCATAGCAATACCAACAACAACAGAAACTATGTATAGTAAATAAAAAATAGTGGCAATAATAATAAAAACAAATGTCATCTCATGCCATTTGTTAAAGTCCATATTGTTGCAAACTATACATAGCTTTTTGCAGTACTTATGCCTAATGTAACCATTATCAGTTATTTTACTTTCCTTTTAGTTCAGTTACTTGGAGTATCTTGGTTGCCAGGCCAGCTGCTTACTGGTGAATGGAAAAAAAGAACTTTATGTCCTTGGTTCATCAGGAGGAAAAAGATTTGTTCACAATGAACCAGCAGTTTTGTGCAAGTTTCAAGCAATGTTTGGTAAAGAGTAAAAATTTTGCAAAGATCACAAATTCGTAATAGGCATAAAGTTTAACTTCTGTTGATATGTCAGCACCAGTTTCATGGATACCAGTTACTGGATGGTAGTCAAGTACATACATATGACTAAGTTTCAGAGCTTTACTATAATGTCATGTTACGTATGGTTGCAAAATGTTCATCCCATCTCAAAATAGCATATTTCTAACGGTAAATATTAAAGTATTTTGGTATCCGATAAAGTGGTATGTATATAATATCATGAAACCATTTGCTACACTGTGTTTCACGCCTTTTGGCAATCACCAGGTGAATGACAGTTTAGTTGATGCTTTATTTTACTTTTATGAATTTATATTTTGCTCAATCTATAAAGATATTGAGCACACTTTTATAACGAAAATTCACAAACTATAATTTTATATTGACAAGCCTGCTTCGTGATTTCTCACTCTTCATTAAATTCTCTAAAAAGAGTGAAAAATCACGAAGCAAGCTTTTTGGGATAAAATTGTAGTTTGTATAGCTAAAAAAAAATTTGTATGCTATATTTGGTAGATGTAGACCGAGAAAAACAGAAATGGACTCATGAGGATGTAAGAATGCTCTTTAACAAGAAGTATGGTAAGTTAATTTTTTATTTATTCTTGTACGCAGGTCTTCACCATTGAGAGTGACGTGATCATACAGGTGTAATTTTAACCACCACAGGCCTGGATAAAGTATTTCACTCTATGGCTGCAAGTTTAAAAAAAATCTTTTTTGAAAAAACTTTTCATTAAATACTTTTGAAAACAGTATAATGTTGTTAATAACAGTTATGTACAAAGTTTGCCTGTATATTCCTGAATGGTAGTGTTTACCTTACAGTGATATTTTAATTTTACCTTTTGATACACCTGCATAAAGAAATCTTCTCTGTTTTTTAATAAAAAGTATATGGAAGATACAAAATTTTTTCCTGTGAGTAATTTTGTAAAAATTACCCTTTTTACAGTCATGTTGTTAAGTCATTATGTTTGTTAGTTCTTGTCAGTGAGCATTTTTCTTAAAGGTGAAGCAAAAGGTGTGACTGGTTCTCGCGTTCCATATCTTTCTGGTGGTTTTCATGTTGAAGGACTACCAGATAACATTCGCCTAAAGAAGCCACGACAATATGGCTCAAAGGAAATACAAAAAATCATGGACTGCCAGGATAGTATTTCCTTCATTCTTGAAACATCAGAAGGTGCACCTTTGCAAGATTTTGGTGAAGACTGCAAGGAATTGCTTAGTAATGTATTCGGAAAATGTGACTTTAAAGTATCAAAAGATGTGGCGGTATTGGATATTAATGAGACACATAACATTTCTGAAATCAAAGAAATAATATCAACACACTGGAAAGTGTTATGTCCAGAAGCTTTGACAGAGTTAAAAAAAAAAAATTGAATGCATATGTGTCTCAGGCAAATCATTTCGTTTTGCCTGTGTACTGTGATGATGAGGAAAGTCAGTTCTGGCTTTTTTCATATACGGGATCTCTACAAGCTCTGCACCAGATAAGCGCAAGAGGTAAATTGACAGGATGTTGGCTAAATCATGAGTCAGGCAATACCTTCCACCTTATTAAAAAAAAGGAAACAATCTTTGGAAAAAATATTATTAAGGACAATGGCAATGTAATTTTTGAGACTCATAGGTTTACTGATTATACCCAAACCTTCATATTGAACAAGTCCTTTGAAAGGAAAGTTACTCAAATTTTATCAAAACAGGGATACATATAGTTTTCAATTTCACACCAATGAAATTGTTTACAATGGTAATAGGTAGCACTGCAATATGTGCATTGTAATCAACTCAGTTTTCAGTTTTAGTTGGATTGTAGATAAGCCAGCTTTAGTTGGATTGAACATGTATTTTTAAAAGGTAATATTCTACTATTCACATATAAGCCATGCAGAATGTCTAATTCTATAATTAAAATTTCGAAGATTAAAGCCCAAAAGTAAAAACTACATTATATAGAAAAATATTTTTTTGAGGGGGGGTTCTACCTTTCACCTACACAAAGACATGCACAATTCAATGGATGGGCAAATAAGATATCATATTTGTAAAAATAACTGTAATAATTGAGATACTTATGCATTAGTAAAAAATATTTATGTTTGTGCAACCAGAAGAAATAGCTTTGGACAATTGAGTTAATTTCTCTTGCTGGCGTAATGCACATGTTTCTTTTATTGCAGGGAGAGTAGTTACTTTATGTAGCAAGATGCCAAAGTCTAAGCAGTCTTGTTGACTTAGGTTGTTGTCAATACTTCCACATAAAGCTTTGACTTCATTAAGATTCAGAAATACTGGCACCCAAACTTTTTTGTTTTCTTTTTGTTTCACAACAATAATGTTTTGAACTCCAAGACCTCCATGAGCAAATCCACAAGAATGCAACAACTCTATGCCTTCCCATATCTTAATTAATAAAGATATCCACTCGGCAAAAGTGATTCCATGAGTATAGCACAATCCTTCCAAGGACATGTACACTCCAGTTCCTACATGACCATAAAATTTTGTTATTAAAATGAATGGCTTTTCATCCCGACAAATACCAATTAAGATTGGAAAACATGGATGAGATGGTAAGCTAAGAATAGTTCTTGCTTCATCAATGACATCAAACTCAGATTTCCTCACTGCAACTGCCATTCCTCTAAACCAACATAACTCCATGCTATCAAAATTCCCATTTGGGAATGAATATGTAGGCTTCTTTGATGAGGAACGTAGCAATTCCGACCGATTGATACTCATGCAATCAGGTAATCCACATAGCATTTTATTCTCAGTTGAGCAATCTATGAAATGAGACAAGAAAATAAAGTTTGCTCCATGTCCAAGGTAGTTCTTCTCAAGATGGAAAATCATTCCCACCAAAAAAGGTTCTCAATATTATATACAATTAACAACAAAAATTAAGCCCTTCCTCAAATTATTCTTATCGTGTGCCTCTGAAATTTATGTTAATTAGGGACTGCGCTAGCTATTTTAAACCATACCATTTTCCGTATGACATTGGTTAACATTTTCAATGGCGTCGATGTGGCTAATGCCAGAATAAAAGTAGACATGATTGCTATGAATTCGCTTCACCGTAGGAAAACACTTTCGTACAATGAACCCACACTCTCGAACAGATATACTCTTATATTTATTTCTCAACACTTTTAGAACATCTGAGCATTTTACGCGACATAAGGAATCTTGATGAAACAGAGTTGACAACCTATAATAAAGTCATATATAACGATTAAGGACACAAGCGACTGCGTTCACGGATCACCGGTTGACAAAAAACACCACAAGTGGAGACATTCTCACCAATTTGCACGAGCTTCTCGAAAGTGAGACGGTTTATGTTTTCTTCTTGATGCATCTTTTTTCGGCATTGCTTCAACTCAAATGACATAAATGGGCTTTAATATGGACGGGCAGTACAGTTTATAAGAGTATGCAACATATGTGAGTAATGTCCATTGTCCATATATAAAATAAAAACAATAGTACCCGCTCGGTGATTGGTCTATAGCCGTGTGTGCATTAACCTGTGCAAACCGACTTCAACTCAACCAATCAAATCAATCTATTAACCAAAAAAAAATTGCATATCGATGTAAATTTATCTGTTTCGAATTATTGTTTCGTATCATTGTATACAAGAGGTAAAAACTGTTTTTCGTGTTTGCACCATTGCACTGGCTTATGCAAACCTTGAAGCCGTTTGTGGGAACTCGAGCAGATGCAATCGTGCAACCCAAGACCTTCGGTCTCCTGCTTGCACTGATCTGCTCTCAAGTTTTCCCAAAGGTCTCATTGGTTTGCATAAGGCAAATTGTATTTCTCAGATGATATATGGGAATATGTGACGAAAAAGATCTAATAAATGCCCTATATTACATTAACACTTTATACATATTAAACACCCCCCCCCCTCCTCCTTGCAACGCTACTTACTAATAAAGTCCCGTCCTCGATAGACACCCACCACCTTCACAACATTATCTTTATGATATATTAATTATAGTGGGTTCACAATTTGGCTTATAAGAAGTTTAGTTTGTCTTAGTTTTGTTTTATATTTGTTCACACAAACAACTAATATACACGTCTCTCTTTTCATTTCGCTGCACCACAACATCTAGAATTGATTAAACGCCCTGGCCGTTGATAAATTCATTTACGGTACCAACGAACACTCAAAATAAAGCAACATATATATCATAAATGAATTCCACTTTTAACATTTCGAAATTAGAATTCCGCTGCGTCACATTTTCACTTTACGGTGCTTTTTGTGAAATAAACAGCACCGCATAATCAATATCATCGAGCATATGTGATTGATACACAAAGTATGCAGTAGCCAGTAGCAATGTTTTGTTACAGCAAATAGTTGACAGTTGTGGCTTTAAATTTTTTAACAAATTATGTTTCAAATAAAATATTGATTTTTTTAGTTAGTACAACGACCCTTATAGCATGGACCTTATTAGTAGCAGAGTATGTAGCATCTTATAATAAAAACAACCCCCAAAAAACCGATCACGTTCTTTTCTTAACATCAGAATGTTACTTTAGAATGTGATTGTAGGGAGGGTTGGTATTGCGTAGAGAGTATTTGAAGCTCACGGCAAGAATGCGTGATACGTAATACGTGCAATGATTACCGTAGGCGTGCAACGTGACAAGAGTGTTCGATCTGTAAAATGACTTACGTGTTCTGTGAAATGGCAACAGTGCTCAGTAACGCAGATTAATAATTTTGAGTTTTATATTATTTCAATCCAAACACGTATTCGGATTCATTTCTCATTTACCTCTTACAGCGGCAGTGCCATCAAGGGTGCCGAATCAGACCGCACTCTCTCCTCAGCATCGTTTCGTTAGCTTGAACATCGGTAAAGTTAGTCATCTGTTTGGAGTTAATCTCGAGCAAAATATGAAACATGGGAAGGCTTGTAACGTTAAAAGACAAATTGGATGATTTAGACGGACAAATCATGAAATTCGGTGTTTTCAAAAACTCGCCCCAGACCCCGTTGATCAACTGACAAAGCTTTGGATACGTCTCGGCTATTTTATATATGATATAAATGCTCACAATTTTAGATGAATTGGGTTGGGCAGACAGAGCTAATTGGTTGGAATATATGTCGCATATAAACTCTTACTTGTAAGACATTGATAAATAATAAAGAACATAGTTCTCTCACAATTCAACGACAGGTCAAAACTTCCGGTGTTGTACAGAAGAAGAGAAAATGACTGTGCACTAACATGACGTCACAAAACCACAAATGTTTGCGTGATATCAGTTATACTAGATACGTGAACAACTAAATTACATAAGTACATAAAAAGTAGCTATTAGTTTACGAATAGTAGCTATGTCGTCTATTCAATGTCACTGTCCACTTCTGAGAGCTCTTCGATGTTTCCATCTTCAGTATCGGATTCCTCATACGGTGAGCTTTCAGATTCATTGGGAATGTTGACATCATTGGTTAAGTTGACAATCTCAGCCTGGAGAAGAAAAGTTTCTCCAAGTGGAAGCTCAAAACTTTTCTTCAAGCTGAACAACTCATTCCGCAATTTGGTTTTAAATCTTATCAGTTCATGCTTTGAACCAAGCATGAATTCATCGCTGCTCAAATCACCAAGATCAGCAAGTGCTTCATCAATTTTGAGATAAGATTGGTGTAATACAATAGAAGCCTTTCTCTTTCCAAGTTTAAAAGTTTCTCTTCCTCGTCACATCGTTTTAGGATTAAGTACATTTCAATAGCCTTCCTCTTTGTGTATACTGGGACCGAGGCTTCCCCTAGAATGTCATCCTCACCAGACTCAAATCCCTCATAAAGGTCTGATGTAGGATCTTTCGCGTTGTCAAATGTCAGACGATCGGGTAAACTGTTTATAAAATCACGAAGAGAATCAATGGCAGCATTGTGTTTCTCAATTGTTAATTTCATCTTGTTCGTGATCTTGGTGATTTGCCTGGACAAGCGAGTGGCAATTTTCTGACCATCTAAACAAGTAAAAGGAATACAAGATTAACATTTACAAGAACAACAAAAGACAGATATGGTAACATAGCTTAGGTTACAAGTATTCGAAATTTACAGTGCATTACAGTACCTGCATACTTCTTTTTCAATGTTATTAAGAAATGCCTTTCTATGGAAAGTCCATGTAAAGCTCCGATAGTATCTTTTCGTTTTCTTTGTATGACTTGCAATGCAACGACGTCAAAATTAGGATGACCAGGTTTCCATCTTTCTTTTACAGAATGCTTTCGTTCAATATCTTTTAAAATCTTTCGAAACCTGTTTACATAAATTTTGCGCGTATGTAAAAAAAACTTTAAAGCAAAATATTGCTTTGACACATTTATACATACTGGTATAGTTTTTTCGACATCTGATGAATTGAGTAATCTTCAGAGGTTATCTCCTGGTTTTCTTCAAAACATCCGAATGATGTAGCACTAAGAATTTAATAATTCACCAATTAGGCTCAAAAGAAATATTAAAACGTCTATAGGCATGTATTATAGAGAAACAGCCAGTTTAGTACATTAAAAAACCTACCTTAGTTGTTTAAAATGCAGTAGCTTTTGAACGTACGTCACTTTCCAGTTTTCCGTGATTTCTTTATGTTCTGTATTTAAAAAGTATGTCTTTATATCCTACAGACTGAATTGTTAAGAATGAAACTATTTGCCATGAATAACATTATATACCTGGGTAGACTCTTGACATAATTTCCTTCTCTCTGGCCTCCCACTGACAAACAATTTCAGGATCGTACGTCACTAACAAACAAAATAAATTCGTATTTCCTTGGATGCAAATTGAATTGAGAGTTTGGTTAGGCAAAAAGAAATCTTAAATACTTTTCGGCCACAGAAAACATAAGAAATTTCTAACCTACCAGAACTACTTACCAGGTAGTTCGCTAAATAAATCCTTCATTTCTTGTTGCGTTTTAATTTTAAGTTGTAAACATTTTTTAAGCTTCGACGTTAACGATTTTCCTGAAACAAATCATATACAAAAATTAAAACAATTAAGGGCAACAAACAAATAAAACATTTTCATTGTGTCAACGCATAAAGCAATGACAATATTCAAGCACCTGCATTGCTAAAATTTCTTCGAGATAAGTGAAGAAGAGCGTCTGTCAAAAGATCTACTCTTCTACTGGCAGACATCTTCTTAGTGATAGCTGAGAACCCACGAAGGTAAGCCCAGAGCCTTTCAATAGCCTCACCATCTGTAAGACCAAAACCATCCAGCCTTCTAGGACTGAACTTGACCTGTTTTTTTGAAGACATTAAAAAATAATATTTTACCTACGGGGGCTTTTTATCAAGGAAGAAACCAGAGCAGAAAAGATTGTCTTTCTTCAATCGCTACAGCATTACCCAGGGATGTACTTTTCTGGAGGGAGGGGGTGCTCTAGTTTGGATAAGATTCTAGTGGCTGCTTGTTGCCGTAACATGCAAGGCATTTTTCGTTAAATTTTTTTTACTTATATAAAATGATTGGAGATTTTTGAAATTGTGCTCCATAAACCCCAATTACGATCGCTTGATGGTTTGATATACATAAATTTCTTAGGGAAAATGCCACTCCTCATCCATCTCCACTAATCACATTTGGAGGAGAGCACACTCCTCCGCTATCCCGCCTCTTAATCCATCCTTGTCATTACCAGGTACAAAGCTTTATTCATTACCTGGCATGAAGCCTTGTGTCCATAACAATGAAATATCGGCAACGAAATTGACACTTTTGACAAAATGTCATGCCTCTTGTTTGCCTAGAACGGTACCAATTTATTCAAAGTTTAGTTGGTGAATGAACTTGTCCCACATCATACATGCCAGCATTAAGATACCTTTAAATGTGATGATAATACACATCCAATATCATACATTATTTTTAAATCAACACCAGGACTTTGGTCAGCATCTTTTAAAATGCTTTGGATTAGGAACAGCGAATACGAAATTCTGAATATTAATAATAAGACACTAAATATTTTTAAAGGGTAATAATAGATCTCGTTAGCACAGAATCGTTTTGTCCTTTGTCCCTTTATTTCAAAATTGACACAGGAAAAGAAATTATAACTCGACGATTTGTTCTCCATACAACCTCATCAAAGATCAACAATATTGATAATTACGTGCAAACCAAGGCTAAGACACTAACCTTTCCCCATATTTAGTGCTGAAAAATCGTCCAGGGTGTGAATGCCGACTGCAACAACTACCAAACACTCCTTTTTCATCAAACAGTTGATCTTTTCCTTTGGAGTGAAGTGCTTCTGTAACTTCTCCTGCCTTAAATATCTGACAACTCTAAAATAAGTTGGAGCACATTATAGATTAGCGCATACATAACAATTGTTTTATTACTATAAAAATAAACATGACAGTTTACACAATCAAGTCATAGACCATGCATAGACATGATAAATTAAAGGAAAAGAAAAAAATTGGCTGTTTGTAATTTTGATTTTAAATCCACGTAGCTACTTACGTATGTATGAGGGCCCATGGACCTGCATGAAGCATAGACCCACTTTTCTCAGGGGCGAAGCCTGCCCAATCTTTTACTCTTACAATGCAAATTTGTCAGCAAAATTGTTAATAATTTCTTTAGAAAATCAAATCCATTCATTGTTTTTCCAGTGATTGAATACAAAAATATTTGCAATGTAAAAGTAAAAAAGTGCTGGCTTTGCCATTGCTTTTCATTGGACTACATATGAAGTTTGTTTTCAAACTATTCACTCCCCCTCCCCCTCCTCTTCACAAAATACTTTTGAATAGGCTACAAAGTCCTTCATCTTGCAATAATTACCTCTCCTACTTTGTTATTAGACTTGCTATAATGATCAACAAAATCATCTACTTCATCCTGACCAGCAAACTTAAGGCAGCCATGGTTTGGGACGGCAAAACTATTCCCTGCCAACTTTTTTGAGTTAGACCAAAGCAAGCATCCATGGAATGAATGGCCACACCTAACTCACCAGTCTAAAGCAAACAAAGCTCTTTAATAAAATGAAACGAATTTTATGGTAAACATGTAACACTTCATATTTCACAACAACTTTAAATGTTCTGATAATATATGTGACAAAAACATATAATTTAAAATAGTTCACAAAGCAAATAGTAGAAAAAAGAAATCAAATACTGACTTGTGGGCAAAGAGGGCAATTTCTATAATCAATCAGGTCTTTCTGTATGAACTTTAATGATCTGACTTGGTGTTTGAAATATCTGACAAAAAAATCAAATTCTTAAATGATATAATATATACAGTCAAACCTCTTGTATCAAATGACCCTGTACTAAGCAGATACTGTGTAAAATCCAAACCTTAATCTCATATAGCTAATAATAATGGAAGTATCATGATGAAACCTCAATCAAGCTGACACTTTCATTAAGCTGACACTAGTCTGTTGTCCAATGGTGTGTACTTAAAACAGGTTAGACTGTACTACTCTACACATATAATCTAACTATTAGGTCTACATTAAATGTAAATAGACTTTTGTTTTATAACATATAACATACCTGTATTCATCGAATGATCCATTGTTTAACACATTATATATGTTTTTGACCTTAACAAGAATAAAATGAACACCTAGTAAACTTGTGCATTTGTTTCAAAAATAAAATAAGGTTGAATACAAAGTCATAACAGCAAAGGAAACTTCATGTGCAATTTGAATGTGCTGTTACCTTATTTGAGGCAAATACGCATTATTTATGTTGTTTGTAAATAACAGTGATTCAGTAAAATTTTTTTGCAAAGTACAACCCATCCATTTCCACTATTTGATGGGTAGACTATCATATGGGTGCACAATTCAGGTTTATGAGAAATACATACCAGTCTAGGTAGCATTTCAGGATATTCAACTTCAACAGTGCTGCAAAATTTGTGCAAGGATACATGGCTCTCGAGCAAGAATTTTTCAGCAAAATCCATGAAGTCAAAGTGAAATGCAATTTTGGGTTTAGAAGATGAGCCTGGCCACAGCTGGAGTTTAATTAGTTTTTCAGCATCCTTAATACACTGACAGAATTGAACAATTTTTAAATGCTGCCGACCTAAATTTTGTATGAGATTAAAAATTGGATTAATTGTATGCAAATAATTAACATAGAAATTATTGGCCTGAATGAAGCTAATGCTTAACAGTATTACTAACATATACACATTTACATGTAGTCAAAGTCAAAATACTGTCATTGTTGCCAAACTGTACCTTTTCCATCCACACATATTATAGTACGTGATTCTGTTGAAGAGCAGTTAGCATGCTGACTGTCACGTAATATACCACCAATAAGTAATGGAACAAACATTTCACAATCAGTCTAAAGAGTAGTTATTTAAGCATCAGAACATGTATACATTACATAAGGCACCATGCACAGCATATAGCAGCATATCCTTCTTGAAAATGATTGATGGTTTTAACAAAATACTACATATTAAGTTACTTTAGAGTTACGACATGGTTGTAAAAAATTGCCAGCATTTGATGAATACTAGAGCTTAACAAGCCAAATTCCAAATGTAAAAAGCAAAAATATTTCATATGAAGCATTGACTTTTGGAAATAATCACCTAGAATTGCCTTCTAATAGACGACTTAACTTGTTTATGTTTTGCTGGCAGGCAAATTTTATAGGGATTCATCTGTGCCGCCAGAAAGAATTAAGCTTACCTTCCATACTTCAACCAAATGGAAAACATTCCTCGTTCGATGAAGGGATTCCGCACACTCAAAACAGTAGAACTGTCCGTGACCGCAATCACGACATCTAATTTCTGCTTTCTTTGCTGGTATGCCATCTTCTAAACATTTTACGCAGAGTTGTCCTGGTATCATGGCACAATTTTCGATGTACGACTTTACTAAATTGTCTTGCAAACACTTCCAGGATTCGCTTTCATTCACTCTCCTCCTTTCATATCGAGATCCAGTTCCACGTAAATTATTTGTACCTTCGTCGTTAAGGTTTTCTTGAAAGCTTTCAAATGTATCGATCGTGCGAATGGGAAGAACAACATTAGGAGAGAGAGAAATATTTTTCCTACTAAGTTTCCCAGCCGCAGAGTATGTCTTCACAGTCAAAGAGTATGGTTTTACCCTGCGATTGCCGCTCCTAGTGGTATGTTTCGCTGCCGGAAAATGGCATATACAACCACAAATACAACCATCCGACTGGTGCAGCTTAAAAAAGATATTTCAGGGCTTCCATTTACTACATGTTTCGAAGTTCATGTATGAGGACAATATTTCTTCGTGTATTCATATTTTTTAGGAGTTTGCAACATCAAAGCTCGAAGCAAGGCAATCGATCAACAGGGCTCAGTCACTCAGTACTATGCTTAGTACTTTTTTAAATATCTATCGGAGAAGTCTGGCTGGGAGAATGGTACTTAGAATAATTCTAGGCTAACTTTGTCAATCCAAGAACACGTGCAGTACTGGTTTTTATAAATCGGGGTATTATTTTTTGGGTACACTTGCAAAATGTATCAATTCAGGAAGAAATTCAGACGCTCAAATGACTTCTTTTACAATAACGTGGAGAGGAAAGGAAACACACAAAAGATGATGCGGTAGGAATTTTTAAAGTGTTCTTTTTATTGTTTCTGGTTGCACAAGTTCATATTAATTTATATTTATTACGACAGTTATATTAACAAAAGTATGTGTACAAATTTATTTATGCCCACAATGTTGTGTAAGGAAAAACGATTATTCTGAGCACATTTTCCAATTTCAAGTCTGGATTCTCTACATCCTTTAATCACAATGTCATATATGTTTATAGAATAGCAGTGTGTCATATGAATCTCAATTTTTTGAACAAGAAAATGAATTTGGGGATTTAGTAAGTTTACATATATTGTAAAACTATGTAGATATAAAAATACGCTATATTTATGGGTTTTTCATTTATATGTAGAATGAACAAAGTGAAGATATTGCTGAAAATTATGACAAGCACCAAGAGTTAACCACCAAAACACAGGTTTTAATGTACATATTGATATTGTTTCTCATGAAAAGTCATTGGAAATGGTTATATGTAGGACTGCTTTCACTAGAAAAACTAAAAATTTTGAAGTAATTTAAAGAAGGCATGCATTATTTCAACACTTATTAAAAGTCTGTACACATTTTAAATTAAATAATGGTCTTTATTTGTAGGATTCTGAAGATATTTTTACCAAGCAATCTATCTCTATGATTACAGAGGAATCTAAACAACCATGTCAACATAGTCAAGTAGTTCTCACTTATACAGTTATACTTTATACTGTTTACCACTAGTCATGTTTTTAATGTGTTATAAATTGACAATATGCTTGTTGATTGCTTATGCATGAGACACTGTGTAGCAAAACTTTATTAACATCTCGTAGAAATGTGCTCAACAAACATAAAATATATTACAATAGATATTTTTGAAACAGTGAACATTAATAATTATTGTATACTTGCTCTTTCAGAGTCATTTGTCACCCACTGGCCACTATACTGGGCTATTGTTACAGTTTGACTTTGCATCAAATGTATCACGTCAGCAATCCTTTGTTGTTCATGATTATAATGCAAACAAAAGAACAATTATGGTGATGTCAAATTTTATTTCCATAATTTCAATGTTGGGTATATACCCAACTAAATGATATTACTCAATACTCTTTTTTTGGTGCTATAACCTGCATGTATTTTTTTCTTCAGCATAATTCATTTGTATTTGTTCATCGATATCCCCACCTATTGCTTGATGGCTACGGTTGGATATTGTGCTGCTCATGTGATGCAAATAGAAAGCAATTTGTTGAAGCCCTACCTAATAATATACAATTAGATCCTCAAAAGGTATGTAAAATAGATGTTACTGAAATGAAATTATTAAAACAGGCCAAACAACATTTTATACTTGTCAGATATACCATATCCCAGTTGCATACACATATTAGCAATGGAAAAATATCTGGTTGTGTATGATAGAAAGTTTGGTATTGAAGCCAAAGATTTTATTGAAAAAGTAAGTGTTGTGTGTTACTCTTTCAGGATATAAGGTGTCTGAACAGCTTCACCAAATTTAGACTTACACTTACATACTATTTGTTTGAAGACCCTTGTCAAAGATGTGAGAACTTGTTACATATTAATCTGACATTGCATGAAGTGAATGTCTCAAATTTGTATTTGGCTTATTTTTCAATGTAAAGTTCTTCATGTTGTATGGGAGGAAATGTCTTCATCCTTAAATATCAGTTTATTGTACATTTCAAACCCTTGTGAAGTCATCCTTCTGTGTTTTTACAAGACCCTTGTGAGACATTGTTCTTATTACATGTGGACGTTAACTAGCATAGCTTTACAAGCAAAAATATTGTTAAAATTTGTGAATGATTATTTACACAACATATTTATCTCATCCAATTTCTTTTATGAATGCAGAATCCACATCCATGATGCAGTCTGTTTTCAGTGATCATTCCTACCATGAGATGCAACCTGAAGAAGTATATTTTGTTATCTGAAAATAACTTTTTTGTACAAATACACGTATAGTTTCTCAACCTTCTAATACCCCACAATTTGTTACCATACATCCTGTGCCTAAGTTCAGGAGCTTCTATAAAGCTATTAGGGTGATAGCCAACAGGGCAAATTGAATTTATGACTATTGAGGTATACACATTCATACTCAAATACATACATAGCCACATACTTACAGTACATACATTAAGTAGTATAAACTAAATGTATGGTAAAAATAGTAAAGTCATATTCACCATTAGCTTTACGTGCCTGATATATATATTAAGCACTTTCTAAGGATTTTGTGAAGTCATAATTAATCATAATTATTAATCTACAACCTTAAGATAAATGATTTTACATATTTTAGGACTTGTTTAGTGCAGTGTGCAGGGAGGTTCAGTGGATTGCTGTAAAACCAGTGAATAGTCCATGGGGGGTTTGTACTTTTGTGTATTCAAAAGTAACGCCCCAGCCCGAGTTAAAATGTTGCAGCTGTTCGTCATATCATTGCATTCATGTGACAACCCTTGCAAAAGCCATGCAAATCGTTGAAGAGGATGAAATGGATTCTCCATTGGCACTTTTTAAGTGTTCCTTTGGAATTACACCAGAGATGCGAGACTATTTTGAATTGGCTACACTTAGCAAAGAAAAGGTTTCTTTATTTGAAACAGGTATGCAAGATAATCTGCAATGGTGAACATCCTTTTTGCTTTACATATACTATTTCCTTTATCGGTATGGTATTTAGCACTTTCTAGCATTTTGTAAATATTACAATTTAATTATTTTAGGCAATGAGAATGATGCAAGCGATTTTACTGATCTTCCTGAAAAAAATGGTCATAAAATTTTGGCGCCATCTGAAAGTGGTATTTGTTTTTGTGGTGCAGAGTGGGATAAACGTTCTATTCAAGATGAATGGTTGTACGTAGACGTGTGTTCAGTTGCGTACTTTTATTCAATCCATGATGTAAAAGGTAAGTTCTGATTTGTTATAGGTTACGCTTTGCTTCATAATTATTTGACTTAAATAAATTATTTAGTGTATTGTAGACCTTGCTCCTCTTGTGCTACGAAAAAGCATTATGATGGCATTGAAAACAGGATTGTATGGTTTGGATCATATGCAATATCTCATGCCGTTCTAAAGATTACATTCGGCTTTTCATAACGTCGAGGTACTTTTAATGAAAATTTGCCGAAGCATTAGTAGCTACGTTTGTCCATTATTTAATTTTCTCGCCCTATCTCTTTTGAATGTTTTTCTTTTTATTCTTGTTCAGTTTACCTATGTACAAATATTATGTTGCGTATGTACAAAGGCAAGTGTCTTCGGGTAATTTTAATTTCCCAAAGGAAATAACTTACGCCAAGTTTCGTCTCGCTATCATTGCCATGATACGGTAAGCATCATTTCATTTTCAGCTGTAAAATATGAATATTCCATTGAGATAGTGATCGCTTGTTTTATTAAGTTATTGAATTTTCTCTTATTAAGGTTGCTTAATATTGATTTTGACAATGGGTTTTTTTGTGAATTATGTGGAAGAATTCCCAAAAGGTGGTGATGGATGGAACAACTCTTGGAATACAGAAAACTTTCTTACCAAATAATTTAAGAGAGTCTGATACTGGATTGCTAGATGGAAGATAAGTATTTTTGAAGTTTATCTGTAATGTATAGTATATACAGGTCTTCTAATTAGTAAATACGAGTGTTCATCTACGTATCAGAAAGCATTTTATGCATGATGGTGACTTCTCTCAATTTGTTTTGTACACAGCTTATAGTTATAAAAATAACAACCTGTTTTCTTTTGTCCAATACTAGGTTTGAAATGCGCAATTTCATCAACAGGAGAAATGTGCGAGCTTTATTGAAGAAGTACAGTGATTCAAAGCTAAGTTGGGACGAATTTCAAGAATTAAAATCTGAAGTAAGAAGAATTTATTACCCCACGAGTACAAAATTTTGTATGACCACTCCAGAGCTCATTTTATACTATAATTTCTCGTATTTATAGATATCTTCAAAGGGGCTTAGGACTCTACTTGAATGGTTAGAGAAACAAGGATTTATCACTAGTTGTCCAAACTCGTGCAGAAGGTTATTGGCAGCATTGGCTTCTGACAAACCAGTATGCGCAATTGTGCCCCCCAAAGAAGAAGTTTTGGACCTCTTGATAAGGATGTCTGATGGAGCCAATCCAAAGACAATCCTTCGACTGATTTAAAACTTCTTCATGAAGAAGTGCCCTTACTGTTTAACGTCATTGAGACTAGCGAAGAAATTCCAATTACTATTCAACCGCTGCTAAAGGAATTGGTACAAAAGGCGATAAGTCCGTTCGAGGTCAAGGACGGTCAGTGGCGTTTGCCACACAACTTACCTGCGGTGTCTCAAAATTCGTCCCATGGATATCTACCTTCTCTGCCAGAACTGGTTCAACGAGGGAATTATGTTCTTGACAATAGGAAGACACAGCAGGAGATTGTGCCAAAGTCACTAGACCCAAGAAGAAGCATGGCACTTTGATCCCTGGAATATTTTGTATTCTTTGTCCCCACGGTATTTACATGATGAACAGCTCCAACGAAAATTTGTTTTACTATTGCAGTGACATTGCGCCTTCGTTTTTGTTTCCAGGTATATGTTATGGATTCGAAATAATGAGGGATCACGAATCACCAAATATCCCATTTACCATTTTACGAACACGTTTTCCTGATGGTAAGTTACGTATGTGTGTACCTTTTATGGTGCTACAAACAGAGTATTATCAGTGAATCGGACAGATTGCGTGACGGTTTAGTCGCCTGACAGAGTTGTAACATAACCGAATGTGCAGTAACATAACCGAATGTGCCTGATGATATGCTTATGTGTATTTTTATTTCTTTAGCGCCAGAGTTGGTCATTTACGATAATGCCTGCAGATTGCACGAGTATTGTTTGAACCGAGATCCAGCATTTTTTAAGAAAAAATTTGTTGTTGATAAGTTTCATTGGAAAAATCATTCAGGTAAACTGCCATACTCTTCCTATTTTACTTGAAGCGAACTTATTGATCCAAAAATGGCCGTTTTTATGTTTTCACAAAATTTGTTGATTTATAACTGTCCTTTATGTGTAGGATGCTGCGAAGGATATAACATGAAATTGTACCCCATGCTCAATATGTACAATAGCCAAGCTGCTGAACAGTGCAATTCGTGTATTAAGCCTCTTGCCTCCATGGTTTCTTACATGGAATACGATAACTTTTTTCTTTTCACAAAACTCCATATTTGGCACAGGAACATGTTACGCATTGTTAAATACAATCCTGAGAGAGAAATAGCCTACAAAGACTATTTTCTCACTCTTAGTCGCGTTATTCATTAGTAACGCGTTATAGTTTCGTTTTTCGAAAAATTTAAACTTGTTTTTATGAATAGTTTTATCTGTACAAAATATTACTTCATAGTTACCCATATAGTTTCTGCAAAAGTAACAATTATATGTAACGTCGTTACTTGTAAAAAAATTATTTACATCACTTGTTATAAATATAAGAATGTTATTCATATGCACTAGCTTTAAACTTAAATTCTGCTTCATTACAAATTGCTTTGCTAAATGGCAAAGCTTCGAATCAGTTTTTTAAGGTATGGTCTTTTACTATTTACATGGATATCATCAAGTAATCCAGGACCAACTTCTCCCTATCAAAAAGAACACTATCTTTATATGAACAGAGTAAACAAAGTGATTAAGAATCATGATATCTTTTCTCAACTTTACCCCCTCTGTTATTCTTCTCGCAAATTCTGTCACGAATATGCCACAATCATAACCATTTGCTTGTTGCATCACCTGTCGTCAATAGTTAAGTTATCCCTTTGTGACAATTTAAGCGTGATCTGTTGCCATTGCAAATGATAAGTACTTACGTCGGCATATATAGGTTGGGAAATTTGAGCAATGTCTTCTGGCCATCTTTGCTCTTGCCTCACATGCTGAAAATATCTTTTTCACAAGAAAAATGATTTGTGTAGACGTGCTAGAAACATTCACTTTGTCAACATGTTAGATACATGATACACTTCATTCTTCAAGTAAATTGTTATGTACGTCATATACCTTCGTATACTGGATGCAACTTCACTTTTTTGCCACCCCATACTGCATAACACATAGAGTTTGCCTGCTCTAATATTGTATGCAATGAGCCACCAATGCAGCCTATATTTTTTAAATGAACATGGAGTTGGCTCATGTTGGCCTTTGCATCATTAAAGAGTAAAAATTTAGTGCTTCCACCCTTACATGTCACATATTGGCACTAGCACACATTCATATTTATTCATTTCTTCAGGTGTGTACATCCCCACTCTTGAAATGAAACATCCTGATAATCTCAGCGGTCTTTCTCCTCTAAAAAGTAGGAAATACAGCGATGTTTATTTACACGATTTATGAGTAGTTTGATAATGTTGAAAGTTGTGAATATTTTACCAAAATTTGCTACTTAAAATACGTACAGAGGTCCATCTATTAACAGTTTCTGTTGAAAAAATTGCTAAATGCGAAATATTTTGCATTTCTTTTTTCTGCTAATTTACAGTAGTACCTATAAATAAGAATGTAAATGTTTTGACACATTAGCCATGCATTTAGAGTGACTTTCGTCCTTTATTTCAGCTACACCTAGATTTTGGGTAGTACCTTAACAGGACGTCTACGATGGTGTCGCATACCCAACTGTTATCATTTAGTGTATTCAAATCTCTTTTGTAAATGCTTATACCATCGAAACAAGCAACTCTGGAATCAAAATGAAAACGTGTCAAGAATAAAAGGAGTCATTCTTATTTTCTTTATACGTGTCTAAAATATGTTTTACAACAAAAAACCTCTCATTTTCTCCATTCCAAGTTCTCCTAGAGAAAAAATAAAAAAATACAAACATCTTAATATACGTATGGCACAAAAGTTTAGAATCACTCAGATTTTTATTTGGCAAGAAATGTTGGGAAAAAAACCTGTAATTTAAACTTTTATGCTGCGTTGGGTGTCGAGTTTGTCGTTTTTCCCATTTTGGCTCCAAGAATGCAAACAGGTCCTTCTTTATTTTACAAAGAGTAAAAGCCACACTGCCTACCCCTTGCATAGCTTGGCAAACACACGGTAGATATATTTGAAAAACCTCGTACTTAGGACACCACACCTCCAACGATGCACTAAGTGCCCCAGCAATACACATGAAGTGTGTATCTTTCAAGTCAACATCTATGAAAAAGTTAATTGAGCTTTTATCAGAAAGGCATGTTGTATGAAAATTAAGCTTATGATCACTTTATTCAATTTAAAACCGTAGAATTAAATGGTGTGTACGGCGATTAATTAGGTTATTCGATAATACCTTCTTCCAGGAAATTATGAATTTCAGACACAATTTTCTTGCCTGCAGTTTCCGTATTCGTTTGCCTGGTGCGCTATAATAAAAATCAAATCTCAGTTCATTTGAATTATTAAGGATAAATCTATATGTGAAATAATGTATTATTAAGTAAATTTTTTAGGTAGAGCAAAAGTCACCTCTAGTGCTAAATGATGTTGATGGGAAATTCCGTACAGGAAGGCATCAAGTTTCAACCTGTCAGGATCCGTACTAAGCGCCTCAAAGATATTTCCTGGCTCACTGGCATCATAGCCTTGAGGCAAACCCATCGCTTCCATCTTACTCGATCTATAAAATAAATACGTAATCACAAAGTGTTTAGCCTTCTCATCACTTTTTACGACCATGGTTATATATGCCGAAAACTGGCATACTTTTATTTCTACCACATTTTTCTAAACACTTTAACACTGTTAGCCTTCTCATCACTCGTTTAAACTCAAACTAACATTGTCTCTCTAATAAAACTTTTTACGACCATGGTTATATATGCCGAAAACTGGCATACTTTATATTTCTACCACATTTTTCTAAACACTTTAACACTGTTAGCCTTCTCATCACTCGTTTAAACACAAACTAACAAGATCTCTGTAATAAAAGTTTTACGACCATGGTTATATATGCCGAAAACTGGCATAGTTTATATTTCTACCACATTCTTCTAAACACTTTAACACTGTTAGCCTTCTCATCACTCGTTTAAACTCAAACTAACAAGATCTCTGTAATAAAATGTTTTACGACCATGGTTATATATGCCGAAAACTGGCATACTTTTTATTTCTACCACATTTTTCTAAACACTTTAACACTGTTAGCCTTCTCATCACTCGTTTAAACTCAAACTAACATTGTCTCTCTAATAAAACTTTTTTACGACCATGGTTATATATGCCGAAAACTGGCATACTTTATATTTCTACCACATTTTTCTAAACACTTTAACACTGTTAGCCTTCTCATCACTCGTTTAAACTCAAACTAACAAGATCTCTGTAATAAAAAGTTTTTACGACCATGGTTATATATGCCGAAAACTGGCATACTTTATATTTCTACCACATTTTTCTAAACACTTTAACACTGTTAGCCTTCTCATCACTCGTTTAAACTCAAACTAACAAGATCTCTGTAATAAAACTTTTTACGACCATGGTTATATATGCCGAAAACTGGCATACTTTATATTTCTACCACATTTTTCTAAACACTTTAACACTGTTAGCCTTCTCATCACTCGTTTAAACTCAAACTAACAAGATCTCTGTAATAAAAAGTTTTACGACCATGGTTATATATGCCGAAAACTGGCATACTTTATATTTCTACCACATTTTCTAAACACTTTAACACTGTTAGCCTTCTCATCACTCGTTTAAACTCAAACTAACAAGATCTCTGTAATAAAATGTTTTACGACCATGGTTATATATGCCGAAAACTGGCATACTTTTTATTTCTACCACATTTTTCTAAACACTTTAACACTGTTAGCATTCTCATCACTCGTTTAAACTCAAACTAACAAGATCTCTGTAATAAAAGTTTTACGACCATGGTTATATATGCCGAAAACTGGCATACTTTATATTTCTACCACATTCTTCTAAACACTTTAACACTGTTAGCCTTCTCATCACTCGTTTAAACTCAAACTAACAAGATCTCTGTAATAAAATGTTTTACGACCATGGTTATATATGCCGAAAACTGGCATACTTTTATTTCTACCACATTTTTCTAAACACTTTAACACTGTTAGCCTTCTCATCACTCGTTTAAACTCAAACTAACAAGTCTCTCTAATAAAACTTTTTACGACCATGGTTATATATGCCGAAAACTGGCATACTTTATATTTCTACCACATTTTTCTAAACACTTTAACACTGTTAGCATTCTCATCACTCGTTTAAACTCAAACTAACAAGATCTCTGTAATAAAAAGTTTTTACGACCATGGTTATATATGCCGAAAACTGGCATACTTTATATTTCTACCACATTCTTCTAAACACTTTAACACTGTTAGCCTTCTCATCACTCGTTTAAACTCAAACTAACAAGATCTCTGTAATAAAACGTTTTTACGACCATGGTTATATATGCCGAAAACTGGCATACTTTTTATTTCTACCACATTTTCTAAACACTTTAACACTGTTAGCATTCTCATCACTCGTTTAAACTCAAACTAACAAGATCTCTGTAATAAAATGTTTTTACGACCATGGTTATATATGCCGAAAACTGGCATACTTTTATTTCTACCACATTTTTCTAAACACTTTAACACTGTTAGCCTTCTCATCACTCGTTTAAACTCAAACTAACAAGATCTCTGTAATAAAACGTTTTTACGACCATGGTTATATATGCCGAAAACTGGCATACTTTATATTTCTACCACATTTTTCTAAACACTTTAACACTGTTAGCCTTCTCATCACTCGTTTAAACTCAAACTAACAAGATCTCTGTAATAAAACGTTTTACGACCATGGTTATATATGCCGAAAACTGGCATAGTTTATATTTCTACCACATTCTTCTAAACACTTTAACACTGTTAGCCTTCTCATCACTCGTTTAAACTCAAACTAACAAGATCTCTGTAATAAAACGTTTTACGACCATGGTTATATATGCCGAAAACTGGCATACTTTATATTTCTACCACATTTTTCTAAACACTTTAACACTGTTAGCATTCTTCATCACTCGTTTAAACTCAAACTAACAAGATCTCTGTAATAAAATGTTTTTACGACCATGGTTATATATGCCGAAAACTGGCATACTTTTATTTCTACCACATTTTTCTAAACACTTTAACACTGTTAGCCTTCTCATCACTCGTTTAAACTCAAACTAACATTCTCTCTAATAAAACTTTTTTTCGACCATGGTTATATATGCCGAAAACTGGCATACTTTTATTTCTACCACATTTTTCTAAACACTTTAACACTGTTAGCCTTCTCATCACTCGTTTAAACTCAAACTAACATTGTCTCTCTAATAAAACTTTTTTTCGACCATGGTTATATATGCCGAAAACTGGCATACTTTATATTTCTACCACATTTTTCTAAACACTTTAACACTGTTAGCATTCTCATCACTCGTTTAAACTCAAACTAACAAGATCTCTGTAATAAAATGTTTTTACGACCATGGTTATATATGCCGAAAACTGGCATACTTTTATTTCTACCACATTTTTCTAAACACTTTAACACTGTTAGCCTTCTCATCACTCGTTTAAACTCAAACAAACAATGTCTCTCTAATAAAAAGTTTTTACGACCATGGTTATATATGCCGAAAACTGGCATAGTTTATATTTCTACCACATTCTTCTAAACACTTTAACACTGTTAGCCTTCTCATCACTCGTTTAAACTCAAACTAACAAGATCTCTGTAATAAAATGTTTTTACGACCATGGTTATATATGCCGAAAACTGGCATACTTTTATTTCTACCACATTTTCTAAACACTTTAACACTGTTAGCATTCTCATCACTCGTTTAAACTCAAACTAACAAGATCTCTGTAATAAAATGTTTTTACGACCATGGTTATATATGCCGAAAACTGGCATACTTTTATTTCTACCACATTTTTCTAAACACTTTAACACTGTTAGCCTTCTCATCACTCGTTTAAACTCAAACTAACATTGTCTCTCTAATAAAACTTTTTTTCGACCATGGTTATATATGCCGAAAACTGGCATAGTTTATATTTCTACCACATTTTTCTAAACACTTTAACACTGTTAGCCTTCTCATCACTCGTTTAAACTCAAACTAAAGAGATCTCTGTAATAAAAAGTTTTTACGACCATGGTTATATATGCCGAAAACAGGCATACTTTTATTTCTACCACATTTTTCTAAACACTTCAACACTGTTAGCCTTCTCATCACTCGTTTAAACTCAAACTAACAAGATCTCTGTAATAAAACGTTTTTACGACCATGGTTATATATGCCGAAAACTGGCATACTTTATATTTCTACCACATTTTTCTAAACACTTTAACACTATTAGCCATCTCATCACTCGTTTAAACTCAAACTAACAAGATCTCTGTAATAAAATGTTTTTACGACAATGGTTATATATGCCGAAAACTGGCATACTTAATATTTCTACCACATTTTTCTAAACATTTTAACACTGTTAGCATTCTTATCACTCGTTTAAACTTAAACTATTATTGTCTCTCTAATAAAACTTTTTTACGAGCATGGTTATATATTATTATAGTAAGTACACAAAACGCCACTTTTGTCATGTGTCACCAATGCGCAATATCTAGCAAGGAGTCTATTCTACTGATTAGTCCAGTTGTCGTTAGGTCAGTGGAGGCCCTCATTTTGATGGTTGTATTTGTGGTTGTATATGCCAGAAAATGGATGCGATACATATATCGTATATATCTATTCTGTGACACAAGACGGCAGCAGCAATGGAAGGGTTCGAAGAAAAATTAGCAGAAGAAGTCCGAAAATATGGTCATCTTTACGATTCTTCGAGACGAGATTATAAAGATACTCAGAAAACCATTAGTTCTTGGAATGAAATAGCGAGAAACCTTAACACAAATGAACAAATTTGTCGACAGAAATGGAAAAATTTGAGAGATCGTTACACCAAAGCCAAGAAACGAATGAAGTCTAGAAGTGGAGATGCTGGTGGCAAATCTATCCCACCGACATTCCTCAGTCTGTCTTGGTTGTCTGATCATATAAAGCATAGGGACACAGAAACTAATTTTCGGGAGGTAGTTATAATCGCTATTAAAAAATTTGATACAATATGGGACAGGCTGACTGATTGAGTAGATTATTATGTTACATCTGTTGTTGTTGTGATTGTAGGAGAACACTGAAGAACCTATAACAACATCAGAATCCCTTCCACTAGGAGAAAATTTTGTTACAATAAATATGGAGGAGTTTGACCTAACCGCATGGTCTCCCTCAACAAGTAGAAGCGATTCAAATGTCAGTGAAAATTCGTGTACAACACCTACATTGCCTACCAAACCTACCACACCAGTAAGTAGTGACCCATCTGCCCCTTCCACAATTGCTTTGAGTAGAGCTGTGGTAAACCAGACCAAGGGCTGTAGAAAGAGATCTGCACATTTAGAGACATTAGTTTGTGAAAGACTTGATTCTTTGAAAAAGATTAGAGAAGAAAGAGAAACAAAACATGAAAATTGATGAAGAAAGTCGCTTTTCAGATACAGTGGCTGACACTCTCCGAAAGCTTCCAGGCAAGTTGAAATCTGAAGCTAAATTTTCCATTCATAAAATATTGTTTGAAATGGAACAAAAACTTTATGAAAACAATGTAGACCAATAACTTTCTATGTTTTATAAGTAACAATCTATTATTTCATACAATTAAATATTCATTTAGTTAAGAAAACCTCGTTGTATTACATTATCTTGCCATGGTAGCTTTCCCAAAGGAGACATAAAAAATGATTTAAAGTCATTTCTGGTTGCTGTAGCAGCTCTAGAAGCACGAGCACTTGAAAGTCTTTTAATATTCTGAAAAATGTTTTGTGAACCCACAACATGTCTCCACTCTCCAGGGAGGACTTTGTGAGATGCAGTGGTTGAATCACTGAAATTGGGAGGGGAATATCTAGTGCTAGGTATATTAGCAGCATCAGTAAATAACAAGAAATTGTGAAGTGCAACACATGCCTTCACAATTTGAGCAGCTTTCTCAGGGTAAAATTCCATTGGTTTTCCAAGAATTCGCCATCTAGCAGTGATGATACCAAAGGCATTTTCAATTACCCTTCTAGCTCTGGAATGGCGGTAGTTATAAATTTTCTTGGGATTGTCAAGGTTATTACCTTAAGAGTAAATAGAACAAAAATGGCATTAAGATCAACTGTTTTAGCAATTTACTGAGTCTTGGGAAACTCTGCCAACAAGCAGCCAGGAAATTTTTTTGATCGCAATTCTTGTGGGGAATGAAAAAAACATTTTGAATGAGTCTTACAGAGACATAAATTGAATAAATTTATTTCATTTTTGAAGTCACAAACAGTTAATATAAATTTTCAAAAATATATGAAATAACAATGTTTTGATTAAACATAAGAAAATTATTTTCATTGAAAACGGAAAATATATATAAAAGTGCATGGAGTTAACAAAAGAAAATGTACCTGGGTAAGGTCTCATCATAATAACATGAAGAGGAAAAGCAGCATCGCCAACAAATACATAAGGTAATGTAAGTTTACTACCAGGTAGATCCTCTGGCAAGGGCAAACCAAGTTGTCCATTTAATAGCTGCTCCCCAAATTTGCTTTCTTGGAAAACCCCCCCATCACTTTGCCTTCCATATGCACCTACATCTACCATTAGAAAGCGATAGCAAGCATCACATACAGCCATTAGGACAACAGAATGAGTTCCTTTATAATTAAAGAAATCACTTCCAGAAAGAGGAGGTGCTTTGAGTTGCACATGCTTTCCATCTATAGAGCCCAGACAATTTGGAAAGTTCCAAAGCCTCCAAAACTCACGCGAAATTTCTGCCCATTGTGAACCAGAAGGAAAGGCAACAAACTCTTCATTCAATGCCAACCAGATAGCTACACAAACCTCCAACAAAATTAGGGAAACTGTAGTTGATCCTAATCGGTAACTTGAAGCCACAGTTTGTTGTGAGGCGCCAGACGATAGAATTCTTAACGTAACTGCTAGCCTTTCTTTTACACTAACAGGACTTAAATGCGTAGATGCATGCTTTACATGAGGCATAATTCGATGTGCCAAGTCGTCGAAACGGGCAGAAGACATACGAAAATACTTAAAATGCATTTCTTCGTCTATGCCTCTCATTTGTTGAACAAGAACGTATTCACCCTCACTTTTTCTAGAAGCGTGAAGTGGTCAAACTGACTATCTTCTTCGTTTTCGTTTTTTCTGTTGTAGCAACAAAAGTAAATAGCACAACATTTCCTCCTCCTCCAGATCGAGAAGGTCATCCATTTCTCCTCGAACTCGAGTTGCCATGTTTGATCGTGAGAATACCGCATTACTTCATGTTATCCGATTTTAGCAATTTATAAACACAGCTTAGCGCGCGCGCACCTGTCTCGCGCAAATCGAAAGTACGCGCGACGCTTGTCGCGCGCAGCATAAATCGGCCTTAAGGCTGAATACTACTAATTATATCACTTCCGGCTACATGTTGTCTCTTCGAGGACATTTATATTATGTACACTATAAGGCGGCGTTTTACTTCTTCTCTTCCTTTACTCTTAGGCCTGTTTTATACATCGCATTTTACATGAGTCGAATGCATTCAAAACAAAAGATAATGAGAAATTACCAATGCTAACTATGCTATGTAGTTAGATATTACTGATAGTGAAAATAGACTTCTTGGGCGATAATTCTTAATACTTGTAACATATTCTCATCTCTCATATTGACATTATTTTCAAGGGCAATTTCTATGCTTAAGACCACTGTTAGTTTAATGGAAATCACTGCTTATAACGGATAATGCGTTTGGACAACTTAATACGGATTATTTAATGCTTCTCTTAAGTCGTCGAAAGGATAAAGACGTTCACAAGACGAATAAACCGTCCAGACGGCTTTGATGTTTAATTAGTCTTTACAGACAAGTTACAGTTGCTAATCCATCTCGATCCTTTGATTTTGCCGTTTAGTTTTGTGTTAAGCCGACCTCGTCTTCATGCTTCATAGTTTAAAGGTAAGACGTATTATCTGTCCAGACGTATCAACCGTCTTAAGCATGATAACGGCCCATGGCCACGCCATTGTATCGAGAGATGAATACACCTCCAAGATTTCAATCTTTGTAGCTACGCCCCTGAACGCAATGTTTAGTGTTGTATTAGTTACGTTGACGTTTTTCATAAAACTTCCTTTCTTTGAAATGAGCTATAAATAACAGGATATAAATACAAAAACCTACTTTTTGCTATTATTACTTGGAATTTACGTCATGTCTCCACACGACCTTAAGGGCTCTATTGAGTTGTCTTGATGTTGCATGTATTTAACTTTTCAAGACTTTCCGTACGATTCCTTTACAAATGCTTTATAGATCACCATATGAATATGAACCCAGGGGTGCAGGACCAGAATTGTGTGGGGCACATATTCATACATTCATTCGTGTTTTATCTTTTTACTTTCCTTCAGAATAAACTTTTTAAAGAGCTGTGACCACGAATATATGAAATGAATATCATCCCCTCAATCACGACGTTCCGGCCTCCTTGGAACTATTATCTAAATTTCTTTCGTGTAGTGCATAGCTACTATGATATAAGCACAAAGAAATAAAGGACATTTTCAGCTTCAATCACACAACAATCGCACAATAAAAAGAACAATTTCAATCACACGAACAAATGTGATTTAAAGGACTCAAAGCAACCCTATAAGTTAAGTATTAAACGACCGAGATTGTTGAACATAACTCTTATTTATTTAATGTTCCCGTATGCTTCTTCTGGTTCAGCCGTATCACAGGAAAGGATGAGAACAAAGTTAGAGTGAGCATTTTTCGAGATCTGTAGCAAAAAGTATAAAATGGGATTACTTTGGATGAATGAACAAGGTCAGCATGCTATAGTGATCATTTGTGAAAGCCAGATGCAAAATAAAGTACAAAAATTAGAACGATCGACAATTTTTATCAATTCAACTTGCTGTGAAAAATATGTAAAATGATAGGGCAGAATAGTTCCTTTACATCTTTTATCATAAGAAAACAAATTCTCAAAACTGATTATTTATGACAGTGTACGTACATCATAGATTTTTAAATCTTCTCCTGTTTAAAATAGTCAAAATTTTCTCGTTATTCGCTCTTCAGGTGCTTACTTACCCTAAAGTAAATCTTGCACTTTTCTAACAAGTACTTCATCTTAATATCTGTTACCACAGCAGAAGGCAGTTGTTCGAACTGATCTGGCTAGATGTAAGTAAAGGAAATTTTGAATACTATGGTAGGTAGCTGCAATAACTGATGATAATGATGATCACTAAAGAATAATGACAATGTTTCATGATCACTGAAGAATTGATCACAATAATGTTCACTAAGTGATAGTCAATAACAATGATGATCACAGCACAGATTGAAGGAATATTTTCAATAAAGTATTTGTAATTATCAGGTTGATAATGACTTACTGGATATCCTAGCATACTTTCTAAGGCGGATGTCATAATGCGGCAGTTGTTAATGGTACCATTGTGATCTGACACATCAACGAGCAAATTATACGAAAGTTGTGCAGCACTATTTCCCTGTTTTGAACACATTTCGTTTTCACATGCATTCGTTGCGTTATCAATTCTCCGTTTGCATCGACCACTACAACATAAAACATTTATATTGTAATTTATAAGGGGCTTAGCAATGTCAAATAGTGTTATACTGTAAAACTAATCATATATGTTTTTTTCAACAATACCAAGATTTGAGATTTGAGAAATTATTCCCACCTGAGTAGCAAAACATTTTAATCAAATTACCGGAAAAGAATATTTTATTTTACTTGCTTCAAACATGACCTCAAAATTACGTCAATACCAAAAGCTCTGGTCAACCGTGTTTGTTTAGGGATATTTTCAAGGGAGGGTCGAAATAAGTACACAATTTGCTCATCATTAGAGCACATTTAACATTCAATTGCACGCTTTGACTTATCAATAGCGATGTAGAATATTCATCAACACGAAGGAACAATCAAGAGAACAGGTAGATAATCAATAGCATTTATTTTTACCTCATAACAATCGGGAATTTTCAAGTAGCATTAACGCCATTCAATAAAATCAAAGGAAGGATAGTTAAGATAAAGCAGACAGTCAAATAAACATAAACATACTTTGTATGACAGAGAAGTGAGATGTTACAGTTGCGAAGGATATCTGCCACAGACCCTTTCTGTTGGAAAAGACGTTTTTCGTAAAAATTATATAACATCTTCATTGAATTCTGCTTAATCTTAATGATCCTACCTTCGATTTTATTGAATGCATGTTGATGCTACTTGAATATTCCTTAATTTTATTCGATATAAATAAATGTTATTGATTGTCGACTAGTGCTCTTGATTGTTCCTTCGTGTTAATGAACATTCTTCATTGCTATTGATAAGTCAAAGCGTCAACTAAATGTACAATGTGTTCTAATGATGAACAAATAGTGCATTATTATAACAAGCTATATTAATACTTTAGGCGAAGTAAAACGATAATCAAGCAATATTAATACTTTAGGCCAATTAAAATGAAAATCAAGCTATATTAATACTTTAGGCCAAGTAAAATAACTAGTATACTCGTTGATATTATGTAGTTACAATTTACAAACCATCTGGTGATCAAGAAGTTATCCATTTCTTCATCAATGTTGAATTTAGTGATATAAGCAAACAGAATGCCTTGGCTGTTATCATACAAGTTTGGTGTTTCACTCATGTGTCCGCAGAACAGGTTCTCTTTGACGTTTTCTATAGTGTAAACATCTGTTATACCTTCCACTGAAAAACAACATAACAGAAAATTGACAAGAGAATTGATATCGGTCACACGTCGATTATCTGTAACAGGGACCGCCAAAGGTCGATAATCCTGTGGGGCTAATATTAGACATGCAGGTTATGCTTTATTAAGCTCCTTTGAAATACATCGTTTTCTACGGATAATAACACACATTTATTATTTATTAGCGGTCCATATCGATATTTTTTGGATTTCTAGCAATTTGATTGGCTGCCTGAGCGGGAAATTTTTACGATATCTGCCCGTGGGCAGAAGCGATATTTTTTCGCAATTTATTTGTTTACGAAGTGGAATGTAAATTTTTAAAATTGATTTAATAGCAACAATAAATTGTACTATCCAGACGAAGCGAATAATAAAAAAAATGTTATTTACCGTTTAGGTCGGTCTGTTCTTAAAAAATATTTTCCGTACGGACCTCCCATCCGGTAAATATATGAATTTGAGCCCTCCCCCTCCCCAATTATCAATTTTATGCGGTCCATGTGCAAAATGTTGAATTCACCCCTTATCCCAAAAAAGTGAAGCTACTCAACAGTGCCAGGTATAGAGACAAGCAAATGAATATCATATTTTTTTAAAGATTCTTGAGATAAATTCGTTTTGGGGATTTGACTTTTTTATTTTTTAGAACTATCTTGATTAAAATGAAGAAAACCGCTATCTTTGCTGTCAACAACATTAACATAGTTTCCTGCATCGAACAGAGATATTCTTTTACTATAATTATTAAAGATTACTCACAGTCAAAGAGAGAGAAGTCTCCAGTATCAGATAATATTGCACCTTGTACATCTGACGATTGCGCATAACTATACAGCTGATGAGCTTGCTTGGTATCTGAATAAAGGAATTTGAGACTCTCATAACTTGAAGACTCTCATAACATAAGCAAGCTTACTTGGCATAAGTGACCAGAGAAGTTGAAAGTCAATCCATATATACTGTAATCTTCATTATAAACGAGATGATCTATTATTGAAAGTGGATATTTTCAGCTTTGTGTACCTGGGTTCATTGTGATTATTGTTCTATTGTTGCACACTGACGCCATTGTCTTCTTGTACTGGTCATAAATGATTTTTAGATCCGAAAAAAACAAAACTAAATTGTGCAAAAGGAAACATAGTATGTTATCAGAAAAAAACTACAACCATGATTAGTATTTTCTATACAGTAGGAGATCTCTATCAATGTTTGAAAATAGAAATCGACCTGTTTCACAAGGTATCCAGCTCATGGCCATATCAATGGTGTTTTCGTCCCATCTAGAACCCAAAATAATCGTTATGATCAGTTAATGTTGTTTAACGAACAAATTGTTTAGTCAGTATAATGTTAACAACTAGATTACATATAAGCTTTGTTTATTTAGTTATAGAGTTGTGACGAGCTCCTAGGTGAGTGGTCAATTTTTGCTCTTGTCACAAATGACGTCTTACTAGTGTATCTATAACTGGGTGAATAACAATTTAATGTAATCTATTTGTTTTATATAATAAAACCGACCAAAATTCCCAAACTTTACTAATGATTGTTAAAGTGTTAGGGAAATCCAACTTTTAAAGAATTGAAAAAGTCAAAATATTGAAAATGCAATGAATATCACGCGTGCATGATGTATAAATTTGAAAAAATGCTATTGACTAAGCTTAAATCACGTGCTAAAATGTAATTGATAGACAGAACAAACAAGCAATGGCTGATCAATTATGATGAAATTTTGTTATCCAAGACAAAATACAAATCAAAGTTAGAAAACCGGGATTTTTTTCTTTTTGCTTAAATACGTCAACCGTTTGTGTTTATATATGCCCTTTAAGGATAATTTTAGCTATATATTCAAACTATTTCACCGTTTCTCTGTGTTTTAAAAAAAATGAATTTTCTGTGATTCTTTTTCCATAAGCAAACGCATGCTTTCAGGGATACTAGTGATTAAATGTCCCGCAAACTCATGGAGGCCTAGGTCTTCCGTTTAAAAATAATTTCATCCAATTTTCAGCTCACTTATTTGAATATTGACATATTGATGGTGTTTGAAGCATACATTGTTCATGGCAAGTGATGAAATAAGCAAATTCATCAACTATTTAAATTAAATGTAAATTCTGTTTTTGAATTGGTTGAGAATTTGCTTTGAAAATACATACTGTAGTTTAGGGGCCGATTATATGGAGCAATTTCAGCCCGGGCTGAAAAATCTGTCGTGTAATCGTTTCAGCCTGGGCTGAAACCACAGCTGAAAATATTCACGCATGCGTAATTGCGTACCTATTGCTTATGATGACGATAACAATTTAACGACAACTGGCGATCATGCCACGGACGAGCTTCGTAAATTTCAGCCTGGTCTAAGACCATGTAATCGGCCCCTTAATTATGTTGAAATTATTGATGGTTGATCATTGGTTTTCCCAAGTTAGTTTCTAACGAGAAAATTTCTAACGCAAGGGAAAGACGATATCTGTTACCACTCAACGACATAAATTGTGAGGCACTAAAGCTTATAATAACGCAAGTTTAGTAATTTTGAGCGATGGGGCGAAATTGCTCGTGTTTGACTTCAAAGAATTAACGATGTAACAACAGTCGAGCAAGAAGACTTTCGACTGGGTAAACTTGCCCTCGACGTATTGTGGTTTCAAAGGACTTGCCGAAGACATCATGCTATTAACCTTTTTCATTTAGCAGAATTGAAAATGATTCGCCGTTAAAAGTTAAGATACAAGCTGAAGCAATTTCTCTACGACAAAAACAAAATTTGAAGACGTATTGTTTTATTGATGAGGGAGAATTAGTCTTAACCTCCCGTGATAACAAAAGTTCCCGACGCAACCATGTTATTAATAAAATAATCATAAGAATTTGAGTAATTTTATAGGTCGAGAGCTATGATATATAACAGGATATACGTACGGAATTGATGTCATCCGTACGCAACAGCTTGAATTATATATGCCATAATTCAGCTCTATGTGTTCCAATTGCTTTGTAGCTGTGTCATATTCGTGCACAAGCTATTCCAAAAGTGCTTCTCATTGACACTATTTTCACACTAAAAATCGTTATTATTTGCAAAAATTCACTGTCAGATAAACCATTGGAAGTCATTTTTGCAAATCTTCAGCGCTGATAACTTTAGTGATGTTTTCCTATCTGTTCGATGTTTTTCATACACCATAATATAGTGTGTATAACAATATTTAATTGAACTACATTTATCACAATGGTGTATCACAATAGTGTCATAACACACCTATGAAAAGTGAATAAAAATTTTATCAATAATTTATCAGGTGCATTTTAAAGCTCCTTGACAATATGCAGATCTATTCCCCCTCCCCAGGTTTATATATAAATATAAGCTTACATTGTCATTAAGAAAGAGTTGCATGTTTCATCAAAGACCACAACGTCACATTTTTGAACATGTTTTCCTCTTCTTGTTGTGATTTCTCTTGGCTGAGAAACCTGAAGAAAATTGGATTGGGTCAAAAGTGTGATATCTTTGGGTGAGCATTCTAGAATCAGATTATTATTATCATTCTATTATCATAAAACATGTAATAGACGAGAAATTCGTGTTAAGTTGCCTGTGCATAGAATGTTTACACCAGCTGCCATATTGGTAGAAAGACCATAGCTGCATAATAAATAATTTGTGTCATCTCTTCAATGAGTTATATAAAGACGAGTGAGTTTGATTGATAATGATGTGATATGATAATATTGATTTAATGAGATGAACAGTTTTAGGAGGACTAAATTTGCCGCAGTCCACTTTAAACAAATATTGTCAGATTATTCACATGGTAATTTCAAATGTACTCTTTTCTAATACAAAAGACATCTCTTAATATTAATGTAGAATTAATTAAAAAAAAACGGAGGTTTTTGTTACGTAGTCTTTTTCTTTTAAACCATTTAGAGCAGGGGTCTCCAAACTTTACAGCCAGAGGGCTATATGAACTTTCATCCAGCATATTGAGGGCCGAAGAACATAAAAAATTTCCACGTTATCCTTCAGCTTTTTAAATTTCGCAATGTGCTTGAAACGGAAGTAGGAAGTTGGGACAAAAATTGACGTAAGCCACTCTTGCTAGTTGGCTTGCGACATAACGTGAACTTTCTGCACAAAGTTTATTTTGTTTAGTAATATTATTATTTTTTCTAAGTGCCTCTGCGGGCCGGATTGAGAGACGCAACGGGCCGCATCTGGCCCGCGGGCCGTAGTTTGGAGATCCCTGATTTAGAGAATTCAAGATGATCTAAGAGTTTAAATTTTGCCTTAAACACTGAAGAGAAATACGGAATAGAGTATTGTGGTATTTTTATGAATTTTCATTGTATATGTATATTCAGCTATTGACATGTGCATTGGAAGTGAGAGAGTCAGGAGGCTGCGTAGGGCCCTCACTTTTCTTGAGAGAGAGGAAGTTCCCCTCACTATGCAATAGAAATGGCAAAATTTCTATGAAACAAAACTTTTACCGTAGGTCTATTTTCGCTACAAAAAACATACAATAACACAATGCAGCCAACTGGGCTTCTCACAAATTGCGCAGAAAACCTTTTCAAATTGTTCATTCAATTGCTCCCAATTTGTTGGTACAATTATCTGCTGCTGAAACATAAAATTTGTTTCGTTTTTGATTTTAATTTGTTTTATATAAGTAACAAAAATGACATCATTTACTTTATGTCATATTCTCATGTTATGTTTTTTATCAGCATACATGCATAGAAACATACGTAAAAATGAGAAACGTTTCTATGACGATTTAGTTACAATGTTTACACTTTATGTAATGCATACAATATTGAGGAAACAGAATACTACTGCAAAATTGGCAATCATATTTCCTAGGATGAGCCCTAATCATTGATATTGACAACGCTTTACAAGCACCGTATATTGATTGTCTCCTAGTCCTAATATAACACGTACCTTTCTTATGGCAACCAAAATATTCATGTGATCACCATGACTATTCTCACCAGATGACAATATATCATCAAGGGTGCAATAGTCTCCACACTCTTTTACTGGTATATGAAGAAGTGTGTTTAAGTCAGTCATGTCCCAACCGCTGTATAACGATACCGACGAATATGCTTCGCTGATGTTTAATTGAATGTTACTAGACAAAAATCATCAATCAATGTGAATCTATTTTGAGAAATTTATTTTTTAATACTTTTTTTAATACGGATGGTAAAATTAAGAAGCTAAATTTTCATGTATATAGAGTGTACCACGGTGTCCATGGCTTCCATTGTTGCTCGTAATCATTTCCTTGCTTTGTCGATACTTGTGGATTGCGGACTTCAACTAGAAAATATGCAAAGAAAAATACGATCGCATGTTTCAGTAAGAATGGTGAGTTAAGTGAAATCTATATGTACTTTATCTCTTCACGTTTGTCATTGTAAGGATGGTGCATGAAAAATCATTGATCTTGATATCCTTATACTTATGTCATATTGAGTATACTAATGTCATAGTGTGGATGGTACATAAGAAATTAATATGCTTGATATAAAAAAATTAAATGATTAAGAGCTGGGTGTATCGTTACATGTTTGTAGGTGCTGGTTAGCGTTGGTGTCAAGTGACTTTTCATGGTGGTAGCCATCTTCAGAATCAAGAAAGAGTAAATGTCGACCTTGCTGTATTTGATTATCGGGTGTTTACAAGACTTCTTACGAAGGAAATGTGTTTTCATTGTTGCCATTAATATTTATAAAAAAACCACTTTAACATACCAACATCACTTAACTTGAAAGATTCATTTAGATTGTTGATGAAGATTGCGTTACCCCAACAAGTGATGTTGACATAATCAAATGGAGTGTCTCGTAAAGTAAAGCCAAGCGTGTAACGAGTTGAACCTGGGTCTGAAAAAAGCATTAAAGAATAAACTATTCATTATTTCTTGTTAGTAAAAACCCTTTAGAATCTTTTAAACGCACTATTCATGGCTGTACTGGTATTCTCAGTACTGATATAATCAAAAAATCAAATCTCCTCAAATTGAAAGCATTGTGAAATAAATACAATGGATAAAACAGGAGTGAATGATAAACGTTTTGAAAAGGTAAGTAGTGCCAATCTTAAGTTTTCTGAGAGTACTGATATGTTTAGCTTGACTGTCAAAATGCTACGAAACTACCGTTTGAGCAATGTATTTTATCATGTTTATAAATTAAGGCCGTTTACATTCAGGTTTTACTTGTTATGTACATTGAGTTATATTAGAGCTGGAGTGAGCATGCCATCGAAATTGCTATAAGTTATTAGCGCGCGGCCTGTGATCAAAAACGTGACGGATTTTGGTGCTCAAAGTTAGCGGAAAGACGCAGGTTCGTGAAATAAAAATTTTGTCGCCCAGCCGGATTTGACCACCACGATTGCGAGTATAACAATTTATTCAAACAAAACACTATTTTAAAATTTTATTTATTAAACAATCTGCGCACTTCCGTGGTATGCGGATGCCAAAATAGCGACAGAAAATGGAAACATTTCATGACTCGGGTAAGTAGCATAGTATTGTTTATCATTTAAAGTGTTCAGTAGTTTCACTATTTTGTTTTTTAAAAAATACTTGAAGAGTGTTTCTAGTATTAAGTCATAATTAAAGTTATGTTGGTCCAGTCTTGTTTGTTCTTTACTTTATCGCTTACCGGACGAGGCAAAGCAGCCAATTCTTATCGAGTTTCACATCTATCTTGCATCACGATCAAGCTATACTCTCCTGATATGTATTGAGTTTACCTCCCAAATTTGTTCGTATTGTTTTTGGAAAATATGAAGAAAAAGTTCAAAACCGAGCTGTGTGGAAATTGAATGGAATAACTGTATTAAACTGTTTGCCTGCTCAATTTGGTTGACTGCAGACAATCATAATGGGATTGCAAAGTTGTATTTATGCAAACAATTTTATAAGTACCACTTAGTGTTTCTGTAACTGAAGTATTTATTGTTATAGTAAACAGGTTAATATTTCAAAGCCAAGATAAAAGTAGTGTGTTGAACAATGTGCTAAGATTTGCTCCTATCTTGAATTTTTTTTCAACAATAGCTTATCATTATATCACTTTTATGCAGAAAAATTGAACACATTGCCTCATCTGACCAAATCTATAATTGGTATAACTCTAGATGATCCTAAAATTCACATGGGATGCATTGGTTGCAATGAAGTTGAATATAGAAGAAGCAAAAATAGATGGAAAAGAAATTTTTTGCGTCTTATGAAGAATTAGTAGAAATTAATAAAAAGAAAACTCATAACACATTTAAATTGCTAATGGTGAAGCAATCTATTCAAAGAAGCAGACTCTGTCTTCAAAATTTGACCTTTCCAATTATGTTTAGTCAAACTAAATTAGTTTCTTTTTAAAAAATTATATTTTAGAGAAACTTGATTTGTAAGTCTTTCATTACTATTTTTTATCAAGAGAAAAAAGGAACAAATTCAAAGGCGCGATGTAAAATACAAAGATTTAACAAGTTGTTTATCATTTAATTCCCAATTGTTAGTTTGTACGTACAAATAATTAGTAGTGGTAGCTGTAAATTATTCGGGCATAAGAGAATAGTAGTAGTGCTTGAAGGGGTAAGCATTTTTGAAAACTTGCATCGTGTTCTTGACATACATTACACAATCCCGAAAGATTATTAGTAGTGCAAAATAATACCTATGGGTTGCAGAACTAGCTAAATTTCTTTATCTACACTGCCAATTAACTATTTTTGCCTTAATGCAGCAATAGACAGAGAGTGTTTTTTTCAGCAAAACCAATGTACTTAAGTTTCCAAGTTTGTAATTTCAATGGACAATTAATGTAGTTCTGTTCAGTAATATATCCAAGGTTGTGCCAAGTAGTTTACAAATCAGAAATTTCCAACCAACAGCATCATAGTATTTGGAGTTTTTTTCTTTTTTGTAGCTCTTTTAGTTAATAAGTTTTTAGTAGATTTATCAGGTAAGCACTACATACTTATCCATGGTATATTTTTAATTGACTTATGTCGTAGGATTAAAGCAAACATTTTCTCGCTACTTTTGGGCATTTTAACAAAAATTTGTCTATTTGAACTAGAAAAATAGTTGCACCAAACTGTTTTCAAAGAGGCAAAATCACAGTAGCATGAAATTATGTATAAGCTTAACGACATTGAAAGACCTACTAAAAATACCGATGGATTTTCACTTTTAAATAGCTAAAATGTCATAAAATTGCTTAACTGTTATAGCTAAAACATGCGCTTCTTTACCGTAGATTTTCTCTACTTTGATAAAAAATGTAGTAGCAGTTGGTACTGAGTTGTGGTGAATAGTTTTAAATCCTGCTGTTATATCTTGCCAGAATATCAATCTGTTACTATACAACACCGTGTATCCTAGCAAAGTTAACTCAAAATTAATGACTACAAACTTTGTCAAGATATATCTTAATACCTAGCAGTTAAAATGCCGCAGCTGTAGGGGGTTAGGCCAACAATTTCTCTTGCCTTGTAGACGTAATCGATCAAGAGAGTAGCATCAAACTGTTTGCAAACACTTATTAATAATTCGTCTGTGAGTGTTTACACCATAGTTTACACAAACGTAAAATTGATGATATTGACGGTCCTACTGAAGAATGCCGTTTAGTGTTGTTTTTATATTAACTTGTTATCTAAACATAACAAAAGTTCTTTACCTTACATTGTCTAAGTATTAATGTGTGTATTCCATGTAACGCTAAGGCATATCTTCATGATTTATGTATCGAGACTGTTTCCCCGAGAGTTTGTATTATGTATTGAAGCTGCTTAGAAATCAGGAGGGAGTGAATGATAAAATAATTTTTCGTCCAAAATTTCCTTTTGCCCTCCATGTTTTTGACAACAGTTCCCAGGCACCGTTTCCTCTCCAGGTAACTTAATAGAACCAGTGAACTCCATATATATATATATATATATAAGTTTGAAAATTTGTAATCCAGGCATTGAATATATAAAAGATAAACGTAAAATCATTTAAAAATCATTTAAAAATCATTTAAATTTTTAAAATTTTTAAATTTTTAAAATCATTTAAAAATCATTTAAATTTTTTAAAATCATTTAAAATCCGGAGAAACGTTTATCTTTTATATACATATATATATATATATATATATATATATATGGAATGATAACGACAATACAATTTATAGATATAAAATTGAAGCCAAAGTCCTAGTTTCTTGCGCGGTTCGTACGTCAGTTCCAGTCCTTCAAAGTCGAATATTCACGCGGTTTGTACGTCAGTATCATTCCCCTGAGTGCCAAACATACACGGCCAATTTAAATTTGAATACAAATTGCGAAAGCATAAACATATAAACAACATCACAACAAACAACATACGAGGTCAACTCTTCGCAAAAGGTTATTTTTTACAACTGAAACTTTACTACAGTGAGTTCGTTGTAACTTACAACTTGTAACGAGGAAAAGCCAACTGAAAATTACACTATATGCTAAAAAGACAATACAATAGAAAATATGAGGAGAAAATATTCAAGCATAAATTTTTCTTTCGTCGGAAGGTAAATTTTCAAACGGTGTCAGACAGTGTTTGTCTTTTTTGTCATTTCAGTGGATTTAAAGATCTGTTTTTCCGAAGATAAAAGAAACTTGAATATCCAGTTTCTTAAAAAATATTGAGTCTATAACTCGCATTTTTACTTTTTACAGAGCGATTGTATTTTTCAACGATTTTGATAGTGCTTGAAATACTACATGGTTGTCATCTCGATATCAATAAATGAATATCCTTAAAGACTTTTCGTGTTTGTAAATGTAGATCGTCAAGTTTGGTATAGTCCTGAGTTGTTGACTGACGTTTCGACAACCTTAGCGGTAGTTATCTTCAGAGACAATTTTTTTTGACTCTGAAGATGACTACCGCTAAGGTTGTCGAAACGTCAGTCAACAATAACAAAAACAGTCCTTCTCAGGACTATACCAACCTGGACGATCTACATTTACAAACATGTAACGATACTCCCGGGTTCAAACCATTTTCCTTAAAGACTTTGATATGTTTTAAAGGAAAATCGCAGCGTAAGAGCAGATCGACTAAGTTCACCTCACCTTGCTTCTCGATTTATCACTTTGATTCACTTTCCGTGAACCTTTTCATTCCAAAAATTTCGTTATTTTTACGCTCTGATCAAGATCCGAACTCTACCATTACCAAGGGACAAATGATTAAAAAAAATTAAAATGAACACGCGAGAGACTAGAGCCTGACGTGTAATGACGAATGATGACGACAAATATTTTTTTGGCTTCAATTTTTGGCTTTGGTTATCATTTCAGTTATTCAAATGTCGAGTTCACTGAATAGAACTCAATGGTCCTGTCCTTTTTATACCTCCAGTTCTTTATATAACTCAATGGTTGTGTATAGTTAATAAGTTAAAATTGTTTATTTCACTATTCGTAAAATAAGAAATATTCCTTGCTTCCCCCCAAACAAAAATATAACACTTACAAAAATTACAGACAATTCCCTTGCCAGTAAAAGGCCCTCGTGATTTCGAAATAAACTATACATGTTAGCTATTTTGTAACGGTTCGGAGTTGGTCGTATCTACTTACTTTTTTTATCTGGAAATGAGTGAATCGAAAGCTTTGATATTACAACACCAATAATAATCTGTAGAAAAAAGACGAAAGCAACAATGGCAAGTATTTGTTTATATGTTGCATGAGAATTTACAAAACTTGTATTCAAAAGTATTGAACATACCTTATTTGCGGAGCCTGGAACTAAATCTTTTATAAAATGTCTGTCGCTCGCTGTTTCTGTAGGTTTCTCCACCGGTGTTCCATCCGGCCAGTAGTTTCTGCTGCCAAAGTCCATGTCGAAAATTTCAAAGCGTCGATTCAAATAGTTTTTACCAGCCGTTTTGTTTCGATACAAACACAAACATTACCGAACAGTTTTGAAGTTTCTGTGTTTATACCAGCAAGCAGGTCCTCAAAAACATTTATAGCTGTTTTAAATTGTAAACCGTTTCATGTTTTTGTTGTGAAACACAATTGCTAAGCCTGAATTTTGATACTAAAACTGTTTTGAAAAATTGAGATGCTCATAACTGACTTTACTCTTGTTATTTCAAAAACCGCGGGAAAATGCAAGCAGGAGAGGGGACTGGAATCTATTAAGCATAGGCAAATACATAGCCCATACAGATATGATAAAAGCTATATTTCATCATTTAAGACAGATCTTGTAACTAGAATTATACAAAATATTAGAAATTCTAATAGGATGAATAAAACTTCTAGAAATTACAAACTATTTTGGAATAATTTTTTTCATAAATAATTGCTGCGAAATAAACGAAATAGACAGTATGTTTACAAGTGAGACAAAACTTGCAGAAACGGTTAATTTTTGTCTTTATTTTTTCAAAATCCATGGATAACTTAATAAACTTTTCTCTCTACCCATTCATCTTTAAAGTGAGAGCATGCACTTGTTTGTACCAAATACTGAAATACTGTAAATCAATTTGTTATATCTTTTCTGCAATCCAATCTTTAAGTTCGGGTAGGTCTTTCATACTTGGCACTTGGTGAATGTATTCACGGTTACCGGTCGGTAATTATTAAGTTCTTCAGTTTCTTGATTTGTCGTAGTCCGTAGGACCTGGTGAAAAACAAATTATTAAACAAAGCCTTATGATTGAAAAACGTCTAGGGTAAATCAGAAAGACGGGAGTTAAGAATGTTTGGAAATACTATTTCAATCAATTCAAACCTACCAATGAGCTTTGGTATCACTAAGCGAATCACTTGTTGTTATCTGTATTCTAAATCCACTATGGAAAATTTCCCAGTTGGACAGTTCATCGGTCTAAAATGATTTACCCATTGATCCATTTAGCAAGACAAATTTGACAGAACTTCCGGCATGAGGCTCCATTTCGTTTCCTATCATCGAGCACAAGTACACCACCATCTATTTTCATGCATGTCACACCTTCAAAAAGATGCATATTATTCAAATATAACGTCATCAAACTTTGATTAAACTACTTTTATTTTTCGTTTTTTGTTGCATCCAGCATCTAGCCATAATAATATCCGTTACATGTTCGTAGATGTAGATCGTCCAGGTTAGTAGAGTGCTGCGAAGGACTGTTGTTATTGATGTTCACTGACGTTTCAAAAACCTTAGCAGCAGTCATCTTCACAGTCAAAAGATGAGATGTATGAGACACTTGCTAAATTTGGGTATTTCATCAGAATCATATGGCAGCCTATATTAATCCCTCTCTAAAGCCTTTGTGAATAAGCTTCCTGAATTAAGAGCTGCACAATTTATCATAAGTGGGAATTATAGAAAGGGAGTTAGGATGCAGAAAAGTTTATGGAGGAGTTCAAATTCGTTAGCAACTGATGAGATGGAAATATATGTTGTAGTTAAGGGTACGTTGCTCTGACAATATGTAATCTAATGCAGCCAAACTGTAGGAGCCACTATTGAGAAATACCCACACCTTCAAGGATTGTGTCTGGCTGAAAGACCTCATTCCTCAAGCAAGGTCAAAGTTGATGTCCACTTAGGAGGAAAATAATATTGAAAATTCGTCACCACCGGAAAGAGAAGAGAAGAGAGATCTGGACCAGTGGTGATCTGGACTAGGCTAGAATGGGTGTTATCTGGTCTTGTCATTACCACATAATTTGACATCACAGACCATAAATCTGTGAGTCTGACTTCAGTTTATGTTCTACGAATTAAAAATTCAACCATACCGCCAACATATGAAGCAAACTTGAATTACAAAGTTTCTAAATTTTAGGATCTGGAAACATTAGAGATCAGAAAAGAAGAACCATCAGCTTACGACAAATTTACCGAAGATATGAAGTTCATAGGAAGTAAATATGAAGGAAATCTGTCCTGTAAAGAAGAGCGCGCCCTCTTACCGGACAAGTACTGTACATCATATGTGTTTAGCTGTTGGGATCTTTGATAAATCGACTCCAGGCAACATCAACCACTCTAGAAGAATATCGCCGAGTAATTTAAGATGAAACAAGCAGTGGAGTTGTTCAATTATTTAAAGAAAATAAAGTAAATTCTCCTGGAAGTGCTCATTATTTGCCACCCAAGGAAGTTTTTAGAAACGATAATGACACAGCTAAACTTAGAGTCAGTTTATGAAGCATACACAAAAAATAACGGGACAAGTCTGAAACCGTGTCTAATGGACCAATCGATTTAGGGAAGATATTTTGAAGTTTGAGCAGCTGTGCTAAGGAAAATGGATAAAGCAAGAAAAATAGCTCATTTCAGAAGATCTTTACAGAATTTGTACCCAATTGAGATCGTGCGCGAACGCTAGGCATCCAAACTGCGGATTATTTTGCATTTTTCTTTTTTTAATCTCTATATTTTCTCAAAACCTTCATCAATTATTCACATTTGGATTAATTTAAGTTCAAATTTACGGATAATTGATTAGGATTATAGCAAGATGACATTTAATTAAAAACAAAAATTCAAAATAATTCGCAACTTGAAAGCTGGAAGTGGAAAACGAAAAACGTGTCAATTTTCAATCGTTCTTGATGATTTTGAAATGAAAGTGTCTTTATTGAATGGGTTTAAATGGGTCTAAAAATGTTTTTCATTTCAAACATAAGGTGAATTGTTTATTTTGTAACAAATAAACGATAGACACATAAAAACACAAGGAGCTCATCAGCCTCGCATTTTGATGGGATAATGTGGCTTAGTGTTAAAGTTATCGGATGTATAACATGCCTCAAAGGCCCAAAGTATACATAACTCAATATTGCATGTATTTACATTTCAAAATTAATTAAAATTAAATTAACGCAGCTCAATTGGTGAAAATTTGTTGTTTTTATACTGTCTTAAATTTAAAACTGAGCTCAACAAAATGAACTTCTCTTCAGTTTTGACCCTGTGTGAGTCCTGTTCGGTATATTTGTAGTTGTCCATGGTTAATATTTCGAGACGAGTATAACTGAACGCACCCTTTCGAATTCGAAATATTACACATAGAATGCCTATCCATCGTATTGAATGGTTTATAATATACAATATAATATTGATCTGCGTACCAATCCACAATCCATGACATAAGATTCCAATCATCATTTTGTCATCATTTTTAGCTAATTTTCATTCACAATCATAACAGGAGACAATCATGTTAATCATCGAGGAAAGCCTTCTAAGCCTGTGCTGGCTTGGACTTTTACTTTCTTTTGTACAAGAAGATAAACTTTCATCGCTGTTATTGGCATTAGTCATTTCTTCATGGCTCATGCATTATATCGTGGTTTTTCCGGTCAAATATCACTCACAAAGTGATTAAGGATAAGGTTTTGAATATTGCATTGTCGAAATATAAATTGAAATCAATTAAAAAACTATTACGCAAGTTTTAAGTGCTTTGACTGACGAGAATGATTTTTTTACAAAGTAAATTTCAACTCTCTGCCACAATAAATGTATCCTGCAGTCATTACAAACCCATTTATCTTAAGTATACAAAGCTTACATGACGCGTGCATCAGCAAAATGATAACGTAGGCCGAGTTCGCTTCTTGATCAAGGTAATCAGAGACGCGTTGTTGGTCTAGAATGCCAACATTTTTTCAGCGTTGAGAGGATTATGTTTATTGAATTTTATTAAAACGCTAAAATGAAAGCCGACGTGTGTCATGTCAAACATCTTGATCTTCGCCGAATTTTTTATAAAGACTTGCAGAGGAAACTTTCATTGTCTGAAGGAGAGTTTGTGTATTTTGTGTGATCATGATTAACTATGTGTAATTATATGTTTCCTCCTCGCGCTTAACAGTGACTTTGAGACTTTCTGACTAAGATACGCGTTTTAAAAACCATTAGTACACTACGGCATACAAGAAAAATGTAAAATGACCTTAGTCATTTTGTCTTGAAATTGAAGAAAAGTGTCCTCAAGAATTGGGAGAGTAGCTGGAAACCCTTTTCCTTTACACAACGTAAAACCTTACATCTTCAAACATCTAACGATACTCCCAGGTTCAAATCATTCACTGTAAAACCTTATATTACGTGACCTTATTTTTCATCAACCACACGCATCTTGTCTATAAGTTGCCAAGTTTTAAAGAGACGTTTGTAAACACGTTTGTAAATGACATTTACATTTTTGCTAAGACTTTGTTTGTTAAGTGCTTTCTACATGTTACTCGAACCTTTAAAAACCTGGTTGACTTGCCATATATTATCGAGACGCTATTTTGAACTACATAACCAGTTGATTTGCTTTTCATGTTCACTAAAATACCTGTTCGTTAAGAAAAGAGCGTCAGAAACGCGGGCCATACATATTCATTATAATGAGCTGTTAAGGGGAAACAATTTTCGTCTTGCAACCAGTTCAACATCGGCCGCTCAACACCCCCAATGTACCAGCATTGTTATGTCTTGCCTTTGTTGCTATGTTACGGTAAACATTACCTGAGTCATTCACAAAACGTCGCTTCACGATGAGCTCCGATGTTCGCTCGACCAATTAGACTTTCTCGTTCCGCTTCGGGGCGGTCTCGTTGCCAACCCATCGACCAATGAGATGGCATAGTTTTGTTTATTGCCAATGTTTTTCTGATTTATAAATTTTCGTGTTGGTCAGGTGTTTTAGGAAGTCTGAAGGAAAGGCCGAAAGCGGGGTTTGTACGTGAGCCTGTTCAGAACAGCTGCTCCCAAGTCTTGGTAATTACAAGGCTTATCAAGTCGTGTTTAGCTTTGACTATATTTATTAAACCGGGAAGAGCAGTGTCACCGGAGCTTGATTGGTCCTGTCGAAATTTGAAATTTGAGAATCAGAGGTCGCGCGTCGTCGCAGCAAGAGACGTTACAAGTTCCTCAACTGTTGTTAAGATTTGAATTCGTCGAGTTCGAATTTGGGACCTGCTGTAAAGTGACGTCGAGCAAAGTGAATCCCATTTGTCCAGCGCGGACAGCTGCCATAGAATTTGAATTAGGACAGTGTCAAAGCATGAATATTTGGCCGATGACTTAAATCTTCATATAATTTCTCAAGATTACAGTGGTATTTACCGGAACGATTAACTACGGTATATATCGGTGAATTTTTACGTACACATATATGTAGTTTACATTTAACACAGTGTAATATCTGTGCTGCCGGTTTAGTTAGTATTTTGTGTTCTCGAATTGCGCAAATCGTGTTTATCGATAAAGTATATAGAGAGATAGGACAAGCATGAGTAAACTAACGGGTGGGAAAGCGTCGCATATTGCTGAGAAATTTCATAAGAATTGGAAAGAGCGTCGACAGAACAGTGAAGGCTTTGACGAAGATCAAAATGAGCTGGATGATAGCTTAACAAACTTACAATGGCTTCATAACATAACTGTTCTGGACATAGCCCCTGTATCGTGTGATATTGATGTAGCTTCTTCATCCAATGCGAGTCCCCGTTCGTCCGAATATGATCCAGCCGAAGATACATTAAGCGAGAAGTCTGATTGGGAAGTAACAAAACAGGATAATAAGATCGATTACCATTCGGACCTCTCTCGAAAACCGCCGTATTCTTATGCAACGCTTATCTGTATGGCGATGAGAGAGACGAAGAAAAACAAGATCACTCTGAGCGCTATTTACAAGTGGATAAGAGAGAATTTCGTTTACTACCGTCATGCTGACCCTACTTGGCAGGTAAGGAATGGCTTAAATTTCTTTTTAATGTACAAATTGACGTACCAATATTCGTCAAGATCATATTTGATTATTGTTTGTAATATCGAATGTTCTTACGTTAGTTGTTATAATAGAAACGAATTTTCCATCCACAAACCCTCTTTTTGCTGACTATTATAATTGTTGGAACATTTAAAATGTCTAGACGGTTGCTGCGTTTGTGGAACCTTCCGGATTTAAATTGAAAACGGTTGTGCAAAGTTTAACTTAGTTTAGATATCCTTCAACAAATATTCCCATCAGGGACGTTGACACAAGTCAAACAAACTGCGATTTAAAGTGCGCATGCATGACGAATTCATTTTGAGCATTTCTAATTACAAAAATATATACTAAAGAGTTCCCTCCAGGAGAGAGTTGCCTAAATCGGACTCTCTCAACTCTATTTGCCATAATTTTGTTCTTCGTATGGGTTAATGATGGGTTAAAATGCAAAACATATCAGTGCCCTTTGGAAATTAATAGTTGCAACACAAAATTCGGCAAACTACGAAATATATTGTCTTGAATTGACCGCTTGTAAAAGTGAACGAGCAGCCATATAGCTGCTTGAGGCACGTTATTCATGTGAAAAATGTGTCGTTCGTTTTAATGGAGTCATAAGCCAAGTTTGTTTGATATCTTCACGGAAAGTAAATTCTTTGGTCGAACAATGCTATGTCAATATTAACGAGAATCGGACTATCCCATATTTTCTGAGTACACTGTGACTTTCATCCCCGACGCTATGTCACCATATATCAATGACGTTTGGCAAACTATCGAAGAGTCGGAGACTAAACGTAACCAAACAATGCCATCGATAAAATCTCTGTATTCGTTACGAGTTCGCTTACATCATTACTGCATGCTTTGTTTTATTGTTTATCTAATTTTCCGCTTCAAAACAGATATTCTTTAACTCAGGAGGAATGCCGATCAGCATGACTCTGAATTAATAAATTGAAAAATAAGCAAGACGTGCTTGTGTCAAAGCGTGCCAGGACTTCAACTAGGTGTCGTTGAAAAAACTCATGACATTTAGCCGGCTTTGTGCATGAAACAGTGCACGCTTCGAGAAATTATTTCAAACGTTCATGAATAATGAATTGCAGGTTTTTCCAAGTTCTTGTTGACAGCCATGTCACAATAGAAACGAAGTGGCATGTATTCTTCAAGGCTTAAAAGAAATTCTCGCCTATAATTTCCGTCCTAATACAGTTTCGTGATCGAATAATGTAAAAATGGTGCTAAACTATAGGTGCTTTGAACCTTCAAAGTTCAAAACTAGTGCAGTTTGTGTTGCTTGTTTTGGGAGAGTGCGTTTGGACAAGAATATTCAATTTCGCAAAAAGGAAAAAAATGTGATGTTGAAAAGGTATAGCTAGGAAAGAAATATCTGTTACCAATTGCTTTAATTTTTGATATGCGCACGGACTAATTGTTCTGACATACAACATTATTAAAACATTTGCAAATTACCAGCCGTCCGCCATGTAATAATGCAAAATTCTATTTAATGCGTAAGTTGGCCAGTTCGGGTCAACTTAATGCTTCGGAATCTAAAATATTTCAAACTCGATAAGAAATGTTGTTGACAACTGTTAGTGTAACAAGAAGTATTGTGCACACGAAAAGATATAAGACATTTTAATTGAGCATTGCAAGCTAAGCGAGACACTGTTCATTCAACAGAAAGAATGTGATAATGAATTATTAAAGTCCTCTTTGCGTCATAGTACTGCTGCGTTGAAAGATCGTTTCTTCTTGACCCATACTGTACATGGCTTTAAGCACGTTGCTTATTTCTTTTGGAGACGAATATTTTGCACTTGAACATAGTATTTCGAGGCAATCAATAAATAAAGCCTTTCTTCTCAATAGAACTTATTGATATTCAAGAAAAGCAATTATTTTCCAAATGTATTCTTGATGCAGCAAATATGCTTATTATAATTGCATTTCTCGACATAAATTATTTAATCTGTTTTCGAACATACGTTTGCTTATCGTGCTAGTTACACATAGATTTTTTACATGAACTAATTTTGCGCATTTTTTAAGTTTTTTTTGCTTTGCCTGTCACGAAATTCACGTCGTTTGAAGTTTGATTTTCAAATTCAATAGTATGGAAGAAAGTATTTTAGGTCTTACAATTGCAAAGTTAGCCCGAATATTTTTTCCGGACGTACAAAATAAGTCATCTTCTCAAATAATTAAATTAAATGATTGCTTTTCTACTGAATGAACAAATTTTTTTACATTGCAGGAGTGCAAAAACTGTATTTGTTATAATGCTATTTGCCACACGCTATTGGAACCTTCCTTGTTTACACAATTTTTTGCATTCCTCGCGTTTTTCATTGTGCGCATGGGCACTCCTAACATAGATAATTGATATCAAGCTGTGCACAGCACAACGCTCGACACGCAAAATTCTTTAATAAAGTAGCTAATCACAAAAAATTTTAATCATAAAAAAATTTTCCCGTTGTCTTATTCTTGGTCTGCACCAGTAACATAAGCGAGAAGCCTTCTGTTATAGTGTGACATATAGAAAGCGACCCTTTTTTGTTTAGTTTGTTCTATTTTTGGGTTAAACTGTAGTATCGTGCTTATGTCGATGTTTATGTCATAAGTTTAATTGGTAATCTGTTTAATGTTTCGGCCTTATTTGTGATCACGGTAACTGTTTTGTTTCACGTTGCATAGTTGATAGTGAAACTTAAGTTTGTATTATTCTTCATAAGTTAAATTGAACTTCACAAAAATGATATCCGTCTGCCTTATTATGTGAAAATTAATTCTGACGTGGTTGTCCGTGGCTTATTGTAAGACGATATTTAAAACTTGGGGGCCGCCATTTTACCAAATATTCTACCTGTCCAACAGAGATCGGAGATAAGGTAAATCAAATCAAATTCTCGCAATGGCTTGTTGTGTTTATTGATTTTTAATGGTTCCTTGTCGTTCCTTATGTACCAAAGCCGTTTTTGGTCCTCGTCCTATTCCAGGAATGCATATTCTGTTCAGTTGTTGCCAAGGGCTACAAAAAAATTGCGTTTCGTTGAGAAATTTAGCGTGTTACACAGAAAAGAGGCATAACACGAAACCGATTTTATGCAGTAAAATTTCGTTGACTTTTATTCCGTTCACAATTTTTGCAAAGAAAGTTGTGCCCTGAATAAATGTGCTGAGAGTCTGTTTAGAATACCAAATATAATTAATTCAAGTTTAATGCCTTGTCGAAATTTTCGATTTCCCCAATAGACGATGGGCAAATGCGACTCTCCCACGTAAACAATCAAATATTAGAATGGCTTTCGTCATTCACATGTAAAACTGTCTGAGATTTAAGTAAATATGTGCATTTCTTTTTGTATTGATTGTATTGTCTTCTGTAAACGATAGCGTTGATTCATTGAGGATTTCATGCGATCATTTGTTAAATTTTGTCTTGGGTTTGAAAATTTACGATTACGGCATTATGACTTAAATCAAAACTGAATATATTACAACAATCATTGTTTTCGATCGTTGATATTGCAGGTTTTGATACACGCGTACCTGCTGGCTACTGTCCATCCAAATGCTTATCGAACTAGTTTCTACGAAATACGAATTCTGTTAAATCTCTCAATCATAAACATTCAAATTATTTTTTGAGAATCTTCATTACATGTTACAGCAACGAACGAGAAATAAAATCTAAATTTTTAAGACGAATTGGTTGTCGGCATGTTTCATTAAATAATGATATGCGCTGCAAAGCAAAGTTTGATTAAGAGCTTCGAAAATCATTTATGTTAAAGTATTTCATTTGATAATTGTGATGAATATGCCCAGATAACGCGTTAAGGCTACAACTATAGATCTGTGGGGTCCAATACGTACAATATAAAAAAACATTATTTGATATCAATGATATGCGCTTTAAGACTTCGTGAATTTATTTTTAGAGATCTAAAAGTCTTGCATTTTTATAGAGCTGTTGAATTCGTTCCTGACAGGTTTTTAGCTACCACATAAAGCACGTTTGCACACACAAGCTCTAGATGTAATATGCAATGTAATTATGTAATAAGTGTTTTGTGTTGTCACTAAAGAAAAACGATATCTAAGTACGCCAGGCTTTCCCACTATTTCACAGGCTAAAATAGAACTTTAAGTTTACACTTATTAAAAACGTATGTAAAGTGAGCCTAATATTCGTGAATTCAGACAGCATAATCTCTTTGTAGAAGACAGACTAAGAACGTTGTTTAGATAGTGCCCGTACTGGCAAGAATCGTTACAGTTGAGGGGAGAGGGAGGGGGTGCTGGCTATAGCCCAAGTTAGATAATAGAAGGTTTTTGTGTTGTATTGAAGTTTCATTTTATGTTTGCTCTATTTAGCTTTTCAATTTGTATGTTACTCTTACTGTAAAACTTTGAATTAAAAACTCGTCCACTTGTATGTTGGGTTCTGTGAAAAATACGTCAAGCCGGATTTTCGCTATAACGAGCGAAGAAAATGAAGAACTTTGTTCGGGACTACATGAGGTGTCCGCAGTGTAGTAATAGCGAGAGCATGGCTAGAGTAATTTTGATACATTTTATCGTAATTTCAATCGGGGATTTAAAAAATATCCGTAAAGCGGAGTGTCCGTGAAATAGCGGTTGTCCGTAAATATGGATGTCCACAAAGCGAGAGTTGATTGAGTCTATTAAGATTTTCAGGACAAATGTGAACTAGGCACACATGCTCATTGTGCAATAAAATGATCTTGTCAATCTAACATGCACTCATTCGCCCCTATACTGAGTGTTAACTTATTCGTGTTTATTTTAATCAAGATAATAAGTTTCTGCAATCAGTGATTTTCAACTCGTTTAGCAGGTGGCATTGATTGTTTACCTTGACTGACGGTTATTCGACTAGGATCGTATATTAAATAAACAATTGCTATAGTTACTGAGTAAGTAATGTGCAAATGAAATCTATTATGTAATCGAAGAAAGAAATTTTTCTTCTGCTATGAAATTTTTCAGCAAAACTATTATTAATTTCTTCATAAATTTAATTTCATTCAATGTTTTTTAGTGAATAAGCGAAAAATATTTGCAATGCGGGAACAAAAAGTAGGTCTGTCTTTGCCTCTGACAGTGTGTGTGTAGGGAAGGCGGTGAACTGGAAAGTTCAGGATCCAGGATGTAGTGATAGTTGTGCTCACGTGATCATGAGAAAAAGTGGGACAACTCCCCTCCGCCCCCCCAGGATTTACCCAGCGCTTGCTAAAATATGACAGTACTTGCTTGATAACATTAAAGTTTTCTTTATTTTTAGAATTCAATCCGTCACAATCTTTCATTAAACAAATGCTTCGTTAAAGTTGCGCGACGAAAGGATGAACCAGGTAAAGGAGGATTTTGGAAAATCGATCCAGCTTATGCCGACATGTTTGTTGATGGCGTTTTCAAGCGACGACGAAGCTCCACGAAGACACAACAAAAGGCTGTAAATGGAATGAACGATAAACCACGAAGCAGGTCCACGTCCAGTTTACATTTGACAAAGCGGTCGACTCCTTGGAACGATATCGCAACAGATTCTGCGAAGAGAATACGCGCGTTGGAGAAGCCCAACTTGAACTATTATCGTCATAATGATGTAACTGAAACTTACTATGAAGAGGAACTGCCACCTTTTCCCAGTGGCTTGAAACAAGATTTTGACTGGAATTCGGTGCTTGCTGAAAATGAAGGCGAAATTAATCTGAGGGATGCTTTGGATTCTCAAGGAATAATAATTGATCATAATTTTCGTGTACTTAATAGTCCATTTACGTCGTTCACTCCTGCAACTCCGCCACGCAGTGAAGTCTTCGTGCCAGAAGATAAATTAGATTTGACAATTCATGGAGTGGGGCTTTTTCCCAACCACCGCATGCCGCCATCGCCACCGCGCATGATGAGTGACCATCCCTGGGCGGAGGAATCTCCCAATGACGTCATGGTGTCACTGGATTACCTTATCAATCATGATATTGAATTTTAATTGAATTAGGTATAAATAATAAAACTTTTTATGTGTGACTATCAATACCTTGCCCTTTTACTGAAATGAAGACTTTTCAAAAGAATCAGGACTCTTCAAAAAAATCAAGACACTGCTTTAATGAAAAATTCATCTTGTGTTGTTAAACAACGCATGCTTTTTAAGACAAATCAAGAATCGCATCATAAATTTAAAATGTCATTGTTTGTATCATGGTGACCACATCATCATCCTTAAATATAGTCTATAAAAATATTACTATAGCGTATATTCTATGGGACATTTGCTATCGATTGGACAAATTCCTATATTCGTTCAGCAAATGATAATAGCATGTACTTTTACTGAGCAGGTCTTCGTACAAATATGTATATAATGTATTTATAATAACTGATAATATTTTTGCTGTGTAAGTAAACGCATTTTGCCTAAGTTATTAAGCTTCTATTATGTAGGTATTAACATTCATCTTTTGAAATAAATTTGATATAAAACGTGTCCTTTGTTATGCTTACTAGCTGTGACATAGCCCCCTGCAAAGTTGTTCATGCTTGTCAAAATGTGCTGTAAACTCATCCACTGCAAAAACAATATATTCCTAAAGAAATGACTGATTATGATAATGTTATGAATTATTAATAGCAGGACCAAAACTTGCGGGCTGGCCTCTCATTGCCAATGTGATTTTGCACCACCCACATTGCGAAAGAGAGGTCCAGCAATGCGTTTTCGGTTTTGCTCAGTCAGCTATAAGTAAAATAACTTTATTCAGTGTGGCAAGAAACATATATGGCTGGAACACGCTTTAATTAGGAATGTTGCTTAGTTCTACGAATTTCCACAAAATTTTAGTTTGACGGCTCATTACGTAGTTCATATATTCGTTTCTGGCGACACAAATAAACATTTACATTTGTCAAAACACTCTAGGGATATGATTAGTAATAATAGTCATCCTTATCAAAGGACGTCATCACTTAGACGACCAGACTGATTGTGAAAAATGGAGAGACTAAATTTATCTTCAAAGACTTCAATGCATGTTTATTCTTTGAGAAATGAAGTTAATTAAAAAACAGTTATAGAATCTAGTTGAAGAGGTATGATTCCTCAAAATAAGTACTTATGTCCACTAATAAGTACTAATATCAGGTCGTAAAACATTAGAAGTTGTCGCTCTACAACGGTTTTTCCTGCTGGTCTATAGGATGTACTACAAAGAATTTCATGCGACATGGAATTTTCTTAATATTGCTGACTAAGCAATGATAATTCGAATGATTTTGTGTCTAGATATGGTCCAGCGCCAAGTTACTGGCCAGAGGAATGGCGGACCTAACGCATGCGCGCAAAAATGTCACGCGTTTCACCATTGAGTTGCCCTTCTATGTATTCTCTATTCTATGATAAGGTCAAGAGCACTGATATATATATTAAACTTGCTAACGCACCATGTATAAAATATAATAAGATAATTGAAGCCGGAAGTTGGCTCATCTGATTTTGACCTTCATGGGGGGTATCGGTCCCACTTTACTATAGTTTTGTATTACAAAATCAAAGTTTTTGCGTTTTTATTCGTTCTACAAACTTTTGATTCGAGCAAAATTTTTGTGAAAGGGACAGAACAACCAGCAAAGATATTTAATACTAAAAAGTTTGTCTTCTTGGCTTTATAATGGCCAAATTGAGATTGTACAAGGTCGACCTGCATTGTTTTTAAACAAACTGGAGATTCTATGATGTTGCTGCTTCTTACAAAATGTAGAAATATCACAGAATCCTACTACTGCTACCAAAATTTCATCTGCAATGACGTTTATGGAAGATTGCTACAAATTTACTTATTTAACAACACTTTGTTATTCACATCGCTAATATCATAATAATTTCAAATTACGTCTTTATTATATCAGAAACAAAACTATTCGACATAGAAAAATAATGAGAAAGACATTTTGATGAACAATAGTAAGTTGAAAATGGTATCATCAAAATATGCGAATTAAAGTACCTCTGTTGTCATTAAGCCAAGCAAAGTTTTCAACCAGTTCCTATGTGAACAACTTCAATATCGAAGAATGTGTTGAAGATATGAATACCTTTGTTCTTACTTTGTTGTTAATTTGTAATTTAAGTATTCATCTTCTAAAAATGCCTCGCACGGCTGAAATTGTCCTCGTCACCTTCAACTTTCAAATTTCAATACAACTTGCCATCTTATTTTTCAGTCGTTACAAAGCCAAAAAAAACAGAGCTTCAGGGTTAAAACTCTCTTCCAGTTTTCCTCTACATGTCATAAAAATTTTGCCTTAATCAGAAGTTTGAAAAAGGAATAAAAACGCGAAAACTGTGATTCTGTAATACAAAAGTATAGTAAAGTGGGACCGATACCCCTCATGAAGTAGTAGCAAATGATCGGTCTTCCGGCTTCAATTTTTGCAAGAGATGCATTGCCCAGTCTAATATACATATCAGTGGTCAAGAGTCACGACTCCGGATAAGGAGATGTTCGAAATATTTCGGTATTTCCTGTTCGTCAACTACAAGCTACAACAACTCTTACGCTATCATACTTCCCAGTTTGATTATGAAACAAAGTTAAACGTGAGCTATGTCATGCCTTAGTGGGCTCGCAGAGGGGAGTAGGGTTTTTAAATTGAATTTTCTTGTTGCTGTGCGAAGATTCCCGTTCTTTAAATAAAATGTCACGCTCGAAGTTGATTTTTCGACAGGTAAATGGTGTCAATTTAAAAATGTAATCGACAGCGTAATTTATTGAATAAATACAGCATTTCTGTCAACTTTATGAAACTATATTGAGGATAATTACTATATTGACGAAAACTATATTTTATGATTCTGTTCAACATGTTTTTGCTATTCATGCAGCTTTTTGACGTTGAGTCGTCTACGTTAAGTTACATTCTTGGTTGTTCAAACACCAGAAAAGCTATAATCATTGACCCTGTCGATACTAAGGTGTGTAAAATCTTAGTTGTATTGACTGCGACACAGTGTAGTTTAGACTTCTAACGGGGAGCTCATGTCTTCTAGTTATTGGCAGTATGTTTTATTGTGGCTATACTGTCTTTGTGTAACTTTTCTTGCTTAATTGAAACGAATCTGTATGAATTTACTAATTTAAAGCCTAAGAATTTCAGTGATATGCATACAAAAGATTCTCAAAAATATCTTTAAACAGTGACTTCATCTTACTATAAAAAATTAGCAATAACTATTAAATCCATTAGTTACTGCTAAAGGAACAATAATTTAGTGATATTTCAAATTTATTACAAAATATCTCAAATATTTGGTCAAAGATGAATACCCCTATCTTATTCACATGCTTCATTTTATACTTCATCAAGTAGTAAAATTATCTGCCTTTTAGTCTTCCAGAGACTATACTCTACTGAAGGAGCTTGATCTAAATCTCCAATATGCAGGTATTCTGTGATGAGGTAGAGTTGTCATTTTCAACCTAATTGTGGTTGTAATGTCTGAATGTCCATTATGTGTTCAAGCAATTTCCCTTGAAATTTTTTCTGAATGGGCCACTGCACATTTTTTGTCAAATTTTTGTGATTTGATGACTGCAATTATACAATGATCATATCCTTGTATCTCTGATGGACCCAGGATAGTTATGTATTTGGGTGCACTTGTTTGGATTAGATTTTGGTGGGAGTGTTAATGTACGTATGTTGGATTGTTAGCTATTTGTAATAGCTATTTTCGCAAGCTCATTAAACATGAATCACCAATGCTTTTGCATATTTGCTTTACATATATATAATAAGACAAAGTCATTGTGATTTATTTTCAATGGAGTAGACTCTGATATACTTCCAAAAATTACCTCACAAACATAATGTAATTTATACAAAAAAACTGCATTCAATTTAAATTCACTAACTCTATACAGCTACTGAAGCTCAACATGAACAAGAGCACACCACCACCCTCTTCAAAACCATTTTGAATCCATCCATGTGTTACTGAGAAGTGCGTAGCCTGCCCTGTATTAAGTATAGGATTGACATTTTATTTGAAATATGTTCCTCTATGTTTCATTGCAATACTTTCTTCAGAAATTAAAATTTTTTAATTTTCAGCAATTTATATAATTTTAATAATTTTTTTAAATTTCAGGGTTTAAATTCAGGGTGTGCAACATTTAACTACTTTTTTTTTATGTACTATATTTTTTCTTTTTTCATTTAGTCAACACCCATGTTCATGCTGACCACATCACTGGAACTGGATGGTTAAAGGCTCTCATCCCCTCCTGTCGGAGCGTTCTTTCAAAGATGTCAGGGGGGAAGGCTGACATTTTCGTTGATGAGGGTCACATGATTAAGTTTGGAGAACATGCTTTAGAGTGCCGATTGACTCCTGGTCATACAAATGGTGGGGTATTATGGGGTTTTTTTTTTAATCAAGCTAAAACATGATCTGAAAATTGGCTTTTATAATGTTTAATTGTGTTGAACTCTGATTGCAAGAATGTTATTACATGTGTTTAACTGAATTCAACTGAATTTTGTATTTTCAATATGAACATAATAGCCCAACATAAGACTTTAAAAAAAATAACCATTACAACAATAAATTCCGAAAAAAGGATAAAGGTTTTTCTTAATAATTACATTTTGTCTGTAGCTTAAGACATCTTCAGATTAATTGAGATGAATTTTATACATTAGGTTTTAAATACAAGCATATATTACAGGGTGTTAAATTACATATGAGGAGAGTAGGAAGTTTAACTAATGGTCAACTTTATCATCAGATTGATGGTGTGGCTATGAGCAGCCCCCGAGGCCCTCTATTTGCTAACATATTTATGTCCTTCAACAAGAATTCGTGGCTTCACAACTGTCCTTCCGCTTTCAAACCCCATCTTTACCAACGTTACGTTGATGACTGCTTTCTACTCTTCCTATCATTGGATCACGTACCTCTCTTTTTTACCTATCTCAACCACCAACATCGTAACATTTCCTTATTTCCTTTACATCTGAACTTGAAAAAGACGGCACACTCCCCTTTTTTGACGTAAAAAATAACTCGCTTAAACTGTAAGTTTACCACCTCTGTTTATCGTACACCCACTTTCACTGGTCTCTTCACCACTTTCCATAGTTTCATTCCCATTCAATACAAACGCTCTTTAATCTCATCTCTTCTTCACAGAATTTTCAACCTCTGTTCCAGATATGAACATTTTCATACTGAACTAGAAGTTGTTAGAACACTGTTCACCTTAAACAACTATCCTTCATACATATTTGACAACTTGACAACCCGTTACCTCAACAATATATTTGAACCCAAAGATCCTATTCACACTGCTCCTAAGAGAATCATGTACTTCTGCTTCCCTTTCACTGGCCTACACTGTCTTCAGATTCACACTCATATCACTCGACACTGCAATGCTGCCTTTCCTCATATCAGCTTTCGCTTTGTTTTTTTTGTTCTTCCAAGCTTCTCTCCTCTTTCTTTCCTTTTAAGGACAGGGTTCCCAAGCTCCTGAGATCTGGTCATTTAAGTGTCGATGCTGCTCTGCGTCGTATGTTGGTCAAACCACGCGTCATTTACACACCAGAATATCGGAACACTTGGAATCTCTCCCTTAACAGGAAAACCTTCCTTATGTCAACCACCATCTGCAATTCATTCTCATATAAGAAATACATCTCACTCTGCCGATTTTAATAACTTCTCAATTCTCTCTTCCTCCGACAATTATGATCTTATGGTTCATGAAAGCCTTCTCATATCTAAGCTTAAAACCTCTCCTAACACCCAAGGCAACTCTATCCTCCCTTCACCTCCTTTAATATACTGCTCTTTTCATTTTATTCAGTTATCTAAACTTCCTACTCTCTTTATATGTAATTTAACACCCTGTAATATATGCTTGTATTTAATACCTAATGTATAAAATTTATCTCAATTAATCTGAATATGTCTCAAGTCAAGGACGAAACGTAATTATTAAAAAAAACCTTTATCGTTCATTCGTATTTTATTGTTGTGATGGCTTTTTTAAAAGTTTTATGTTGGGCTTTTATGTTCATATTGAAAATTCGCTTTCCGCCTGGCGAATCTCTGGCTACGATTTTGACTTTTTATTTTGATTAAAAAGGTATAATTGCTTGTCAATTTTTAGGGTGTGCAACATTTGTTGATCTGACTAATGAAATGGCATTTACTGGTGATGCATTATTGATTCGTGGTTGTGGAAGAACTGACTTTCAGCAAGGTATAATTGTATTATATTTCATATTTCATAACATGTCTGTTACGTTGTTATTAAATTAATCTACAAATGCATAAAATAGCATTTACAAACTTTCAGTTTTTACAATTTCACCGGCGAAGTGTATTCATTTCCGGACCTTCTGTAACATAGCTCACGCTGTTGAGGTCACTGATATGTATATTAGACTGGACAATGCATCTCTTGCAAAAATTGAAAACGGAAGATCGATCATTTGCTACTGCTTCATGAGGGGTATCGGCCCCACTTTACTATACTTTTGTATTACAAAATCACAGTTTTCGCGTTTTTATTCCTTTTAAAAACTTCTGACTAAGACAAAATTTTTATGACATGTAGAGGAAAACCGGCAAAGAGTTTTAACCCTGAAGCTCTGTTTTTTTTGGCTTTGTAACGACTGAAAAATAAGATGGCAAGTTGTATTGAAATTTGAAAGTTGAAGGTGACGAGGACAATTCCGCCGTGCGAGGCATTTTTAGAAGATGAATACTTAAATTACAAATTAACAACAAAGTAAGAACAAAGGTATTCATATCTTCAACATATTCATCGATATTGAAGTTGTTCACATAGGAACTGGTTGAAAACTTTGCTTGGCTTAATGACAACAGAGGTACTTTAATTCGCATATTTTGATGATACCGTTTTCAACTTGCTATTGTTCATCAAAATGTCTTTCTGATTAATTTTCTATGTCGATTTGTTTTGTTTCTTCACTGATATAATAAAGACGTAATTTGAAATTATTATGATTTTAGCGATGTGAATAACAAAGTGTTGTTAATAAAGTAAATGGTTTGAACCCGGAAGTATCGTTACATGTTTGTAAATGTAGATCGTCCAGGTTGGTATAGTCCTGAGAAGGACTGTTTTTGTTGTTGTTGACTGACGTTTCGACAACCTTAGCGGTAGTCATCTTCTGAGTCAAATGAGGAATAAACGTCAGGTTAGCTGTATTTGTTATCTGGTTTTTACGTCATTGTATTGTGTGTACAGGAAATGTGTATTGTCATTGTGAGTTAGTGTGAAGTGTAATGTTTTTAGTTGTGATGTGTGATTTAGGTGTGATGTTTTTAGATGTAATGTGTGGGTGTCAATTCTTTATTGTCATTGTGAATTAGTGTGAAGTGTAATGTTTTTAGTTGATTGTTTTTTTGTATTTTGAATAAGTCGTTTGTAAGGTGCCGGTAATTGCTGTGATCTGTTCAGGGGGGTTTGTTCCAAGTTGGTATACCAACTTTCTAAGAACCAGATAACAAATACGGCTAAGCTGACGTTTACTCCTCATTTGACTCTAAAAATGACTACCGCTAAGGTTGTCGAAACGTCAGTCAACAACAACAAAAACAGTCCTTCTCAGGACTATACCAACCTGGACGATCTACATTTACAAACGTGTAAAGTGTTGTTAAATAAGTAAATTTGTAGCAATCTTCCATAAACGTCATTGCAGATGAAATTTTGGTAGCAGTAGTAGGATTCTGTAATATTTCTACATTTTGTAAGAAGCAGCAGCATCATATAATCCCAGTTTGTTTCAAAACAATGCAGGTCCACCTTGTACCATCTTAATTTTCTGCCATTATAAAAGCCAAGACAAATTTTTCAGGATTAAATATCTTTGCCGGTCGTTCTGTTTCTTTCACAAAAATTTTGCTCGAATCAAAAGTTTGTAGAACAAATAAAAACGTAAAAACTGTGATTTTGTAATACAAAAGTATAGTAAAGTGGGACCGATACTCCCCATGAAGGTCATAATCAAATGAGCCAACTTCTGGCTTCAATTATCTCACAGACCTCACAGTATAAAACAATGGTTAAAATCTTTGACATGCGCAGTATGGGATAAAGAATTAATAAATTTGATATATACATGCGAAGGTTTATTATTAGAATATTACAAAAATTTCTAGTTGTTAAAAGTTTATTTAACTTGTGATTTTCTCTGGCTTCAATTGACGGTATTAATTTTGAACACAACATTTCTCTTCTTTTGTACAATGTTTCTAATTTGGCGTGATTTATCACGTCGGTGTAATTCATATCTGGATGAATTACCAAGTTTTGGTATATTTTTAGATTCCAGTGACAAATAGTTAAGAAGGCTAAAGTGTACTAGACGATTGATCTTTTATACGCAGTGTAAAATTTGTATACATGTACTGAACTACACAGTGCGTTTTTTCTACCAAATTGCTTGCCAGTTTCTTCCTTTACAAATCATCTGCAACTCTCAGACCGTGCCAGTACAACTTGAAAAAGAACAGGTCTTTCTATCAGGAGCAATCTGATGTTAAAACTTCAGCTCTTGTATACACCATATTGCCTTCATCAGCATTGAATTGGTGTTGAATAAATCTATTACAGTGATACGAAATGTATCTTTATCAGAAATGCATGGTCTGGTGATTAAACTTGCATATTATACGCTCCAACCTTGAGAGTCTACACTACAATGGAATCAAGTCGCCGATCTATTTTTTATTTTACTTAGGCAATGCTTCTTCACTTTACGAATCTGTTCATGAAAAAATATTATCGCTTCCTTCAAACTTTCTACTGTATCCTGGACATGACTATCAAGGTTTGAATTTTTGAAAATCTCACTTGTATTTGAAGTGAAACCATCTCGACAAGGTAGTCAAAAACGTGTTTCTTTTAGGCTTTACTGTCACAACAGTCGAGGAAGAAAAGAACCACAATCAACGATTCACAAAAGAGAAAGCAGAATTCATTAAATTCATGAAAAACCTTAAACTGGAATATCCCAAGAAGATTGGTGAGTTTTTCATCATTTTTGATGTTTAAAAATGACGAAATTACTGAGTACGGATAATAGTGGGTTATAGAGGTAGTTATAACCTTTTCCAACTTCCTTTTCTAGCCGACAATTTCAAAACATAAATGATAAAACGCGCTCCAAAATCATCATCTTGTAAACTAAAGATTCGAGCTATATCAGCAATTGACAAGATTTAAAGCAATATTTCGACTTTATTTCAAAGTCATTATCAAGCCAAGTGATTATTTATAAACATGTGTGATCTTAATTGCAATTTAAGGGATTAGGAAAGAAGTTCATAGCGATAAGATGTTCAAAGCAAAGTTCAGAGCGACATTTTAAATTACCACACATCGCCTTATTATAAAATAGGTACGCTTTGTGTGCTTTTATCTGCGCTCACGTGTAATGGGTTGATGTTCCAGAATTAACTATTTAGTTTTTTACAGTTTATGTAAATTTATTAAGTTGAGATTTTCTTCGATGAACTTATTTGAACCTCACTTTAAGTTTTAAAATGTGTGTTATATGTTTGGCTTAAATAGCAACTTACAAGACGTTTTAAAACCATTGCCAGCCGATAATTATATAAAATATAAAACGAAACAAACTCAGTTTATGATACATGTGCGAGGACATGATGAGGAAGTTAGGTTTATTTAATAACCTACCACACATGTAAATTAACCTAACTTCCTGATGATGTCATCGCACATGTATCATAAATTGGAGAAACTCTTAGCTCAAAATCACTGTATCTTATTTTGCGCCTTCTTCTATTTCATACAATGGGCTAAAGATGGAAATTATCTTCGGAGTTTGTTTCGTTTAAGTGTTTTTCTGCAGAGATGTATGATTTGTCGTATCAGAATATGCTATGAAGATATGTATCTTTGATTATGTCGAATATTTTCTATTTGATATTGCTTTCTCTAATACATTTGGTAGCCAGTAATAACAAATTCAATGATTACTGAAAAATCATCTAAATATAGAACTTACGCATTTGAGAATTATGTTTTCCGAAAAACACAAACAATATTAAGGCCTATTTCAAACGTCGAATTTAATTCAGACGAATTTAATTTGCTGTTTAATTCGTCGTTAAGTTGTGTTGACGGTTGTTCATTTCAAACACGTCGAATTTAATTATGACAAATTGTAAGCAGTAAACATAAGGCAACAGGCGCGTGTAATGGCGCGCTCATTTAATAAATGGATTCATAATATCAGGACGGCGATTCTTGTTAAAATAAAGAAAGTGAGCGAGAGAAAGAAGAAAATTCATTAAGCTGTTATTGCTTTACTCGCATTGTGAAGAAAATATCTGGCTCGTGCTCTTTCGACTGTATTTTTGTTAAGTAAATGGTTTGAACCCGGGAGTATCGTTACATGTTTGTAAATGTAGATCGTCCAGGTTGGTATAGTCCTGAGAAGGACTGTTTTTGTTGTTGTTGACTGACGTTTCGACAACCTTAGTGGTAGTCATTTTTACAGTCAAATGAGGAGTAAACGTCAGGTTAGCCGTATTTGTTATCTGGTTCTTACGTCATTGTATTGCGTGTACAGGATATGTGTATTGTCATTGTGAATTAGTGTGAAGTGAAATGTTTTTAGTTGTGATGTGTTATTTATGTGTGATGTTTTTAGTTGTAATGTGTGGGTGTCAATTGTGTATTGTCATTGTGAATTAATGTGAAGTGTAAAGTTTTTCGTTGATTGTTTGTTTGTGTATTGTGAATAAGTCGTTTGTAAGGTGCCGGTAATTGCTGTGGTCTGCTCAGGGGGGTTTGTTCCAAGTTGGTATACCAACTTTCTAATGTAAGCCGTTGTCTATAGTCAGTGCTGTAAGTAATGCATTTTGCCGAGTCCCAGTCAATGTTGTGCTTTGTGATTCGGTGATGTTCGGCAATGTGATTAGTTTTGTCTTGTTTCTTAGTAGCTCGTTTGTGTTCAGTAAGTCTTATGTTTAAGTTCCTGCCAGTTTCCCCGATATAGGAGGCGTGGCAGTCGGAGCAGTTTATTTTGTAAACTGCACCTTGTCGTTCGTTGCGTTGTTCTTTGTCTTTTATGTTCGTTAGTACTTGTCGTAACGTTGTGATTGGTTTATGTGCGACACGTATGTTGTATATGTTGTATGGTCGTAAGATACGCAAGATAGTCTCAGACGTACCTTTGATGTAAGGTATCGTTGCTGTTGTCACTGAGTTGTTCGTTTCGTTGGGTTTGTTGGGTTTGTAAGTTTTGCGTTTGATAAAGTGAGAGTTATAGTTGTTTTTGTGAAAAACACGTTTGAGGCAGTTGTTTTCATTGTGTAGAGCGTCCGGTGAATCACATATGATTTGTGCACGTCTTGTTAATGTTCAGATTGTGGTGGCTTTGTGTGATGTAGGGTTGTAAGATGATTGGTCTAGTAGTCGGTCAGTATGTGTTGGCTTGCGATAAACTGTTGTTCGTAGTTTTTGATTGTCATGTTTTACCAAACAGTGGAGAAAAGGAAGAGTGGCGTTTTCTTCGACATCTTTGCTAAATTGTATGTAAACTGTTCTGTTTGTTGATGTGAGTGTGAAAGTCATCAATCTCGTCTGCATGTAGTGCTGCGATTGTGTCACCTACATAGCGCAACCAAAAAGGTAGTGCATGTTTGTAAGTCGTGAACGCCCGTTCCTCTATCGATTCCAGTACAAAGGTACACACTACAAATAATTACATTGAACAGCAATGGGCTCACCCGTTTCTGTTGTAGTTGCTGAAATTGCTCAATACACAATTGACACCCACACATTACAACTAAAAACATCACACCTAAATCACACATCACAACTAAAAATATTTAACTTCACACTAATTCACAATGACAATACACATTTTCTGTACACACAATACAATGACGTAAGAACCAGATAACAAATACGGCTAACATGACGTTTACTCCTCATTTGACTCATACATCTCATACATCTCATCTTTTGACTGTGAAGATGACTACCGCTAAGGTTGTCGAAAGGTCAGTCAACAACAACAAAAACAGTCCTTCTCAGGACTATACCAACCTACATTTACAAACATGTATTTTTGTTGTTAGCAATTTTGGAAAATCAAAGGGAAATAATCCAACGTTTATGGCCCTTAAAATACATTGATATTTCGTGATTTTGGCAAAATTTGTGCAAGGCATAGCGCTTATAAAATAACACAACCAAACTTGGTTTCGTGTAAATAATTTCCTTTCTGAAAGCATCGCGCATGCCTAGGTGCTAGTTGGAAAAACAGTGACTGCTGGTTCAGAATTACATTTTAGCATAATTTATGCATTTAATTCAACGCGATAGTACATCGTCGTTTGAAAGGAGAACGTGCGCTAGACGTTGTATCCGGCTAACTTAGACGGATACAACGTCTTTGACGAAAATAATTAACATCTTTCAATTAAATTCGTCTTAATTAAATTCGATAGTGTTTTGACGTTTGAAACATGCCTAACTGTCAACGACGTTACTGTCGGAACAACGAATTTATGCGGATGGCTGGCTACTGTTACCGATTGTTTTTACATTTTCGCCTATAAGATCCTTGCCATTCAGTCAATTTATATTTTGGATTGATCAAAAATCAAATGTACCTATGAGAACGTAGAAGTAACCATCTTGTTTTGAAAATAATCAAGCCTGCAACAGGTGGGAAAAGTCACTCCATGTGCGTGACACGTCATTGGATAGCAATATATCTGCGCCAGCGCAGATACAAAAATTCAGGTAACTGCAGCCTTACCGTTTTCAAAAACACTTCGAGCAGTTATCGCTATCTTTCATATGCTCTTCATATTAAGCTGTTTCTTTGTTTTTACCAACATATTTGAAATTCTTATTAAAAGAATTCTATTTCATTAACTAACTTTTAGAGACGGCCCTTCCAGCAAATCTTGCTGACGGAGAAGAACAAGTGAACGAGGCTGTTGTTCATCAAATTCGCCATGGATGATAAAACAAGGGAATGAGTTGAAGACTCGTTATGATGTATCGTACAAATACATCAAGATGAATTTAGGAACGTCTATGTTTTTGTTGTGAGTATTGACTAGTATTTATATATGTCTGTATGTAACGTCTCATAGATAGGACAAGTTTAACTATAGTATTAAACATTAACCGAAACTTGACCACTACACTAAGCAGTATAATCATCAATAAACAATTATTGGATGAGGTTGAGCATAATATGAGGAATTATTCAGACCGAGGTAAATGTTATCTGTAGATATGACGTCATACCTACAAACATCGAGAATTATTTGCAGGCAGTTGACCAATCAAAAGTGATATTCCTTGCATAGTAAATAATAACAATTAATGATTAAAGTAAACAGTGTACCGTAAGGTAATAATCAACAAGTATTGAAATAGACTGAGCATGATATCAAAAATTTTTGACCGAGGTCGAATAATTTATCATGCGAAAGCAGAATTCAGTAATTGGTGGACTTATTATTTGTTTATTTGAATTGAAAATTTTCAGTTAATTAGCTTGTAGTATTTAAAGTGTAATTACACTTTCACTTACACATTTTTACCGTGCAATTACAGATAAACAGCACTACAGTAAACCAATCATCACAGTCGAGAAGTGTCTTTTACTATAACATAAACTGAACATTTTCCGATTGCATGAAATTTATTCAAGCAATTTGTATGTCGTTTTGATGTCCAAAAAACTATCGTTGACCACGTATCTTGTCGCCGAAAATAAAAAATATAAAGCTCTCGGCATCACAGTCATATTCAATGGTAGTTTCGCCGTCAGTAGCATGTTGAATGCAGTGCCATCAACTTTGAAAGTGTAGCTATTGTCACAATAGTTCACTACCTCGTAAGCTATACTGTAATTGTGCCTGCGACTCAACAACTGCAAGCAGTTTTTATCGAGTTTCTTTATTTCTGTTTTTGCACCGAACATGTTGCGCGTCGCCATTCCTCGCAGTTTTGCTCTCGCGGTCGGAACGTCTTCGGAATGTTTTGATGCGCATGTGCAAAGCCTTATATCGACTGCCTCGTCGACACAATGCTGGTATCTGTTGTATAAAGTATGTCTATCAAATCTGATCATTTTTGCTGAAGAATTTTTCTTATCTGGGAGTAGAGGTATTTCTATTAGTACTTGAAATACGTCGACTAAACCAGGTACCGCTGATTGTACCAATAGATCCATCGTCGTCCATATCTTGTTGTCCATCTGTTTTTCGATGTTATTCTTGGTACCCAGACCTCTCAGTCGTAAACAAGATCCGTAGCCTCCATACGTTTTACCTATAAGTGAAGAAAATAAAAGAATACGTTTAAAATTATTGAGCTAACGCAATAGGTTTCTGTAGAAATTAGACGTAATATTTCTCAGTATATAAAAATCCATACTTCTGTGCAAATCATGCAGTGGCAGATCCAGACTACGTCAAAATAAATTACTGCAGCACATTTTGGCGTATATTTGCATTTCTAAGCACCTTAGAGGGGAATCCATTGGTAAAATTATATTCCTTAGGAATTAAAAACCAATAGTGCTTTACTGAAAGTATTTTGAATTTAAAATTTAGGAGTTATAATTTAATTTGACGTACACTGAATCCGCCACTGAAATCATGGGCGTAAGAAGCTCCAGAGCAGGGGAGCTTGACTCCCCCTAACTTTTAGAAGCTGAGACATGAGCTTCCCTTAAAGTGAACTGCGAACCAATTTCAATTTTATGTACTTGACATTTTAATAGCAAATTTTCTCAACCATTTTCCACTTATTCTTTACAAAAGATGAATTAGGAATCAACAAGATTTTATCATTGATTATTCTCTTCTCAGTTATCATCAGCAATTTAAATGAAGGTGTACTGACAGGGATGGATGTAATGCGGGGAGGGGAGTGTACAAATTTTTCCTTGAAAGTATCAATTTACCAAAGAATTAGACAAAAATCAATCTTGATTTGTGTTGAATGGAGAACATTTATGAAAAATATCTTCAAGCAACTGAATTCGACAAAATGAATAGACACAAAATTTAAAAATTGCCACCCGGTCCAAACTTAGTAACCAATGTGTGTTATCAATAAACTATTGCAACAATTAAGGGTTAGCCGAGATATAAGGGTTTAGGTTGAATTTATCATGTATTCAAAAAGGAACATTGTTAATAATTATTGGAAATTATCATGCGTTGTATACAGTAACTTTATTGGGTTACAACATTCTGGTCAGCTGAAATTTGCTGCTTTGTCGCAGTTGAATGCGACGTTTATTAGTTACATCACTGATGTTCGAATTTTTTATTTGTGGAATTACGAAAGAACGTGTTGTTAGGAGTATGGTTTTTCTATTTTGTGTGACTGAATAATTAAGCATTGTTACTGGTTATCTACGGTTGCACGCTACCTACTTGCCTAGAGACTAGGGTCTCTTGAAACTTCAAGCAAGGCACGGCGACATCCATAAAGTAGCCACTAGATTCTAAGTCAAATTACAGTGTCCGAGCGAAATATCATCCAAACTGTATCAGCCCCTGGAAAATCATCCTTTATCCATCCCAGTGATTTGAAGGGAAAATATCAAAACATATAGAATGATCATTATACGCGCATGTGTAGAGAATAGTGAGCTTTTTGGTCTTCAATGGATATTTTAATCATCAGCCGACTTTCTTGTCATGGGCATTGCAAAACTGCATAAATATATGAAACATTCCACTTATGTAGGAGACATACACACCGTAATTAGTCAATAAATGCTCAGGGCGTTAATTGAAGCAGTTTTAGGTGGGCGACGTTAATATGAATTCTTTTGACTGTGCACAATCGTGCCGCACAGACAAGCAAACCCAAACTTTAAGCGGGGCGGCGTTAATTTGATACGGGGTGTGATTTAGATTAATAACGGTATGAAGAAACTTTTAGCCTATAAACTACCATAACTTTTCTAACTTCGATGATAAAGAATACTTAGTGTTTATTTATGATCTAATTCGCTCTTATCTGGACGGCTGGAGTTGAGATTAACTCTTTGTGGTAGAGAAAGTAGGTTTTTGAAAACATTCCTTTTAATTAATTCAAACAACAAGAAATCACCTTTCATAAACTGATCTTGTATGATGTTGTTTAACTTTCCCACGGCGAACTCCGCCAGCCACATATGGCGCTGAGAATTGTCTTGTACTTTTTGATCCCAGCCATCACATTTGCATCTTGTCAGGGGGGTGAGCGGAAGGTTTTCGCAAGTTCTGTTGCTTGGCAAAATGGATAAAATACCATTTATACGGTAGTTGTCTGAACTATATTTGACTGGATTATTCAATGACATCAGCATAAGATGAATATCGAGAGTCGTAAATAGTCGTCGCTGGTTCTCGACCAACGAATGAACCTTATCATTTTGGAGTATTTTGGCGACGTTTTCCGGAAGAATCATGAACATCAAAGGATTGGATAGTTCGAAGCGACCCTCCACACTTTTGGCGAATGCTGTTCTCGTGTGCCCGTGATCAGATAAAATTATAGTCAGCGTGTTTGGCTCGTTCGCGAGGTGCGTCACGTAGTTTGCCAGACCCACGTCGTCGTTGCGAATGCGTTTGCCTGATGACGTATGACCCGTGACGAGATGTAAATAGTGAAGGAAAGGAAGCGAACCTTCTTGTCTTTTCAGGGCTCTGTTGTGAAGAAACGAAGCGTTAAAGAATGTGTGTCAACCCACGATGCATTGCGTGCTTTTGTTTATGTTTACATCGTTAATTTTTGAGCCATCGGTATCCTAGTTCAGTTTTACACGTCATCTAATTTAGCTAAAAAATTCAGCAATAAAACATTTAAAAATTTTGACTATAATTGCGAGTTCTGAGTTTGTACAAACTTCGAAACTATCTGTTTGTTGTGCAATTCTATTTAACTCTTTTTGTCTTATCCACTCGTGGTATAATTAGATCTGTAAACGAATCCGGTGTTGTTCAACATTCCGTTTTGGCCTTCTACACTTAGGAAACGACGCCATTTCAAATCAAAACTTTTAAAATTATTTAAAAATTCTATTTTAAAGTTTTCGGTTGGGCCCCCTCCCCTTCCGACTGTGACAATGAAAACTTTGTTATATATAACCTGACGTTCATGTAATTGCTCATTGTAATTAGTATCTACAATTAACGAATCATGAAAGTTCTGCACAACAGTTAGTTTCTTTTCACCAATCAGTAACGCAAGAATAATTTCTTTTTACTTGCAAAGATGACCGTGTATTTACTCCACCTCAGAATCATGTTCTCCTAATAAAATTTACATGTTCTTTATGAATGCTGCCAAACATTTTCAAATCTAAAAATGTTCCGGTAAAAGAGAAGGACCCAAAGTTTTTCAGTATGACTGTTTCATGAAATGTAAAAAGCAAATCCTAAAAAGACATGTATCTTGTGAGAATAGAAAGTACGATTTTCGATTGATTGTAAAATTCACAGTTTTTATCTCCGTTTTGTTTTCATTCGTATTCTGTGTTCTCAAGATGTTTTGGTTTCTTTCTCTGATTTAGTTTTTTACTTTTTTAAACTATCCACTGGACATGCATGCTTTTTGCTGTTCGATATAGCTAGTTCTCGTCAAACAAAGTTACCATATTATAGTTCTAGGCTACTAAATGCAATTTTTCTGTTACATGGCTACATATCCGTTCGTAAACGTTTATTTACTCACTCGAGATAGTCGAGGTGATATCTAAGGAAGTATGTGCTGATGAAATCTCCGTTGAAACAAACTTGTGCCGGTTTTTCTAAGTCGTTCGTCCGACCGTATTTTTTAGTCACTTCGCATGTGAAATGCGTCATTCCAAAGTCATCTATGTAGTATTTCTTCCATCTTTCTTGTAACTCGCTCCATCTTTGAAAAAATCGCACGAAGAGTGTTCAGATCACAGAATTAGTAACGTGCAGAAGGGTCATATATATCAGCAATTATTCCAGTTGATCAGGGTTTGTCGCTTGTTTTCATCCACTAAAATGATATAACGACATTTCTTTAAGTGTAGATATTTTCTGACAATCACTGAGAAAGGAAGCCATGTCATTTTAGTGGTTGGAAACAAGTAACAAATCTCATGGAGTTTACGGTCTGCACGCAACATGATAAATTGGCTAACTTACAGTCGTTTGCAATCTTCTATAAATATGCGCAATGGTTTAAGAATTTTTAATTCTTTTATTAGCAATGTCACAAATAATCTTTAATTTGTTTTTTGTAAGTTTGATGCATAAATTTCCATTGCTCCCATTTCGAAACTGCTATAAAATACTCACGATATAGTACGATGAAAGTCAGTTTTATGCTGCTGATTTACCTCTTGATGAATCCCTCACTATCCTTTGGTGTAGGAAAACGTTCTACGTCCGTCAGCATAAGTCCCCAGTAATCATACCAGCATCCCTCTTCTTGAAACAGTGTTTGATATCCAGAATGCTTGTATTCTCCGAATAACACATGAATACCAAGGGGTTTAACTGATTTGCGCCATTCACTGCTGAACTCTTCATACACACCTGTCAATCGAGTGTCAAGTTTGGCTTCAACTTCAGCGTATCATTGTGGTGTTAAAGTGTTTATAACATGAAATTTCAGCCCGTAATTTTCCGTACAATTCAAAGATCAGCTTGATAATTATGCATGTTTTGCCGTATTAAGTTCTAAATATGAATATTACTTCCCCCCTCCCCCTTTGTCGAAAAAAATTATTAAGTTGCAAGGTCTTATGATTGAGGTCTACTAACTCAGCGTCGTACTAGAGAACGTGCAATACTTTGGACTTGAATGTGTTATTGGTATGTTGGATGGAACATTTGAGACAAATGAAGACTGAGTCGTATTGTGTCGGCAAGTTGTGCAACAAACAATAAAATATAGAAGAATCTAAAGTTGAGGCAATGGCGTATGGTAGTAAAATTATCTGAATAAGAAAAGGTGTCGCAGATACTGAGGACGTAGTCAGATGCAGTACGCACAAAAAGACACTTTTGAAAGTTAAGTTGGAGGGGTAGTATGTAGTATATGTTCCTTCACGGACGATAAATTGTGATAAGCAACAGTCGGCAGTTTTACAGGAGGTAAAAAAAACTGAACACCCTACATTAGCAGGTTACCTGAGGTCACACCGGAGTATAGTGGTCTACAGTTGTCCATTGTATGTTGACTGACACTTTGAAATTGCTCGAAATCCAAAATTGTTGCAGGTATACTCTTATTGTACACAACATCACGAAACGCTTTGATTGTTTTTGGCATCGACCGATAAAAGTGCGGTCTTGATATCGAATCAATCAATACGATATTTACGTTTATTTTGGGACTTTTCATCTCGTTTTTATATAATCTGATTGGCCTCGGTAACATTAAAACTTGTGAAAGACCTTCACACTTAAAAAATATGAAGTTAAAACCATTTTCAATACTGCGATGGATGATTTCCTCTACCTCCGTGTTGTTTGGTGCCAGTTGCCAGTGCATCACTTCGCCGTGGATGGAGCTCATTTCTCCAACGCTTACTTTTTCCTTGTTGCAAATGGACCAATCACATTCCAGTTGGTATTCCCTTGCGGTCTCGTTCACTTGAAACTCGCATATGTCCTCGAACTTTGGTTCTTCGCAGCGCTGGGTGGGTAGTTCGCCTGCAGAACCGTATATTTCCTGCGCAAGGGCGCAATCTTTATAAGCTGGTCTAGAGAATTAGAATGTTACAGAACGTTCAGTTGCTGAGACGAAGTACTCAGAGCATCGATAGTTGCGAAGGGAGGGGAGTTATTCAACTGTGCATATTCCAATCCAAACAAACCAAAATTCAAATACGGCAGAATATGCATAAATGAAACATAGTTACACCACTGAAAGTATTACAAAGTCAGTAATATGAATAATCATAAAACAAAACCATAATGTCTTTGTGAATAATGTCTTTGTGTAATGATAAGGGAGGAATTGGTCAGGTTAATAGTAAGATATTACACCTTTTGTTTAGCATTAAGCGAATAATTTAATGGATTTTTCACTATTTTAATTCATGGTCGCTGACCTGTGTGGCTTGCATGAAAATTCAGAATAGTTGTTTGAATAATGGCTTGTTTCCATCGGCTTTCGTACTCCCAAATATGGGCATGGATCGTCGTCAGGGAACACACCTTTTCTTTCGATATTTAGCAATGTATCAACAAGGATTGTATGGCTGTCTGTTTGTTGTTTTTCATTTGTGACTCCGCTAAAGTATCTTTCTGGAAGAATGGGAAAATGCCGTATTCATAACGAGATTAAAAATTACCATGAATATTTAACAAGTACGTATCATTACTAGTTGGTGTGCGTAAATTTGAATGAAAAACAATTAAGTAGAGTGAAGACACTAAGGTTTGACAATTTTATACATTTGAATTTCTTTCGATGTGACTAAAAGAGTAATTTTAGTGACTTGTTATGTATTTGTAAAAGTTATTGTTTTCTAAGCCCAAAAGTACAACTTACAAAAGAAAACTGAATTCTACATGTTAGGTGTATGTCGTATGAAAAAGGGACCTTTACAAATCAAGGGATTGTTATAGTTTTACAATACTTCCTCAAAAATATCATCAGCTACGCAAAGGTACATAAATTACATATACCATTGTTCAAGCACAGAAGCCAAAACTGCTTCTTGCTATTTGACATAACTTCTAACAGCAAACAATGCACAATAATGCTAACACAGACTACACAGTGATCAAGAATTAAGTATCCCGGTCTATAGCCTTGTTTCTGACTGCCTCATTTTGCTATCGTAGCATAACATGGTGATGAAGTTTAACGTCACAAAAAGAAGCAAGTGGACTATATATTCATGCATGTTGTCAGTTGTGTCGGCGACTAACTTCTTTGAAAAGGAATTGGCTTTCAAAAAAAACCCCTTTCTATAATGTACAGAATTTGAAGTAGGAAATTTTACTTTCTTTAAACACTTCTTACTTCCGTTCTTCTTGGTACATTGACTACTAAAGCATCTAAGCACAAAAATTCCTAATTGAAACGTTCCAAAAGCCTGTTAGTGCCGTTTTTACCTTTCTCGTGGATGATAAGTGTTTGAGGGACTTTAAACTGCATTTTTCCTGGCAATAAGAGCAACAAAAATTTGAAGCTAAAACTATAGTCAAAATTTTGAGATTGCAAGATCAGGATGTTCCATGTTCAAATATTGAACTTGGAAAAATTTTAGTCATCGATAATCGTCTAATTATTGAGTAGCATAATGCACATGCATTGGCTTTTGTGTGTTTTGAGAGGAAGTGTGCGAATCTTCTTAAAGAGAAGTTATTTGGATGGTGGTCTCGTTGCGTCACTGCCACATGATTGTCTTTAATGAGGCACACCTGTGAATTTTTTCATGTACGCTTTACAAACATATATGTCTTACGTTTATAGAAAGAAGATCTTCGTAGAGACATGTACAAAACGCAAATAGCAACGACAGCCAATATCTGCCTTTTACATTTTTTCTAAAATGAAAATTTATTACTAGATCATTTGAGTTGAGGAGAATTGCAGCGGCGTCGAAGAAAAAAATAATCAAGTCTTTTGTAAATAGAGATATTCTAAAGCGTTAAAGCCACATTCTGCAGAGGAAAATTCGTTATGAAGAGTGTTAAACCGTTTTTTTTTTTGTGAATTTAGTAGGTATAGCTACTCAATTTTAAGGTCCCCCAGTTAGAGAACTTCCTCGGAGAACCAAAATCACGGATTCCAAAATGTCATTTGTAAGAAACAGAAACTTAGCATGCTCCCTTCTTCCACTGTACACAAATGTACGCATGACGAACATCGCCTTACGCCTTTGAGCTCGATATATACAAAAAGATCTCAATCCGATATTTCTCGGTGGGACCTCTAGTTTGAATAGGCAGATGGAATTCAGCTTTCTGATTTCAGTAGCGTACATTAAATCTCAAAACCGTTTCCATGTAAGAAAAAAAACTAAGAATTTATCTGGGTTTTTTTATTATTTCATACTTAGTAATTAATTGTTTTGTATACTGTGAAATAAAATCATAAAACATGGAAATAAGAATGTTAATTCATCGTTCGTTAATGTCTGGTCAATTGTAACAAAAACTCATACCTGACGTTTTCAACGACCTTAAATAAGAGATTTTTAATACTTACAGTGATAGAAAACATATATATTTTTACATAGGACGGAGGGTGCTCATTTTTTTCTGTACGATAAGATATTAAATGTTGTATACCACGAACACTACAAGGGCTGAAAAGTAATCGTATTGGATTTAGAAATAATCTAAAGCCATTAATCTACATGCATTATTTAACTATATTATAATATAACCGCATATGGTTTTTATAACCTGCATTTACCTTCAAACAACGACATTGCGTGTTATCAACTGCTTTACACAAATCGACATGATACGAATGCGTTCATACAATGCTTGGTCTTACCCAAAGAACTTGCTCAATTTTTAGTTTAGTTACAATTTTCTTTGACCAGTTATACAAGCTGTTTTTATAATGAATGTCTATTTTGTTACCCGTTTGTAACCATGTGTTTGCTGGTTGTTGATGATAATAAATAAAATATAGAGTAATCCATTGTTTCAGTTGTATAATATAATACTCATGTAGGATGGCTCAAGCACTATGAATTAAACGATGCACGTTGTTGAATCATTTGAATACACGCAAAACTCCACAAAATTAAAAAAGCTGAGCTAGAATTATCAGCACAGCCTTCTTTAACATTCATAATGGGTGTTATCTTACCCTGCTGCAAGACTTCTAGCAGTATTTCATGAGAAAAACTTTCCTGAGAAGTGACTTTTAGGAATATTTTTTGGTAAAAATCCGTAGTAGAGGTTTACTCGAGATAAAAACGAACTTTCTCTCCCCATTGACACGCAAATTACCTTGTACAGGTAATACGAGCAACTCATATTTAATTGCACATACTCAACAATGCTTTACGATAAGATCCTTTTCCAGCTGACAATTTCAAAAAATAAAGGAGAAAACATAGTAACATAGTCCATCAACCTGAAACCTAAGACATGAGTCATACGAAGAAAAACACACAAAATGATTTGAAAAAGACAAAATTATTCAATTTGTGCGATAAACACTCAGTAGAAAAACGTTCTCACATGCAGTGAACGCCATTGACTTGGTTCACTTGGTTGGGATTTTGGAAAACTTCAATAAGAAACTGAGAGTAATCAATGGTTCACCCTAAAGATATTTATTTAATTATTTTATGTGCGCAAGGTAAGCAAAAATACATTCCTATTAATTCTATAATTTAAGTTGTTAATTGTGGACCAATTTGAGTCTTTAGTGAGAGTGAAAGATTTTTTAAGCACGAAATTACGAACAATTGGTATATCAGATAAACTTTTTACAAGTCGAATGCGATGACTCCATTCTCGAACCAGTCTTTTATTTCCACTCACGGTCACGCGGTCACTTCATCATGGCGACTGACAATGAAACACCAATTGTGAATATAGAGGACATAATCTCGGCCGCAGAAACAAAAGATGAACAGAAATTTAAATCAACAGAAGTAAATAAATTGATCGAACCCCAATTTGATGTTAGAAACCTTTTATTAACCGACATAAATATTGTGGAAAAAAGTAGCTCCAAGTGAGTTTTTCCTTCTTTACAATCCTATTGATTTATTCTGACATTTATAGCCAAGACCCCATCTCGTAGTGCAGTCTTTCCTTATAAACTTTTTATTGTATTTATTACTGAACGTAGAAAGAAGAAAGATGAAATTCTACGTGACATTGCTCGTGACAACACGCAATTTCTTTTGAATTGCATCTGGAAGGTTTGAAAATTCATATTTTTTGGCGAAGCCCATGGGCATAGGTCCATGGTTGACATACTCTTTTGTAAGGTTCAATTCTATCTCCACCAAAGGTTTTTAAATTGTCACATTTAATTTTAAACTTTTTTATGTAATTATGCTCTGTGTTATAATAAGTAGTGTAGCCAGCCTTCACAGTTTTCTCCTGCTGTGCAATTTTCACAGCATTATTTCTTTAGAAATCTGTTGTTTTCCAATGAGTAAACACACAATAGTTGGCATAGATAGGCCAAATTTACGGGCTGGCTATGCCAGTGAGTGTGATATTGCAAAGTTTAAATTCATTTTTTGTCTATTTTGTCAGTTTTATATGTAGTTCTAGATATAGTCAGTGTTCTTACTTTTCCAGCTGCCAGTTGAAAAGTGTGAAAATGTTGTTTTGGTACAGGTTAGTAGAAAACTTGTTGCTTATGGTTTTCTTAAAAGTTGTATTTTTAAAATGAGAATGCTTCCTACGTAGTTTTTCCATTCTTAAATTGCCATAAAAATTTTCTGAATAAAAAAATTCATGATTTCATCATACTTTGGATTCAGCAAGTGCCTATAGGGATATAAATTATATAGTTGTGATGCCATGTATTGTTTTGCATCATGCGCATCCCTAATTATGATAACTTACTATGCAGTATACATAAGCTCTGATTCATAGAATTTTTCACAGTGAGTACAAACAGACTGTTGTCAAAATTGAACAAAAAATTCTGCGTAAGTAACTTTTTAGCCATTTGGATGTTAGTTTTCAAGAATTTGTCTGCAGAATTTGTAAATATGTATAATATTTTGTAGCATTTTTGCTTATGTCAATAGTTAAGAACGTCTTCTAAACCAGAATTTGCTTCTCCAAATTTAAATAGTAAAAACTTGGAGACTGCATGTACATATCTTTTTTTCAGTGCCTTACTTACCACATTAAATGTTTCAGCTTCCAGAAGCAACAACTGTTCTTCCACGAGAAAAGCAGGTTTGTTCCTAAATGCAGTGGCATAGCTAGAGGTTGTGCTGAGCCAGACCAAACATTTTTTAAACATTTTTTCTAACTACTTAAACCTAAACATTTTTTCTAACTACTTAAACCTAAACATTTTTTTAATATTTTCTAAACTTTTTAAACTTTTTAACCCACTAAAATTTCAATATTTGTTTATAATGTTAACAGATAGTAGTGAAAAACAAAATCTATATCTAATGCTTCATTTGTATCTTGAAATACTTCATATTACTTATTTCACCCCGACATCTGCCCTAGTCATTGCCTAAAAGCACATGGAACGACATTCGCCCGTTTTTGGTCATGCTCTAGTTAGGCCAGCACGACCAAATTATATATTTCTAAGCGCTGATTGGCTAGAAAACCTCACAGCCTCTTAAAGGGATATAGTCAACCTTAGTTTGGTCGTGCTCTGATCAGGCGGGAACGACCAAAACATAAATTACTAATAATATATAAGGCTGCATTGAGTCGTACGCATGCTCATTCGCGGAATATTTTCCTTTGGTCGTTGCCCAACTTTATTCGCACGAGTATTTCAAATATTGTCGAATTATTTATCGTTTTACTGTGTTATTGAATTTATTTTTGTGCGTGAACATAGAAATTAGTAAAGAACAGTAAAAACGTTTCGTCTGAAGCTCAAAGAGTCAGAGATATCGTTTCTGAGCTTTTACAAAGTATTGTCAGTTCACGCAACGCTATGCAGTAGAAATATTTTGTTTGTATGACACGGCCCTACGCTCACACTGAAAACGAGAGATAAAGGGTTCCGACAGTCTTGGTGCGAAAGGAAAGATTGGTTGTGCACTAGTGTGGAGAAATGGCGGTTATTTTGTTTTCTTTATTTACTGTTTCGTTCAAAGTCCACTACATTGACTCAAATTGATTATGTTAACATGCATTATTTACTGGGTGATTGCCAAAAGCATGAAATATCAAAGTCGCACATTGAAGCGTACATAACCGGCGGCACAGATAACTTATGTTGCCACCAACGGTAGTGGAACTTCATTTTTGTTATCGCTATAGCACGACCAGTTGTTTTTGTCTAGCTACGTCACTGCCTAAATGTATTAACTTCATTGAAATTTTCCACTTTGTTAATGTAATCTTGAAATTTGAATACTTCTATTTCACAGATTCCCAAACTAAAACCACTGACAAAATGGCAAGAATTTGCAAAAAAAAAGGTATTGTAGGATGTAGAAGCACAGTGGGGGATAGTCTGAAAGATAAATCCAGTATTTCTTACAGTCCGCTTGAATGTTCACTAGCTTCTACACAAGCATTTCAACCAGCTTCTCCACGACCTTCTTGACCAGTTTCTTGACTACGTTCTCCATTGGCTTCTACATCAGTATTTCCTTTAGTTTCTCGTTTGGCTTCTTCACATGCTTCTCCACTAGCTTTTCTACTTGATTCTCCACTGGCTTTTTCATTCCTTTTTCCTCTACAGTCTCCAATATCATCTCCACTTGCCTTTTCACTTGCTTCTTCTATAGTAGCTTCTCCAGTATCAACATCATTAGCTTCTTCACTAGCTTTGTCATTACTCTATTGTTGAAATATCATTAATTGAGTAATGCGTCTTGTTTTTTTACATCTCATATCTTGAGTTTGTAGGCTAGGTTGTGTTTGTTTTATCTCAGTATATTTCATTTTATATTATGCTGATGAACTTTTGTGTTACTAATAATAAAAACGTTACCGTTTAGTATTACGCTAGTTTTAAAATGTGGTTTTTACATTTACCCTTTCAAAATAGATTATTAAATGCTTGTGTGAACATAAACAACTCACGTTTTACGTACAAATTCACTGATCTCATTATCTGCTTTAATTATGTCGATTATTAACGTTTGTCGTGTCTCTTAGACTACGTTTTCCCTACTCCGGGCAAAAAAGTGACTGAAGAATTTGATTGCGTTTATACCGTGATCCGTTTAAATTTCTCTACAGTTTTGCGCGTGTTTTCAAATAATGTATCTTGCTGTCAAAATTTGTTAGTTTTTTGTAAAGAATCGCGCCGTTTCTCGTCTACACATTGCTAGATGTTTATAAATCTAGCCATAAATCATAAAAAAACATTGATTTGTAAAAATTGTTACGGAATTTTTCATGAAAAGCTTTCCAAAACATAAAATGTTCACCATTCTCAATAATGCGCCAAAATTTGGGACGAATCGAAGAGAATTGGTATCTAAAGTGTGGCGAAATATTAACGGTTAGCTTTTTACCCAACGTTGCGTAGCGCTCGTTTTTGTTTGACCACGTTTGGAAAGTGTGGTCGTATTTCTCCAAAAAGTGACGTTTTTAAACAATTCCACTCCGGCGTAGTTTAAAAGTAACTCGATTCTGTTGCTTTTTTGCGCCGTTTTCAGACCAATCCGGAGCAGTGTTAACGTAGTCTAAATGCAAAGGTTGCTCAACGATAATTTGTTACACCTAGTTTAGACAGATTTTTTTCTAGGGAATTCGAAAACAGAAACGCGGAAGGATGCTTTGGGATGAGACCACCAAAGTAAGATGATTGTGTGTGTTGTTTGTGTGTAAAAGAATTTTATTTTCTGGTTACTCTCTTTATGTGGCGTTTGTTTCAATGTGTAAATATTTCGGTCTTGCTATGTAAATATTTCGCTGCTCAGTTAATGTAAAAAGACTACATTTCTTAAGGCATGAATAATGATTTTTACAAACATTTACGTACAAGCTAATTCACTCGTTACACCTCTAGTCGCTGGTTATTCTCCTTAGTTCTCACCAATAGACACTTACCAAATTTGTTTTTCGGCCATGAAAACAGCAACGTCAATGACTTCATTTTCAGCCTTGATTTCATGCTATTGTTTTGTGTTCAGTTCGTTTAACTGAATATAACTGAAAGGCTTACTCCTCCCAAAATTTAAAGCCAGCAATTCAGCCATCGCAATTTTTCCATGCTTAAATCAAAGAGTAGTGTTAAGCCGGATTTCTACTTGCGAATTTTTTCGCGCAAAGCGATAATTTAGTAATTTAGGCATGCGCGGTTGTTCAACAACGTCGCATATACACAGCGATAAATTCGCATAAACTGTTCGCAACGACGAAAGTTTGAGTTGTTCGATTGATGTCTACTTTTTTACTACGAAAAAATTCGCCAGCCAGTCAGTTTTCAGTGTTTCTGATTTGTGATGTCCATCAACTATATTCAGTTTTCAAAATGTCGGATTGTGAGGAGTTATTAGTGACTCTACTCTACAAAAAACCCAACTATTTTGAATAAGGAATTTTCTTAGACGAAATACGAAACAAACCATGCTTATGGAAACATATTCCTGGTCGTAAATACTAAACTGTCGTTTATGTGCCGGTTCAGCCGCTTTCTATGAATGTTTTTTGTATTTCGCGGCTTATTATTGCTAGTGGAAATCATGTATCCATTCGCACGAAATTTTTCACCTCGAAAATTAGCGCTTCGCGTGAAAAAATTCGCAAGTGGAAATCTAGCTTTAGATAATATTCAGTTCAATGGTTCTGTCAAAAAAATTGGAAGTTTTTACTACAGGAGGCCTTGCTCTTAACGCCACTAAAAACATTGAAATCATTCATTTTGATCATTTTTAACTTCAATATTACAATTTAACATAGTCATGGCAGCCACGCTGGGGATTTAAACGTGCAAAAGATGACACAAAAGAATGGCTAATAGAAGTGCCTGCCAATGCAAGTAAATACTTATCCTTGAAATAACCAGGCGCAAGATTTGCACTACAGTTATATGTAGAATTGGTAATTTCTTGTTTGTATTTTGTAGACCCTTATGAAGACCAGTTTTTAAAACGTGAAAAAGACAAAAAAGAACGAGTGGCGAAGAACAAATATCAATGTCTGAAAAACATGAGTCGTTCTCAGGAATTTAACAGTAAGACATTACGTGAGATGTGTAGCCCAACCGATGTAATACTTTTGTTATCCAAGGGTGGTTTTTTTAGGCACCCCCCCCCCAAAAAAAGTCTTTCACCCTCCTGTAGATATGATACTATTATAGGCTTGAAAATTGTTCAATAAGACCTCGTCAGCACACCTCCTTGCAAAATCTGCTCCCCTTCTGTCAGATGAACGTTGATTTGTCCATGTGTCTCTGTAAATGTACTATGCTCACTGTGCATTAGGAAAATATATTATTTTCGACATCGGTAATAATTCTGATTTTAAATATAGCTTCACTAAATCTTCTGTCTAGTGATACTACTGCGCCGCATCAGTGTATTTAGTAGAGAGATTAAGCAAACACGGCGCATCGTCTAAAGGTCCGTTCACACTGAAAGCTAGAAGCGGTGCTGAAACAATATGCCGTTACTCGTCCAATTTAGCCTTCTATATTTTCTATTATGTCGTAAACACTGAGTGCAGCGTTACGGCATTGCACTTAGTGTGTACGACATAATATCAAATATAGAAGGTTAAATTGGACATGTTACAGCATACGGTTTCAGCGCCACTTACAGCTTCCAGTGTGTACATACCTTAAGACGTCGTGAAAATTGCGTAAAAATGGCGTGATATTGCCATATATGGTTGGGTCCACGCCATATCTACGCCATTTTGACGGCGACTTAGACGATACGTCGTGTTTTCTAAATCTCTCTATTATCGGTGTAGAAGCCATGGTTGAACGCGTGGGCAAGTTTGGTCATGCTATGTAAATTTCAGCATCATTTAGTAATTTGCAAATTTTTTTATTCGTTTAGAATCAATTTCAGGTTTAACGCCTTCAGAGAAACCGTCGCGAAGCCAGGTTGGTTTGAAACATACCATAACTCACTATCGTTTGGTTCATTAGCCAATTTGAAAATTTAACACACATATTCTCATTCATACTCGTTGTATATAACTCAGAAATCGATCTCCCAGTAATCAATGAGGATATCAAGAAGTGCGCTAATATACGTATTTCAAATGAAACAATCAGTGAAGTGAAAATGCAGTTTTCGGTTATTGTTTCGGGTGTAATTTTGAAGTCCTACTCAGCGAGTGCCCTAGTGAGATTTAGGAATACAGTCTTTTCTGATTGATTTCATGACAACACAGGCGTAAGTCTTTCTTGAATTCTATATTCACGAGTATGATTCTGAAAAACATTTTGCAACTGCATAATAACATTAACATGTATGTATAAAATTGTATATTTATAAGTATCGAAACAAAACAGAGCAAAATTGAATTCATTATTTTCCATACCGATGCAAGATTAGTGGTGTACATAAGTCATCATCATGCACATCTCCCCTCACTCCTCTTACGTTCCTTGTAGGTCCATTGCTTTTGCGCTGTTGATGAACGAGTAATTTACATAATGTGAAGTGTTCGTGGAGGGTGGGTGGGCGAAGGATGAATTTGAACGATATTGTTTTTCTTTCTCAGATAAAAGCTTCTATCAACGCTGCTCGGCTTTCTACAGCATCATTGGGAAAGTTTACTCCGTCCTTGGTATGTGAAGTCATTGTTGATTTTTTATGTACCTCTTCATGACAGTTTTTCAATTTAAACGGGAGAACTTCAACTTTATGATAAATCTAATAGAAAAACGAGAAGTCACCAAAGACAAGTGGAACGAAGAGAAAGGTTTGAGTTTTACTTGAGTCTTTATTCTACTGCCGTAAAAAGCATCTTTTCAACGCTCATATCAGTTCGTCGTTAAACGTGAACTTTGCATGAAAAGCATGCTGTTTGCTCTGCTTTCTTTTTTTACATCAATCTTAAATTGGTGTTTCTACCCGATCCAATAGTTGTTTTTGTTATCTTAAATTTATTGGAATTGTTAAAGGTTAACGATGGGGTTAGAGCGTGGGTCGCGTTCATTAAGTATTCAAAAAGTAACAATGTTATTGACTGTTGGAAATTATAAAGCATTGTATACAATTATTTGCATTCGCGTTCAACTGGTAACTGTCCCGAATTTTTCGCGTTTGTTCACGTTTCAAACGTCATGTTTGTCTCGCGAAACGTCGGATTTCAACTAAGTAACGTAACGTTTGCTCAGGAAGGTTTAACGTTTGAGGAACAATTTGAATAGGTTTGGTCATGTGATTAACATGTTTATACGATTTTACATTGATAAAATGCTGTAGCAACTGAAAATTACATGTGTGTACTTCAGGTGATTTGCAAAGTTTGATAACTGACCATATAACATAAGAAAGAGCTATTACAAACTTAGAAATCTGCGATTTGTACAAACGTGACATTCACCAGTTGAAACCCGATGTTTTGTTTGACAAATGTGACGTTTAAAACGTGAACAAACCAAAAAATTTAAGACATTTACCAGTCAAACGCAAATGATAATACTTTATTGTGTTGCAACAAACGGATCGGCTGACATTTCTGTTAGAAATGATTAACTAAAAAATGTTTACTTTCATATGATGGTCAATGTAACTGAAGATGTTTCGTCTAAATCAATGTCTACTTCGATGAAGTTTCAACCAGATTGAAAAATTTGCCTTGTTCACTATAGTTCGAAACGATTGTCGGCGACCTTAAAGCAGAAAGGGAAAGAAATTTGGATTTGTTGGGTAAAATCGGGCAGAAACCAATTCTGGACGTGAAAAAAGCAACTAATCAATTATTGAATGCTCAACAAAAGAAGTAAGTAAATAAATGTCTTTAAATAAGTTGTTCCTAATCAGTGACTAAAAACATGATTAAAGTAAATTTTTTGAACCCGGGAGTATCGTTACATGTTTGTAAATGTAGATCGTCCAGGTTGGTATAGTCCTGAGAAGGACTGTTTTTGTTGTTGTTGTTGACTGACGTTTCGACAACCTTAGCGGTAGTCATCTTCAGAGTCAAATGAAGTACGGGCGCTCACATAGAGGAACGGGCGCTCACGACTTACAAACATGCACTAGCTTTTTGGTTCCGCTACGTAGATGACACAATCACAGCACTACATGCAGACGAAATTGATGACTTTCACACTCACATCAACAAACAGAACAGTCACGTACAATTTACCAAAGATGTCGAAGAAAACGGAACTCTTCCTTTTCTCGACTGTTTGGTAAAACATGACAATCAAAAACTACGAACAAGAGTTTATCGTAAACCAACACACACTGACCGACTACTAGACCAATCATCTTACAACCCTACATCACACAAAGCCACCACAATCAGAACACTAACAAGACGTGCACAAATCATATGTGATTCACCGGACGCTACACAATGAAAACAACTGTCTCAAACGTTTTTTTTCACAAAAACAACTATAACTCTCACTTTATCAAATGCAACACTTACAAACCCAACGAACCCAACGAAATGAACAACTCAGTGACAACAGCAACGATACCTTACATCAGAGGTATGTCTGAGACTATCTCGCGTATCTTACGACCACACAACATACGTGTCGCACATAAACCAATCACAACGTTACGACAAGTACTAACGAACATAAAGGACAAAGAACAACCCAACGAACGACAAGGTGCAGTTTACAAAATAAACTGCTCCAACTGCCACGCCTCCTATATCGAGGAAACTGGCAGGAACTTAAACATAATATTTACTGAACACAAACGAGCTACTAAGAAACAATACAAGACTAATCACATTGCCGAACATCACACCGAATCACAAAGCACAACATTAATTGGGACTCGGCAAAATGCATTACTTACAGTACTGACTATAGACAACGGCTTACATTAGAAAGTTGGTATACCAACTTGGAACAAACACCCCTGAACAGATCACAGCAATTACCGGCACCTTACAAACGAATAATTCACAAACAAACCATCAACTAAAAACATTACACTTCACACTAATTCACAATGACAATACACAATTGACACATTCACACATTTCCTGTACACACAATACAATGACGTAGGAACCAGATAACAAATACGGCTAAACTGATGTTTACTCCTCATTTGACTCTGAAGATGACTACCGCTAAGGTTGTCGAAACGTCAGTCAACAACAACAAAAACAGTCCTTCTGAGGACTATACCAACCTGGACGATCTACATTTACAAACATGTAAAAGCATGATTATTAAAGTCAAATTATATTGCTATTTATCTAACAATATAACATTTTGTGTTTTAATTACACTACAATATATCTGTAATGAGGACGCCCGTTTTTTGAAAAGTTTACAGAAAGTCCCGAACTAAAACTTGAGCCATTGCCTAAACAATTTGTTGTTCATAAAAAGAGGATGGCAAGGCATGATGGGATTTTTTATGCCTTAAATTGTCTGGCATTAACGTTCAATTTTTATGTTTGGGAAACCAACTGCTACATTCGTAATTGTATGTGATGATTAAGATTCTCGTATTTCAGTAAAATACAAGTCCATATTTTTTATCAAACCTATATTTATATTCTTTGCGACGGCGGATGCTATTCAACATTTTCGGGCAAATCACGACAAGTTTATTTAACCGGCAATATCTTACGAAATACGTACTTTACTTATTGTTGAAAAGATTGCATCAAAAGATAGATAAGAGAATTATCTTTCTTTTATCAATTTCACCGCAAACAATTCTTTTTAGCGAACACAAACAAATTAGGCGGAAATGGACGTGGAGGAAAATGTCATAAAATTTTGTAAACATTAATAAAGTTCACCAGAGGTCGCAGTTCAAGCTCAAGCTATCAAAAATCCGAGTATCACACAATAAAATGTACTTTATTTTTATAAGTTTTCCGAAATTTCAGCCTTCTGCGAGTAAAATTAATGTAATTATGGAACATTATCAAGATTCTTCTTCCTAATTCTAGTGCATGTTGTCTAATCGCACATATCTCGAAAAATACATGAATTATCTCAAAACTAAAGACATCTTTGGGTAGACCAGTGTTTCTACTTTCACTAGATTCTAAATTTTTTTCTCAAAACTATTATAAGCAAGCTACATCAATATTTGCGCAAAGAAAGTGCTTGATAAATTTACATTAAATTATTCATTCACCATAATCTATCCCATTTTTCTGACACTGATATTCAACTGAAAACAAGAAAAAACTAAAACAATAAAATTCAGTACAATACCACCATCCTACAAAAGTATCGCGCACTTTTTTTCTCTTGAGAATTCAGTGGAACTTTAGTACCACAAGATCATTACTTATACTCTCTGATGACCACCAGGAAAAAGACAAAAAAAATATCACACAAAATAGATGCATAGCAGGATTTTTTAATTATTCTTTTCTCAATAAAGCATTTAACACACGATAAAATGATTAAAATAAGAATGTAAACCAATTTCAGCATGCAATATCTTCAACAAAAGTCTGTGTTTTTCCCCTGGATGTTTAAAAAATTGATGATGAAAGCATCAAACATTGATGTTTCTGACCTAACCTAACCTAACCTAAGCTAAATTATAACCTAACTAATAGGAACCTAGTTCTTGTATTTTTCACTTTTAGCATAAACAAAAGAAAGTACTAACTTATCTATATTGATCAAACTGTGAGCTCTGATAAATTTTGAAGCTGTCATACTTCAGATGTGGACCATGCCTGAACTTACTACACTGCGGAGCAGCACAATAAATCTTCGCCTTTTTCTGACCTAACATATAACAGACAGCACATTGGTTTTTTGTCCCTTGCTTAGCCACTGCTGTCTGCTGGTTCATGATCATAATGAAAGCAATCATGCCTTACTAATTTTTTTCTTAATTGCCGCCACCCATACTTACCCGGACGCTTCAAGACTTCCCCTTCTACTTCCTACTGATTGCACTGAAACAAAATAAAAGCATTTACTACAGCAATGTCAACTAGGTGGAAGTACACAGTCTTCCAACATTTATAGGTTTTTCGTAATAAATTATAGGAAGACAACAGTTGATCAAACCTATCTACCTCACTCATGTTCTTATTATACCTATCTATAACTACAGGTTGGGGGGACCTCTGCCTTCCTAAAATCCCTATTTCTGGCCTTTCGCCTAGTTGCTATAACTAGTTCATTGGCATTGTATATGGTGGTGAGAAGGGAAACTACCTTATTATCATGTCATTGAAGTGCGATGATCATTTATCCACGTCTCCACCTAATGGCTCCTCGCTTAGATTTCTGAAATTCCTTAATGTTCTGTAAAGCTTAGGTAATCCTAACCTAACATTTGCCTGACGTGGGGCAACCAAGCTCAAACAGATCATGTGCTAATCTAGGGGAGCTGTAAAAATTGTCAAAAAAAATATGTGATAGCCCTGATGAAAATATGGTGCCACTAATTTTTTAACTATATCATACCCCAACACATGTGAAGAAGAATCGGCAGCTTTTTTACCTATGTAAATCTCAAAGTCTAAAGCATACCCATTCTGACTATCCGCAATGACCTATAACGTAATTCCAAACTTAGCTGGCTTGTCTTTCATGTATTGCCTTATGCCTGACCTACGCTTAAATTTTATCATGCGCTCATCATCTGCCAGGTTTTGTGATGGTTGGTACAAATCTTGACAACGACCTTTTGAACGTTTCTGCAAAAATTTATCAACCTTGCTTAACCTATGACTCTGGTCCTCACTTAGTGTATCTACAATGTGTAAACAGGCCATAATAGCATTAACTCTATCAGATGACAACATCTTTCTTGCCCACAGTCCATGATACAAGGCCCATATATATCTGCAATGCTATAACATGCTCAAGGTTGTTGATGGTGACACCGAACCAAGCTCCATTCTTATCCATATAGTACAATTTCTGACCTTGACTGGCACATATGTCTGCATATGCATAAGTATGTGTACATATCTGTTGTAGCATTTTCTTAGTGGAAAAGAGGAGGAAAAACTCTAGTTTACTATTCATTGACCGAAGGAAACACTGCTAGTAGTGAATGCCGGGTGGGTGTCGTGAGGGTGTAAAATGTGGAAGTGGATAGTTGGTGTCTGGGTCACTATAAATAGTGTGAACTGGATCAAATCGTAAGTTTAGTTGAGATGCACTGCCTGTATTTTGTTGAGCCCTACCTAAAGCAGGTACACAGGTTGCCTTATGCTTGCCTTTTCCTCTTCCTTTCCCCTTAGATCTAGCTGTACCCGAGGATTCCCCTTTACTAGATGCAATTCCCTCACTAAGTCTAACAGATGTGTGAGGTAGGTGATTAAAGAATAGAGCTATCTATTTTTACGATACTCATTGTCTCCGATTGGTCTTCTTGTGCTTCTTCGATAAAATCTTCTCCTGTGTGTTCTAGAGCCTCAATGACATCCCTGAAGTCAATAACAAATACAAACAATCGCAAAGTTACCTATGCACTTTTCGTCAAAGGTTTTTTTAACAGTTTAACGTGGGCGAACGGAATTTGTTGTGACTGTTTGCTGAACTGCGTGTCTGGATGTAAAAAGTAGCTTATCAAAAACAAATATCTTAGTTTGTGTTTACAAGGTTGCCTTCTATTTATGTACAATACCATATTCTGTTCAATGAACGAACTCATTGATATGACATCATGTAATCATTTATCATTAAAGGTCTTCAGAGGAAAAGAAATCTCAAGGTGAAAAGAGAGTAAAAGGCAGGAAGACGAATAAGATGAAAAAATCTGCTAATGTAAATGGAAGAAAGCGTAAAAAACAGAAGTAGAATGTGACGAAAAATTGAAACGTTTTTATTCAGTTTATAATGATAAATAAAACAGTTTCAATGTCGAATGTCGAATTAAAGTTGGTGAACCTCTATTCTTTTTCGTGCAGGAGAAAAGCGGAAATGTATTCAACAATAAAACGTATTCGGATTTCCTCAAAGTTACCTGGTACCGGGATTTTTGACTATCATTCACTTTTAAGTGTTGAATAAACAATTTAAGTCAGTGAGCAGCGTGCCATGAAATTGATTCTAAAATCCTAAAATAATGATGCGAATATTAATGAACAGGTTTTCACACTTGAGAGAGGGAAGAATATTTTGATCAAGCAAAATGTAATAGACATTGTAAAAAGTGGAAATTTTTTGAAAGTGTCATTTACTGTTTAGGAACTCTAGAACCTTAATAACATTTTAATTTGCGACATTAAATACGTCAATAAATTAAAATGCGACATTAAATAAATCACCGTTGCCACGCTCGGAGTTACGAGTTAATATTTCATGTGATTAACAACTGGAGCGTGTTGAAAGTGTTTGTCGTTGCTAACGACAACACATTCACAAGGTAGTAGATTATACACTCAAATTTCATATAAACTTAGACTTACTAGTACGAAGGGTTATGGACAGCGTGTCAAGTGAAATTGAATTGGAAAAACTGCTTAACTTAGCTCTACGCTCGCCTGAAGTTGGGGCTGTTAACTTTAACGCATTGCATGTTGTAATTGCCGAGATTATTAAGTCCCTAGGACTTGGGAACAAGCTCATCAATGTGCAAAACACAACCCAATTCAATGGGTCTAACAGTTTTACAGTCGTAGGTAATGGTCGGGTCGGTGTTCATAGTCGAGTATACGATAAAAATTTAACTTTTCTGGAAAATAAAGTGAACAGTTTGGAAAATAAACTGAAGATCCTCGAACAATTGCCAAGCAACGTCGATATCATAAAAATTGTCAGGGAAAAAGATACGAAAATGTCTGTTGGTAATATTTGGCAATTTATTAATATTAACCGAAGATTATCCGCCACAGAAGAGGCCATTGGAAAGGTAAGTTGTCTCGATTAACGAATTCAGGGTTTCTATATGCTGGCAAGGAGATAAGTTTACCGAGTAGTTTACAACTTGTATTCAGTTTTCCGATTTACTGGAGAAAGCTGTTTCCGAACTGGATGAGATCAAAGATTTTAAAAAGGAACTGTCCGATTTAAAGAAAATTGTAACAAATGTGAGTGAATAACGTTGGTTGCTAAAGCAAGAGAATGGAAGCTATTGGTTTGTGTTGTATTCAATTCGTTTTTTGTTCTTAGATCGAAATTGACAACAAACTAGTGAAAGAGAGATTGAAGAAATTGGAACAATCGGGTACGTGTTCAGATTTCTGACTATTTTTTATTTTTTTGTTATCTCATTTTACCTCGATAATTTTACATTCATTTAATACAGTTTGTTTTATGTTTGATAATTATTAGAATTACTTAAATCAAAATAAGATGATAATTAAATGAAACATAAAACAAATTAATCTTACTATTTTAAGCCAATTTTATGCTTAATATTTTTACGGCATATATTTTTTATGGGATGGTTTGTATATTTTTTAGTGGATGATTTATATTCTCAATATGTTCACCTATTTACCTATCATTCCGCAACAATTCCCCAACCCCCATGTTGTGTCCATCCAACCATCTGAAGGGTGGGGCTGGAGCTAGGTTGATACTATCAGACATACAACTATAATGGCTGTGGGTACATTGGTATTGAACTCAACATTGCAGTTATAAATTGTAAAGTCTCTATTGATTTCACCATTTAAGGTGAAGGAATTTTCCATCTGAGGAAATTTTGAAATGGGAATTGTGATCATACCTTGCAATTAATTTTCTAAACTAACAATTGGTAGACAAAAATAGGTAGCCCTTGTCTTAAATTTACATATTTACTTCAAGATTTTAAAATTTAATTTTCTTTTCATTGTGTCTTTAAAATTATTGTCGATGATCAGTAACATAGGATTTTTGTTTCATTTACTCTTCAACAGTATTTTTTATTTTCATCTCTGTTTGCTATGTTTTTCTCAAATTTGGAGAGCTTTGAGCTTAAATATTTATTGATGATTTTCTTTTTGGGGCTACTTTTTTGTCTACCCATTGCATGTTTAATTTGGTCAATGCCGACACTTTTCAAGGTTTGCTCATTAAGAATTGTTAAAATTTGTGTGATTTTATCTCATGCATTATTCATATATTTAGACAACCATGAAGATGTTGAAAAATTGAAAAATGTCAAAGATGAGATTGTAAGTTTTTTTAATAGTAAAAAAAGAGTATATATCTCACCCAAAAGCAGAACCAGGGGCATTGCATACTACCAAGTGACCTTTTTTCTGTTATCTTGATTACTTTTTCCTGGTTGCTTTAGTTATGTTTGTTATGGTCAAGTGATATTTTAAGGATTTTACACCATTGTTTTATACTGGGAGGCCATTGCTTAATTAACTTATATAGGGCATGTGAAGCATGAGCTATGCAGCAGAAGGTCTGGAAATACCCATCTCCAGTGAAATTGTAATAAATGCTATTTTAATCACTTGTGGAATAATTTAATAACAACATAACAGACATGTTATGAAATATACATTCTCACTTCAAGTGAGCAATATATTAATTGTCAGCAATGAGCAACGAGACATTTGAAATATCAATTACGAAAAACACCTAAAGGGCCCAAGAAGTGGGGGCAGTTTTGTTTCAGTGCATCCATCAAAAGAGCGTGGTAGGCCAAATGCCCTTCCTAGCTACAGCTGACCCGAAAACGTTTTATTGCAAAAAGAACAAGTGAATCTATTTTATACACTTTTAACGTTAGAAATTAAAATTTAAGCTTGCAATTTGCCCCCTGTCTGAAGTCCAAACCTGAAATCTTGAATAAGTGTTTGTTGTTTCATGTTGAAGATTCAAATATTTGCACAACTCAACAAATAGTTTTTTATGCTTTGTTTGACAAACCTGGTAAATTTATTTGTTCGAGGAAAATCTTCAAAACAGAATTAGATCCCTGGCAACAAAGAAAGATCTTGATGAATATATGAAGTGGGCTGATTATGAGTACGCCTTAAAAAATGGAAGCATAGAAGAGGCAAGTCGACAGCTTGAAGTATTACCAAGTAATGAGGTGTTAAAGAAGATAAAGGAAGTTGGTGATTTGATTCATGGCCATCAAGCTATAATACATGGGATTCAAGCATTGCAGGTTTGGAACAATAAATAACACTTAGTTATTGAGGCCGAAGAAAACAGTGTGTTTTATATACACAAGTTAGCCGTTGTTTACTGGCAAATTATTTTCTCAAGCAACTTGCTGGTAGACAGCTGAATTTTTTCACTCTCACATGACATACTCTCATGAAACAATAGGCAAACGAAATTTGCAAGTTGGTATCTAACATTCCAATAACCTCGCTAATTTGTTGATTTCTGCTATAGATTGAGTTTGAGTCATCTTGCTCAATAAATCTTGACAATGGCTTCTAAAACTGTCATCGATTTGCTTATCAGTCGCTTTTAATTGTGAAAAACCAAATTTTTTAGTGGAACAGATTTTTCATCTATTTCATGCTCTGTTGAACTATCAAGTTTTAAAAAAACTTACCTACAGCAGTTCTTGATGTTTCATAAGAACTAGCCCATCACGATACACGAACTGGACAATGTTTTATGGCTAACTTCTTGTGTGTCTTACAAAGGAAAAAATGCTCACGAAAGCCGATAAGGATGATTTGGAAACGCTTAGAAAAAAGACTCAAGGTAATCATATCTACATGTTAAGGCCAAAATAGACTACTTTAAAATTATATTGCGAGTAAGTAGTCAGATCGAACTTCTAGTTAAACTTCTGCTCAGACTCACGGACTCGTCAATAGCCAACTCTCGCAATGAAGGCCATTTTGTTTTGAATGTTGAAATCTAATGCGCACGTATTTGAAGTGAATGTGATATGAAAGACAGTTTTTTGTGTACGTTACTTAGAGGTGCCTGATGATCTTATTAAGCAACTGAAAAAACTTCATGGAAAATTGGAGGGCCTTTCAACATGGAAAGACGAGGTTTGCTAAAAACTATGAAATGATCATATGCATATATACTTACCTACAAATGTCGTATTGATAAGAGTCCTGGGACCTGGATAGTGCTATATATTTTACAGCATTTTTTTCGATTGTAGCTACTGAAAATCTCTTCGATGGCAAAAATTAAGCTGTAAAATAAACGTTGATTCAAAGACAACAAAGTTCCATTATTGTGACGTAAAGATAAACACCTTTTTTATTAGCTATTCATTTAACAGAATTTTTTTCGATTATAAATAAAATCTCTTCGTTGACAAAAATTAAGTTGTAAAAATGTTGATTCAAAGACAACAAAGTTTCATTATTGTGAAGTAAAAGCATTTTTTCGATTGTATCATATAGGTGGTTTATCACTTATAGCTAGATAAATGGTTTAAACAAACGATAACTCTCCCCATTCCATCGTAACAGAGCGTGCGTCTCAAACTTTATTGCATCTTTATTTATATTATATATATTATATATTTACCCAAGGTAGGCAACTATAATCGCTGTTGCGAACACATGCCTTTGTATAAAGTTATAATACGTAAAAAACAAACAAGAATTCAAAATAATAATTATATCACCAAGAAAATAAGATAATTTTTCTATACATGAATCCATACTTAGCTTTTAAAAAAGACGACAAAAATCCCGGAAATTATGCGTAAACATTTCAACTTGTTTGTAAAATTTTTCTGTCTCCATGCTGGATGCCTCATATTGGTGCATACGCCATTATTTTCAAAAATAATTTAAACGTCAATAGATTAATTTGAATTCTTGTTTGTTTTTTACGTATTATCACTTTATATAAAGGCATGTGTTCGTAACAGCGATGATAGTTGCCCACCTTTGGTAAATATATAATATATATAATATAGATACAATCAGTTAATTCAAAGACAACAAAGTTTCATTATTATGAAGTAAATATAAACACCTTTTTCATAGGCTTCAAAAAGTCACCATTTTATGGGCAAGGCCTATCACTTATTAAGGCGTAACCCTTTTCTTACTGCCATAGCCACCTGGAGAAAATATGTGGCCCGCAGCAAATTTTTGTCTCGCTGTCAGTGACGTCATTTTTTAAACATTTTCAACTGCATGGAGTGTGTGAACGTCAAGACAACTATGATTGATTTAATTTGTGGTCTTTTTATCAAATCTGGGGTCTTTGCAGATGTTGGGGACCAAGGGCAACATGCTCTCCCTGTTGTCGGGCCTATCTGTTGTTCAAAGGTGGTTTATAGTAAAACTCATCTGGATTGCTTCTAATTCTTGGTCTTAAAATTCAAATCTCTATTTCAAACCTAAAGTTTCATTTCATTTTTGTCACATCATACTCAACTACGTACCTATGATTATGTTTCAGAATGGTCGTAGTTTATTGGAAATGGAGCAAAGTATGAAAGAATTCCAAGATAATCTGCAAAGAGTAAACATATCCGTACGAAATCTTGTAGAAGATGGTGATCGAAAACAGGAAAACATTCTCGTAAGTTTGATGAGATGTATTTTAAGACTCCGGAGCGTGAAGCTCCTATGCAGGGCAGTGGTCACTTAAGTCACGCAGCCCAAACCAACGTTATGCGAAGTTGGTCGCCCAGTTAAGACCATTTTCCTGTTTAGCGCTGATATACAAATTAAAACTTTTTTAAAATAAAATTTTAGCTCAATGTGTCTTAATCTTTCTGTGTTACTAACGCCTAAAAGCGTTTCATGAAGACTGTTCTACATTTTGAGCACTAATTTGGTTTTTTACTAACGTACAATGAACGACAATAAAGCTGTGAAGTGTAAACACAATGTATTTCATTGTCAATGAAATTAGCAGAAAAAATGAACTCAAAATATGATATGCAGTTGATTATCATAGAAAAATATATCGGGTAGCATTGGATGACAAAATTTTACCTGATACCAGTATCCGTATCAGGATGATCTCTTACGTAAATACATCAATTCATGACAAAACTGACTAAATTGTCTTCATTATTCTCAGAGTCTGCAGTCAACCACTGAGACTTTGGATCAGACGAAAGCGGATAAAGATTCAGTTTCCATGGAAATGGATACGGTGAGAAAGCCTTTTCTGTCACACAAGACTTGCGGTTGTGAATTTATCTCACTTGCGTGAATTTAGCTTTCCCTATTTTAAATGTATTATGCTAGAATGAAATTTCCATGAAAAGTTTCGTTATTTGTTTGAGACATACGCGTAAATTGTTTATGACAATTTTTTGTGTCTGTACGTGCCAATTTACATTTGTAATGTTTGGTGGAAGTTTAAATTAACTTAAATAATGTGTGGGTAAGTTTAAATTGTCATGAGTTATGTGTAAGGGTAAGTTTGAATTAATATTAGTAATGTTTAGTGGTAAATTTAGATTAGCATTAGTAATGTGTAGCCGGTAGCTAAGTTTGAATTAACATTTGTAATATGTGTGGAGGTAGATAAGTGTAAACTGTACGCCTAAACTGCCTCATGTTTTTGCATCCTCAGAAAGCAGAAAAAGTCGCCCTGGACAACATGATCAGTCGATTAAGGTTTGATACAAGTGTTGGAGGATTGGAGCAGTCAGTGCAAAACATCCTCAACAGACTGTCTTTACAGGTTTGATAATGAATCCTTCGTTTTTCGATGAGAAGATATTTTTCCCATTCATGTTTTTTCCCCATGTAGCCATGTTTCTGCATATGTTCTCATGTTTTATTTTTGTATGTAGTCATGTTTCTTCCCATGAAGTTGTGTTTCTTTCCATGTACTTCATGGTTTTTTTCTTCGAATTGTTGCACTTCACATATTCTTGTTTTTTTCCCGTATACTCCTGTTTTGCCTCATGTGCTCTTGCTTCCTTCCCAATTTTTTGTGTGATAAAGCTGTCTTGCCTGCCATGTACTCGTGTTTCCTGTTGTCCTGTTTCCTGCAATTTTAATGTTATTCGTGCAGGAGGCAGCACTCAAAGATGCAATATCGAAATTCAACAATGAGGTCGATGGCAAGTTGGACCGACTGGAGATAGATCCTTTGAAAGACTATATTAGTATGGATGATTTCTTTAATGCCCATGCAAGGGGTTCTGCGGTTAACACCCCTAGTCAAAATTTGCATGTCATTACATTTCTTTATCCTTGAATTGCAATTGAATATAATTATATAATGTTTTTATACTTTATAGATAAACGTATTAAAGCCAACAAATGCAAACACGCCGACTTACCTGGTGGCGATGATTTTGCTGCCGGAATGACAAAGTAAGTGGAACTTTATTAGAATCACAGCCGTTTGGAGGATGCCGATTGTGATTGACATGATCTAAAATTAATTATTCTTTCGACGACCATAGTGATGTAAACATTCGGTCATGGTTATGAAGTTTCTTGCCTGAATTTTATAAGAAATGTTTGAACTTAAGACATCTATGAAAAATCTAGATTAGACAAGGAAAGCGGGGCATATTTTCATGGGGGGCGGCTGTATATAGATCGCCAAAGTTTGTTGCAGTGATTGGTCCGGGGAAACAAAGCTACCCCTCTCCCTGCTTCGTGATCCCAGTTGGAGTATGTAAAGAAACGTGGTGTGCATTGTGTAATTACCCACATATTGACTTTAGATGAGTTTTTGATTTCCATTCCTTTTTACTGAAAAGTTTTTTGTTTCAGACCAGCGATGAAGTTTCACTGCATATCTTGTGCAAGACCTGTTGAAATCAAGCCAGGAATGTTAGTTGATTGTTTTTGCCATAATGTATTCTACTATTTCGTCCACGCTAGAGATTTTCATGCTACTAAAACGAGCATCGTACTGACTTATGGGCTTCAGGGATGGACGTACTGGGAGGATGTAGAAGAGGGTGTACTCTTTCTAGTTTTGGCTAGAGGGAGTGCAGACGTGGTTTCAATTTCCATACATATCGATATACTAAGCAATTACGCGAAAGTGATTTTGATTTGAATTGCTGATTGAAGTCCACTTCCAAAAATGTGTTTAATTAACATATTACAATATTAACGGATTTAGCTAAATCCAATCGAAACTACAGCACCTCTCTACAAACTCATCCTTCCTGGTTTTATTTTTAGAATACCAAATTCACGGAAGCGAGTTTTTATACACACGGTTGAGCTAGTTACTAGACTACTTGCCTTGCGCATTTTTTGTAATGAAAATATTATTTTTTTAAAAGTTGAAAAGCAGCATCTTTTGTATATGGTTTGTTTGCTATAACAGCATCGTAAAATCATGTATCTTCATTCTTTGCTTTCGTAGGAATGTGATTCCTCTTCCTCAATATCCAGCATTTCCACCCTCGAAGTCATCCCGAGCCTACGCACCTTATGAGTTAGAGCAGATGCGACAGAATGCTAGGGGGTTAGTAGGGATACCGAGGTGGAAATATTCCATGTATTGATGATATATTGAGAATAGATAATAAAGCATTGAATTTAATGATAAAAACGACGTAAATGCGATTACGTCATGTTTAGAATTTTTCTTAATTCAGGTATTATGATGGATCCGATCATGTATCCACTCGGCCCTGCGGTGGACAACATACCATGACATATAGCACAAGACGCGGGGGAAAGAACGTCAAGTATGTTATATTATGTTTGTATCTTGTATATTTCATCTGCTAAGAATTTTCAGTTAATCCGTGTAGCAATCAACGTTTTTCTAATCATCGCACAACGTATGTTATCTTTATATATAGCCTTTGCCCAATGTACCTTCTCCAATCTATCTTATTTTATCTTCTCCAATCTATCTTATTATATCTTCTCCAATATTTTATTTTATCTTCTCCAATGTATCTTACTTGCTCCATGTACTTAATTTTATTGATATAATGTTCTCTAATGTATGTAATTTCTCTCAATATAATCTTCTTAATTCACTTAATACTTCTTCCAATGCACCAACTCTTTATGTCATCTTTTCGAATTTAACTTCTCTTAATATAAACTTCGTCTAGGGATAATTTTTTATAATATAATCTTTCTATCAATTAATACAATGTTTTTAATTTGCGTAACTATTCTTAATGTAAAAGATAGACAATATGGATAAAGTTTTATTCAAACACGCTAACCTCGTCAACTCACGTTTTTTTCACGAGGGGCGTATGAAATAAAAATTTACAGCAAAATGAAAAGTACATTTAAAAAAACATAAAAATACTAAAAACTTAATTGCTTAATACTTAATTAATAAATATTAAATACTTTTGAAATACAATGAAATACATATCAAAAATACTACTTTGGTTGGAACTTGACATAGTGTACATGAAGTTAGGTCCTGTGGCGAATCTAGGGTAAGTCAAAATAACTGCAGCACATTTTGGCATATATTTACATTTCTTAGCCCTTTAGAGGCATATGTATTGGTGAACTTATATTCTTTAAAAATTCAAAACCAATGGTGTTTTTCTGAAAGTACTTTGAATTCAAAATTAAGCAGCTATAATTTATTTTTTATTTTGACGAACGCTGGATCCTCTGCTGGTTAGGTCTTTTTCCGATATGAAATATTCCCATGTGATCTTATTAACAAATTAGGCATATTTTAAGTAAACGACAATAAAATTTTTTCGAAAAAATATTTTTTCAAGTTATTAGAACGTGGTTGTGGTAGGCAAAGACTACTTGCAATATTCCGTAGATTATAGATGGGTTGCATGTTACGTCACGTCAGCCATGTTGGTGGTCAAATACAAAAGAACATTTTATCAATGCTATTGTTGGCACCAGCCAATAGGTGGGTCACATTGTTTCATAATTCCGTGGATATTGGTTGCAATCCAAGAATAGGTAGTTGTATGTTTGTAAATGTAGATCGTCCAGGTTGGTATAGTCCAGAGAAGGACTGTTTTTGTTGTTGTTGACTGACGTTTCGACAACCTTAGCTGTAGTCATCTTCAGAGTTAAAAAAAAATTAGGTAGTTGTCTCACCTTTAATAGTGCACAAGTTAGTAAGGGCTGAGGCCCAATGTTATTTAGTTATGTGTGGGTGTCATAACTACTAAAAACATCACACCTAAATCACACATCACAACTAAAAACATTTCACTTCACACTAATTCACAATGACAATATACAATTGACACCCACACATTTCTTGTACACACAATACAATGACGTAAGAACCAGATAACAAATACGGCTAACCTGACGTTTACTCCTCATTTGACTCTGAATATGACTACCGCTAAGGTTGTCGAAACGTCAGTCAACAACAACAAAAACAGTCCTTCTCAGGACTATACCAACCTGGACGATCTACATTTACAAACATGTAACGATACTCCCGGGTTCAAACCATTTACTTTAGTAATCGAAGTAAGGGTGAACCGCACAGCATTGTGATAGAAGTGTTTGCCTGTCAACAAGATCCTTCAATCTCCTTAAAGCAGAAATTTCTGATGTAACTTTTTTGCAAATATCAAATCAATGTTGTTTTTCAACGACAAATTTTGTTCAAGTGTAACCCCAAAAGTTTTGCACTCATGCACTCGTTTAACACATTTGTGTTCTAGTTTAACTTTTCCTTGAAGATTGGAAATAGTTTTTGAGCCAATTTAAGACTAAGCTCGTAGAAATTAGCCATTTTCTATGGTTTTTTAAATCAGAATTCACGGCAGCATCTCGACGAGTTATTGCATGAGTCGTCAGTACCAATTGTGTTTATTTCATCAACAAACAAGCGATGTTTTGTTCTTGAAAGGCATTGAGGGAAATCATTGATGTATAGCAAAAAATAATGGCCCTATAATAGAACCTGTGGCACTCCACGCTTATTTCAGTGTAACTTCTCTAAATATAATCTTTGCCTAATGTAATTTCTCTTATAACATAATTTTTTCCCTATGTTGCATCTCTTAATGCCAATCTTGGTCTAAATATTATATTTGTTGACAGCAATTTGATTTAACATCTGTCACTTTCTTACTTTACCTAATATAATTAATCTATTACCTTGTCTAACAGATGCGTTCTTTCATTTTCATTTTTACATTTCAGTTACTACTATAAAGAAGACGAAGGCATCGTTATATCACTAAAGTTTGTGTTTTTTCCCATTTGTCCATCGTGTTGAACAAGAGGATGACAAAATGTACTATTGCTAATTTTCATTGCTTCCTTTTAGAGATGATTCTACGATACAAGGTCAAGACGGTCAGGTATACAAAGGAAGAGAGGCGTGGAAAGACAACGAACAATTACCAACGTTACATGTACGTATGTGTAGGACATACGACATTTTGTGACATCATATCACTTTGACTTGATTATTTGGTTATTAGACAAATTCAAAATCTTATTTTACCAGACGTCTCCACCGAGTCCTCCCAGACCACCGACAGCTCCATCTAATCCACAAACTTCCCCACGTACTCATACACCCGTTAGACCGCGTTCTGCTGTGATCCGATAATGTCATTTGACTCATGAAATGTAAGTTTTGAAGACGGTAGTTTGAAAACTATTACTTCTGTTGTAAAAGCTCGCTCACACTTACACGCATTGAAGTAGACACAGAAATTGCGATCCAGTTAATCAATCGCAACTCTATCGATGGCAAGATTTTTACTTAAACACTTCAAATCATGCAAACAGTGTCGTCTTGGATTAGTCACTAGTCGTGCGATGATTTTGAATTCAGAGAGTGGGAGTGAGCTTTTAGAGTACAACCTACAGGATTATGTTCCTACCTCAGCGCTATATGCATAGAACGATTTCTATTATTGCAACCACATTCCAAGTTGCAGTATAGTGATCAGTGGTGTGCCAATTGAAGTTGCGCAAAATCTGACGCGGGAAAGAATCGGTAAGAATCATTGGAAAGAATGTGTGCATGAACTTTTCAAGATGGCTTCTCATGTGAATTAACATCTGCATAAAACTAAAACATTTACTTGGCAGAAAATGCAATTTTTTAACTGTAAACGAGTGATTTTGTCGTGGATAAGGAACTCAAGAAAGCGAACTATAGATTATGTTGCAAAATCTAGCACTTCAGATATCTCTCAAAACGCATGTAAAGTTCTCTATATTAATAGTTCGGGTTCAAATAGGTATTCAATAACCGGTGAAACTGCCCAACACTTACTCGCGATGTATAACGAACTTAAGCCCGAACACATCGTGGAAGAGATTCAACTTTGGGACAAAACCTTATTAAATTTCAGCCTTTCTCACGTAGAAAGCAAATTGAGGATAGACGCCGGTAAAGAAAATACAGACGACAGGGAAAAATTGGAGGCCATTAAACTCATGATTTCACAACTTAAATCAGCCAGTAAAGTAATCATCAGCTCACCAATGTAGAATTATAGTGTACCATATGTATTCAAGCAGTACATCGACTGTGACAACCCGATTTGACATTCACTGACTCAGTTTGTGGATCTGTTGGTCTTGTTACAGGATGACCATTACTCCTGATACGTCATCATCCTATGATTTTTCCGAAGAGCCAATGAAATCATTGGATTTCCAGGTGCCTTATCTTAAAGCAATATTTGGAATGATCGGTTTTCAGGAATTTCATCACATTTACCTGGCCAACACAGAAAATGTCAAGCATGAAGAGCTCATGGGTTATGCAAAGCTTAGAATAATGGAAGTGATTCAGATGTTTTGAATGCTGTCAATGATTGCTGGACAATTCTAATGATGTATATTTTATGAACAATATAACTATTTAACATTAATTTTTTTGAAAATAATTATTCATACATACCCTTGAACCAATGCTTATCCTGTTTTACAAAGATCAACAGATCAGGTCAACAATCAATAAGCCTCTCTTTTTAGCAATTTTCTTGCCTGGATTTATGAAAATTGTTGTTTTGGCGATAAGGTGGTAAAGTTTTTTTTGCAGTGGATTTCAGAAGTAAACAACATTGAAATTTTTTTATGAAAGAGAACCTCTTTTAGCATTGGTTGGAATTATTTGAATTCAAAAGGATTATCTTAGCTCATAACCTTGACCTCAAAATTGCCTTTAATATAAATGTTACTCAGTCCACAGCTAATTTTGAGAATTCAATGATCATTTACTCCCAAACTAGTCTATTGTAGAAATTTTCAAATTTATTTAAAACTATAACCTTCAGTAATTTTTCAACACAAACATGAACTTAAAAGTGTTTCTAGGAAACAACCATATAAATTTATAAATATGCATGAACCAAAACAATGAACTAAAATCATCAATCAGGTTTTTTGGCCATCATGATGGTGTTTTGGGAAATATAGCAGTGACAGGAAGTGTGTAAGATTCAAAGGGAGCACCTGAATGTAAAAAGAAGGTCAATACACAAGTTTTATTGACCACCACAATACTCTGGTATGTTTAAAGTCAAGCTTTTGCCTTATTTTTGGAGACTAACTTGGCCAAGTGATTGTGCACATGTTAGTTTCACTTCTGCCAAAGAGTCCTACAGTCTAATTTATCAAGCCTTCCATATGCTGCTTTATGTTGGGGTAGATGTCACATGGTGACACCTCTCAGGTTTGGTGAATTATGTTTGTCCAGGAACTGAAAGAGGGATGAACATATCAATTTGCTTTGAATTGTGGGCTTTTTGATCATCTATAAAAACTAAAGAAGTTGATTGCAAAACGTGCAGCTCCTCATTTAAGGGGGATGCATGCCCTGTATGTTTTGTCTTGGTTGTATTATCTATGCTTTGATATAACCCAATAAATGCTCACAACAGTTACAGAGGTGTTACGTTAGAGAAATATTCTTAAGCCTTAGTAGACATATGACTTGGAATCAAAATCAAAAGCTTCCACCCGACATGTTGACCCTGGAAGGATCATATGGAGTTCCTGCAAAAGGTGAATTTGGTGCATTCCAGGCTTTCTTCAACAACTCCTCGTTTTTCTATATATTGAAAATTACAGTCAAAAATTACTCAGTACTTGCATTTTGTTCTTATCTTGTCCAAAAGTGCATGGGTCAATCTGGGAATGGATGCTCATGTAATAATCAGTGGTGCATATTAAGGTGGTGTTAGGGGTTTATGACATGCCACAAATTCTGTAAAATGTGAAAAAAGGCTTGTTATGCTTTTCTGTCAAAAAGCAACATTATAAAGTCGAGATGACTGAGCCAAAATATGGAGTACCACCCCCCCCTCCCACCACCACAAACACCTGTGGGATGAGTGCAACAAAAGTGTGTTAAATCCATAAAACTGTGTGTTATAAAACTAAAATATATTCATAAAGCTAAGCACATTATTTTGAATGTGTTCCCTACCAATATGGGAATTTAATACTTAAAATAATTTATGCACTTGACACGGGAGAAATATTTTTGCGAAATACAGTGTAACTGAATTCAATTAGACAATTACTTCCGAAGGATGTTGTGGTCTGAGTGTTAGTGGAGGTAGAAATAAACCAAAAAGAAAATCTGGCAATAAGATGCTTACATATCCAAATAATTATTTCATACGCAATTCCACTCATACCTTTTCCTGACTGGTTGGTTTGCCCATCATCTTTTGCCTGTGATCGAACATCACTCGCTCATAATCAGTCTGTGTTTGTTCATCAAATTCCGAAATATATCGAGTTGTGTCAATTTTACTCTTGTCAATCTCCTGGTCACCGAGTATAACACATGTCCACCATCTCTCTTCCACTTTATCCAATGATATATGAATATGTTCTCCTGGGAACAAAGTCCATATTGAGTCTTCTGCATGTACTCGCCATTGAAGCTCGCCATCAACCAAAACCTTTTTGTCTACATGGAGAAAAATAGGCAAACTTTATCATGACTAAAACTAAAGTAATTGTGTGCATATTTTATCAACCCTATACTGCTGGGATACTTCCAAGGGTTAAGGTGCAGTTTAGGGTCAATCTGTTGCTAAGTGTTTTTCAATAATAGTTACCAACAAAGTTTGATCAGTTTTCAAAAACAGTTCAAACCAAAACAAGAAACAAAACAAACCCTATAACAGTATAATGAGAATCAAACCACTCAACAAATAATCCAATGAAGCATGCTACATGTGTAATATGAGAAATTGAAAAATAACAAAATCTTTGTATTGTATCTGTTGACGGAAAAGCACAGAGTACATTGTTTACCACTCTGTATGGCATTGGTGTCCACCTATTTGTACGGGTATGGTTTGTTTGAAATATATTGACTTAAAAACTGCTAGTGTCAAAGAGCAATGTAGATACTAAAGTGAAGGACAACGATTTTAAACAAAATGTTTAAAGGTATTAAAGCTAAAAAATTTTAAATTATTTTTCAAACAATTCTGTCATTCACAGTTGTATCTTCAATGTCTCTTAAAAATCTATTTAAGTTTGCTATCATTACTCTATCTTCATTTTGTCACAATATTTATCAAAATCACAAAAATGAGAATACCACTATTACTATTCATACATAAACATTAAGTACCTAGTAATGATATCAGTTTGGTTATTGGTTTTTTGAAAGAATACCTGGTGTAGTGTTTAGCTGGACTTTAAGGTGCTTTTCTTGGATATTGACAATAATATCCTTTCCTTTGATGCTTCGATCCACAGGCACCCTAACATCAACATCAGTCCCTGTCTGTGACCACATATAGTTATCTAACATTGCTCCATTAAAGCAATCTGATATCTTTGATGGCTCCTGGAAGTCTGCTCCTTGTTCTGGGTACCTCTCACTAAAGTTCAAAGATTGGTACAATTTCCTACATCACTATAATTACAATGACTATGTTGAATTAGCTAACCAAGTATGTCAACTTTAAACTGCAGTAAAATCTGTAACATGAAAGGATAAGTGTAGAAGTCTTTGATCTGACGTACTTTTTAAACAAATTAAGTGGGTAAGTATCTACCTATGTGATTAGGGTTTATAATTTTCTCAAGCATAAAGAAGTATTATGAATTCAATACGTTTTATAAATAATAATCAATATGGGAAAGTCAATGTACAAGGTTATCATTTGATTGACCAAATAAAAAAAATTGATATGATTGATATGAGGTAAGTAAATATCAAAGAAACATGGATAACTCACTTCATGTATTACACCCCTTTGTTTAAAGCTGTACAATATAAAAAATGCATTGATTTTATCTAAGATATACTTAAAGATTCTCACAGAAAGAACAAGTTAAAATTAAGAGAAATTTTGGGTTCGGGTCAGCTTTACAAGACATAAAATAGGAGGTAGCAGGTATTCTACAACTACTTTCTTTCACTCTTTAATAATCTAATAAAGAAACTATAATCAGTATATTTACCTGTTTTTGCCATCTTTTGTTGTGTTATTACTTGTCTCAACATCAATCGTAGACAAAGCAGCTGGTATCTCATTAGCCTGGACTGGAGTCTCGCTTTCCTTTTTCTTCAACTCCTCTTCGTTTTGTCTCCTAACGACTATCTTTTGGTATTTTTTGAAAATCTAAAAAAGGTGGATCTTAGACAGACGAGAGCGTTTACTTTAAACTTCGAACAAACTTCATATACAAGGTTCTAAATCGCGTTATAATAGCAATTATTATTACTCAACCAGTTTTTAGTTGCATTAGCAGAACAATAATTGAACGATTTGCCCTTGGATCAGGACATCTTTGAATGTTTTGATATTCGTATAATCTCATTCTTAATTTTCGTACTTGAAGTAAAATTTTTTCGGCCACTCCGGCAGGAAAGCCCATTTTGTCGGTCTTGCTTTTCATTATGTGAAAAAAATCTGTCCTTCGTGCAAGGAAGCAAAACACCGCGTCTAGGAACGGTTCTATCTGTTCACAGTTTTGAAGTATTCCAAAAAACATATCATCAAATTTCTCCGTATCCCCCGCCATCTTGTTGTCTCGCAAATGGCGCGAAGCTCGTGACGAAGTTCTAGAGTACACTTTGCGGTATGAAAACCAAGGATATGATCCTCTGATATGTAAGTAAGACTGGATAACGCATCTCTTGGGAAAATTGAAGCCGGAAGATCGATCACTTGGACGGGCTTCATGAGTATGGGGCGCCATCTGTGGTTTTATTATTTAACCGCATAACACTGTGATTTTCCCTGATTTATTAAATAACCAATTTCTTATTTTGGTTATTTAATAAATAACCACTTTATGAAAACATCGAAAATTGGTTATTTATTAAATAACCAGTTTCTACACACGCCGAAAATTGGTTATTTATTAAATAACCATTTTCTACACACGCCGAAAATTGGTTATTTATTAAATAACCAGTTTCTGCGCACGCGAAAAAATGGTTATTTATAAATAACCAGTTTCCGCGCACGCGGAAAAATGGTTATTTATAAATAACCAAAATAATTTCGAGACACTTGGCGTGCCAAATGACGTTAGCAAGCAATAAAAAAATTTTCTCAGTCCCCCCCTGGATAAGCACTCATTTCCGCACTGTCGCGTTATTGAAATTAGATCGCTTGTCGCGAAAAATTTCATTTTGTCTGTAAGTTTCCCGTGTTTTCTATTTGTCTTTTTTGTCAAATAAATATGTCTCAAACGCACAATCTCCAAAGAGCAATTACCGAGGCCGTAGGAAGAGCAGTACACGAGGCACTGCGAGATCAACATGAAGAGGTAAGATACAAAGCAAAATATTCTCCGTTCATACTTGTAAATATTCAATGTGTGATATGCGTCGAATCACGAGGTCGTCGATTTTACGTGATAAAATTCTTACAATTTTAGTCCTCTGATGCAGCTACCAGGGGCGGATCTAGAGTATGTCAAATCCGTCGCGCGACTGATGTTTGAAATTCAAAAATTACCTATTCATATTAATTAAAAATTCATTAATTATTCTTACTTTATTATCGCATTTACTTCGTAATAAAAATGCAGCTTTATTTATTATTGAAAACTAATGACTAATGCAATGAATATCTCCTTGGTAACCAGATCAGTTGAATTTTAATTGACCTGGAATAACCGACTGATAAGCGGGGTGGCTTGACTGGTTCGACTTATAAAGGAGTCTATGAACACCAGAAACGCTATTTTATTGGTCAATGGCCAGATCAGTGGACAGTCTGGAATAATCTCGACCGATAATAGGGGTGGCCGGACCTATAAGGGAGTCCAATTGCTATCTTACAATTGGTTCATTTGAATTTTGTCTTACTGTGATTGGTTTGACCGATTTCGACTGATAGCCAACTGAACTAACATAGTCAAGCTCAATGTCTGAATTGAATGTTTGATCGTTCATAGTAATTTTCTGAAGCATGATAGAAACTAAACTACAATCAGATGGAATTTATGGAAATCTTTACAAATTCATATGTTGACATGAATGCTGCTTTCCAAACTGGGAATTTTTTCAAGAGGGTGAAAAATTTATGGATGAATTGTAAATGCTTGGCAAAGACGATCTCGCGAGCGACATTTCAGTCATTGATGTTCAAGAGAAAGCCAACATTGTTTTGAGTTTTATCAGCAGAAATTTACATCGAAAATCGTAAGTAAAGGACAAGTGAAGTGTATGCATGAATGCAATATATCAAAGTCAATTTATGCGAGTGTGTGATGCGATTTATGTTAATATGGCGTATGGTAAGCAGATTGATGCTTCTAAAATTGTTGTTGCCGAAGGACTTTTAGCTATGATTTCTTTAATGCTTGGGGAATCGTGGCCGTTATATGGCAGCGAAATCCTACATTTCTGCAAATATATTTCAATGGACAAAAAATCTGTAGCCATAAGGTGCCATACTATTATTTACTTTATCATAAACAAATGTTTGGGGCTTTTCAGTTTATGATCATTGATCATTCAATCATTGGACAGTTATACTACATATTGTTTAAGATTTGAGAAAACTAACATTGATTACATGAGAAGCTGTTTACTATAACCTGTGATTTTGAGTCTTCTGATCCATGAAGCCTTTTATTTTGACAATTTGACTGGAATGGTATTAAACCTGAGTATTTCACACACATGAAATGTTGTCCCATGTCACATATTGTCCCCTTTTCTAACTGAACACCTCATGTAGAGATGTAAAGGTGTGTTAATCTACACGGCTCATACCAGATTGTTGCCATAAATTCCAAAGGGCTATTGATGTATGAAAAGCATTTTCTATAAAGTAAAAATGTCTTCCTATGTATGCAGATAAACCTTGAAATTTTTGCAAAACAGCAAAGTATTTTTCATGATCACTAGGTAATTTTTCTGATGATCATTATAATTTCTAAACTAAATTATTTTAGATTTACATTTGAACAAGCTTTGATCATATGAAAAGATATTTATCATAACCAGTAAGCATGACACATAAACCATTTTTAACATTCATGTAATTATATAATTAAAGACATGTTGGTTACATTCTGTTTGTATTTGATAATACAATGCTACTAGTGATTGCTATATAGCACACCTTGCAGAAGATAATAGTCTAGTGAAATGCCTAATAAACATTTATGGCATTAAGCTAACCTTAACTGCAAATTTTCACTCTGATAATTTTTGCTTAATCTTTGGCAGAAAAACATTTTGAGTTTTTCTCAAAGGGTGAATTTGCTGGCACTGATGTGGAGATGGGTAAAGAGTTACAATAAACTTGCATGGTTTGAAGTCTGAGCTTTTCTATATCTATGAACTGTCACTTGTAGTACCAAATTTCTAACTTAACTTATTACATAGAGGTTTGAATGGGAGTCTCTAGGGGGGTCTATGCCTGACAACTTGGTAGAAATTTTGAAGAATATATCTGTTTTTGAATAGCATTATTGTAAAATAAATTTACGTTCCTAGACATGCTAATGAGCCATATATTTGGCATGATAATGAGCCTAAATATTTGGCAAAACATTCAAGTATTGTTCACTTTATTTTTTTTTTGAAAAAAAACGTAAGAAAAATGTGTTGTTTTTACGCAAAAACGATGCCCACAAAATACATTTTGTATTGCTCTAAAACGCTGAAAATGGCATTTTCAAGACTCTGAAATTCAAAATTTCGCAGGGGAGAATGCCTCAGACCCCCCCAGGTGCGGAGCGCCTCCGACATTTTATGACTGATGTTTGAAAAATCCTAGATCCGCCCCTGGCAGCTACTGCCCACGAAAATAATAATGAACCACAGGTAACATTCTAGTGTATATGGGTGCACGTTTCTTGTAAAATATGTGCCGTTGAAAACGTTTAAATTATTATCTAACATTAAAGTTTTTTCCAAAATCCAACCGTAGCCCCAGCGACAGCCACAGCGTCAGACAACGCTCACACAGTTGTCACAAAGTAGAACAAGTAGCTCTAGCGCTGTAAGTTGGCCAATGTTTGTCTGATTATTATCATGCATGACTGCACTATCAAAATTTTTTTAACACCTTGTTTTGTCTGCTTAAAAACGATTGCTATAAATGCACCTCATTGTTATATAACTATGATTCAATGTGGCTTTTCAATGGCAATTTACTACAAGCAATCAATCAAATGAATTATGTCTTACAGACCAGACCTCTTCCATCGATTTTTGAAAGCAGTTGTATTCAATATTCAAATGTTGGTGGTAGAAAACGGAAAAGGTCATCAACATCCCAATCAAAGTCTGCAAAGCTTTACACAAAAGATGTTGTTGGCCTTTTACCATCAGAAAATGGCAAAGATATTCCAATTCCTCGTGGAAATAGCCGAGGTTGCTTAGCTAATATGGGTTTAATTGGAAAAATCTCATTAAACTCCGCATGGGTAGCAAAGGATGTTACCCGTGAAATAACAAGCATATTTGCCTCAGTTTTTGACTTGCTACCTGGTGAACTGCTGCCATTTGACTACTTAGGGCAAGTATTTTATGTTTTACTACACTTATATTGAATTCTGTCACCAATATCAATATGCACAAAAATTTGTGATTGAGTCATTGCTAAACATTATTGACGATACTTTTGATGATATGATGTAATGATGATATTTTTTTATTTCCCGCCCATGACATTTATTGAAGAAGAAAGTGTCCAATTATAAAGTAGCTAATTTGTTTTATCTTTATAGAATAACCAAAGGTACAAAAAAGCTTTCCATTCCTAAGACATCAACTTCCTTCCAATGGAATGCTCCAGAGGTCATATCACTGTGTTCTCAAGGATGTTTATACATCATTTCCAAAATTAAAATTGGGAAAAATGAGGATGTTGATGGAGCTTTAATTGTTGAAGTGAGTCATATAGGGTGATACTTTCGCTATGTCTGTTGTAGCAGTAATTGTTCTTCATCGTAGTGTTGGTTTCTTTTCTATTTCAATGTATATTGCCATTGCCTTGAATGAAAATTTCAGGATGACTCCAAACAGGATGATTTTGATAACGAACTTTTAAATATATCAATGTCTACGCCTCGGGCTGCGCAAAGTGTGTCAGGGGGATCAATGACTATACCTGGCGCTGCACAAAGTCATTCAGAGGGATCGATGACTATACTAGGTGCTGCACAATGTTTTTCAGAGGGATCAACTAGCCATCATACAACTTCCACCATTGAGAGCAATCACTATAGGTCAGTATGTATTGCTGTCAGATACCATTTTACACTAGTAGGTTGGGATACACACTATGTTACTGATTTTTGTTTTAAAAATTATTATGCAACGTCTGGATTTACTGTTTCTGTTTGTGATTGTTGGTTTATATATTCACCAGCTATTTTGGAATGACAAATTTATTGCTATGACTTTAAAAACAATATTGGATGATAACTTAGGAACGACTATGTTATTTCCAGTTTATTAATATGCATGATAATTACAATGACATAGTAGAATAAAAAACGAGTAATTATATACAGCTTATCTTTAGCAATGTATATGCTGTTATGAAAGAGTGTCCTGTAACAAATTTCTTCTGTGTTAAATTCTTTTAGGTCATTCTTAGGATTGCTTGATCCAGACCCCATTGAAATTAGCGATGATGACAACGATGAGGTGCAGACAGCTATTCAAAATAGCATGGGCTTAGCAAAGTATGGTAATCAGCTAAAAAAAGGGTTAACGGAAGACAAGATGCCATGCTAATTTTTTTCACTTGGTTATTTGTCCTTAGCGATTCAAGCGCGCAACAAATGGTTAGTACTGTTTTGAATGACCACATAGATAAAGTGATGGTTGGAAAATCCTGTGACGTAGCCATATCTAAAAACATTATTAACGTTCGCCGCAAGCATGTATTTGAAGACGGTATTGCCAAGCTAGGAAGAAAAAAATTTGATCCTTCACGTCCGTTGTCTGTCATGTTTGCCGACGAAATCGGGTCTAGCGAGGGTGCTGTGGATCTAGGAGGGCCGACACGAGAATTTCTCCGCCTTGCAGTTTCAGGAGCCTTTTCGAACGCGTTCCTGGGATTGCCCTCGAAAAAGGTGCTGGTTATGAACCAAGAAGGTAGTCGTGCGTTGATTGTCTTCATGCTAAAACTGAATTACGTAGATATAAATTTTTGTTAAATTTAGCCGAAGGGATTAATGTACGTTGTCAATTTAGCTACATAGCTACAAAAGCACGTATCGAACAGCATAATTGTGTTTCCTTTACATCCAGCAAAGAGGAAAAACTTGTATTTTCAATGTGGAAAACTTCTTTCCGTTTCCTTGTGTAATGGTGGAACTGCAGGACATTGTCTATCCCCCCTCTATGTATGACTTCATTGTATTTGGTGAAGAAAATTGCCACCCATGTATCGACGATGTACAAGATTGTGAAGTAAAAAAGTATCATAGAACGGGTAAATATTTGCTTTTTTATCAATAGTGAAAAGTCTGACGTTGTATCTCGATATTGAGCTGGCATTTTCACAAATCATACTTCCCGTCTGTAGATCAGTGCTACTACAGAAGAAACAACGTTTGCAACGATAGTAGGATCTGATGATGCCATTGATGTTTTTGCACAAGCTGGCTTTCACGGCATTCCAAAGTTTGAAACAAGAAAACAGCTTGTGGAAGAGCTTTGTCAATTTTTTGTAATTGATAAAGCGAGAAGTGCAATTGAGCAGTTCAAGGACGGATTAAAAACACTGGGTGTTCTTAGCTTAGTAAAAAGGAAATCCACTTCTCTTCCGCCCATACTTCTGCCATCGTAGCAAGCCGCTGACCGCGATAGAAGTTGACAGAATATTTACACCAGATTTTTCAGAAGATGGTTGTCGAAGACGTGAAAGGGAGGAGCTCGTTATAATGCATTGGCGTGACTATCTACAAGAGTGCGAAGGTACTTTAAAAGCTTTTTCCATCACCTTAAAAGATCGAAGTGATAGAAATGAAATAAACGCCTCGTATCTATAACCTCTAGGGTCTATTTAATGCCCCAGGCATTAATTGCATAATAAACGTTATTCAATTGCTTGTTATCAAACGTGTTATCAAATAATTGCTTTTGACGAACAATCCATTTCAAAAGTACAACTTTTATTTATTTTCTCTAGCAAACTGCTTTGCCAATGTTTCAGAGCCTCTTGTATCTTTGCCGATGATTATGATTTTTGCAACTGGGTTGGAGGAAGAGCCTCCCTTAGGATTTCATGACAAACCAACTATTTGTTTCTGGGAAGATGTTCGTCCCAAAAGCAACACCTGCGCTCACATTTTGTATTTGCCACTTCATAATGATAAAGATGATCTTAGTTATGAAGAATTTCAAGAAATGATGAACGATGGGATTCTGAACTCACCTACATTTGGTGCTCCATAGACATGCATGTATAAGAAAGCTGTTGAAGTTAGAGTCTAAGCAATAGTTGTGTTGATTTAATTTACGATTTGGTAATGATGTAAAACAACGTATTTCTAACTGACGTATCTATATTCCTCCTAGCATGTCATTACTGTATAAAATAGTAAGTGAAGACTATATTTTTTTACTACTCATATATGACTTGTCTTGTTTACGTTTTGCTGGCTGGCAGATCAATCCCAAGAGAGGTTGACCATTGTTGCTAATGTTCTCCAAAAGCCCTAGACCAAATCTGCCTGCTAGCAAAAGTAAACAAGGCAAGTCATCTATTGTGCATGCAAATCTTCAGGGTTCTGCTCATCAAGCATTGACTGTCCCAAGAAACGAACAGCCTCAAGGTATGCTGCTTTTCCGCTCACTGCCGAAAGAGATTGAATGAATGTACTAAAATTTTGCAACTGTAAGTCACCTTGCAAAGGGCATGATATATCTGGTACATTGACGTGAGGTAAATCACTTGACGCTAGTTCTTCAATGTCAAGATTGCTTGTGTTTGGTAGCATATCATCTTCATGGTATGCATTTCTAATGTTAACCCAAAACAATTGTTCAGGTGTTTTGTTTCCTTCTGTAGATATTTTATGGCTGTTGTGAGCAGCAACAAACTCGTCAAGGATTTTGTTGATTCGTGGCAGATACACTGAATGGAGGCAAAATATATCAGTGTCATTATTGACATTCAATACACCTTCACTTTCAAGTGCATAAAATTCAGATCTAAAACTTGTTAGAACTTGTTCATTTAGTGCTCTGTTATGTCTTTCGATTCTCTGATTGTGCACTGAATTCCTTACAACAACCGGCTTAGTTTCATTGCCTCGTGTTAAAATCATGTTGTGCCAGATGTCAACATTTTCGCCACCAAGATCGGTACGAATTCTATAAGGACGCCCATACTTCGAGACAGCACATAAGAAGTGATATAGAACAGTAGTTGCTCGATTGTTTGAAGAACAATGTGCAAATACCACTAATCGACTAAAACCATCGATACCATGGTGTATGACAAGTCGCCATCTAACAAGTTTATGGTTCCCATCAATATGCCAAATATAGTTGGGAAAAGGATTAGTATAAATGCGACGCTTTATTGGTTTACCTTTTCTCTCTTCGACACCTAATGGATCAACCATATGAATGACTTTTCTCACTTTTTGTCGCTGAATGTAAAGACCCCTAGATTCAAGGTACCCTTGAACCATGACCTCGCCAGCCTTAGGATGATTTTGTTTAATGGCGTGCACTACTTTCTCTATTTCGTCTTGTGACAATTGTGAAAAGTTTTCTCGATACAACACATACTCCGGCATTGCTTTGTAGACCACTGACCTGTCGACTTTCAACTGTCTGGCAATTTCCACAATCGTAAGTCGTAACTGAAGCAAATTTTCCAATACATCCCTTGGAATTATTTTCTTTGGTCGACCAACTCTTCCTGAATTGTTACTGATTAAAATGAAATGAGTTCAATACAAATGTAGTACTATAGAAATACCACATAATATTTGCTAAGTTTTCTTACCCCTCATTTTCATCATTTGAGTTGGAATTCTGGCAAAGTTATAAATTTATCAAAATTTAACGATGTTTTCACTTGGATGCACCCATATACACTAGAATGTTACCTGTGGTTCATTATTATTTTCGTGGGCAGTAGCTGCATCAGAGGACTAAAATTGTAAGAATTTTATCACGTAAAATCGACGACCTCGTGATTCGACGCATATCACACATTGAATATTTACAAGTATGAACGGAGAATATTTTGCTTTGTATCTTACCTCTTCATGTTGATCTCGCAGTGCCTCGTGTACTGCTCTTCCTACGGCCTCGGTAATTGCTCTTTGGAGATTGTGCGTTTGAGACATATTTATTTGACAAAAAAGACAAATAGAAAACACGCCGAGCGGGAAACTTAAGGCCTAATTCCACGGCAGCGAAATGCGAAATAGTTCGCGGGAAACTGATATAACGCATGCGCACCCTTGCCATGAGGCATTTCTCGGCGAAAAATTTCTGTTTCGCCAAAGTTGAAATTGTTTCAACTCTCAAGCGAAAAAAACCAGCGAAACCAATGAAATAACTGCTTTGTAAACAAAATTTAATATGGCGTCTCTGGAAATCAACATGACTAGTCTTTCGGAAGACACAGCTCTATTACTTCATAGCATAAATGCCAACGAAACTCCCGATTTCCATGATGATTTTTGTGAAATACTTATTAGCGAAGTTCAGTCTTTGCCAATTTTATGGATGAGAGAATCCCCTGATTTCAAACGGTCAGACAAGAAAAGGATTGTCTGGGCAAATTTAGCAAAAAAACTTAATCGCGATGGTGAGTACATGGTTTAGTTTGGTGTGTTTTCTGCCAAGCCTTCAGGTGAAGGTGCACCTTGAACATGCTATAAGTAATAAGAAAGAGTACACAGAAGTTACATATTTCATGCATGTTTTATTTTTTCCAAGTTTTTTAAGTGCCCTACTGTTTACATCAGTGACTTCTATATTTACTAGAGTATGGTGTGGGATGAAATTATGCAAGGCTCTCCCTTTACAGATTATGTCATAGGCAGTTCAGGAACTCTGATGTTCGAGATTTTGCAACTTGGTGGATACAGTTGAATTTTTTGTGAATTGTACTGCACCACATCTAGTCATCAATTGCATGGTTAAAAATGCAGTTGCCTAAATAATAAAAGATCTTTGTGTTAATTGTGTTCACTAGCTTAATTTCTTGAATTTTTTTATTTAACTTTTTTAAATAACTTTCTGAAAAACAAGTGGAAAAATCTCTGTGATAGCTTCAAAAAATGTCTTGACAGAGAAAGAGATATGAGCAGGTCAGGTGCAGGTGCTTATAAGCCACCTCGCTGCAGACATTTTAGTCAATTGGCATTCCTTCGGGATACACTAAGTAATCGCACCAGCCATAGCAACGTTACCATCCAGTCTGTTGAACCACAACATTCACAACACCAGTCCCCATCCTCGTCTACATCATCAGAACCTATTTCCTGTGCAGAAGGTATTTTAAATCAAAGCTTCCCTAATGTTGAACCTCAGGCAACTATAGTTCATCGTAAAAGGAAAAAAAATGATGACATGGATCCTATTGATCACTACTTAATTAATGCCATAAAAGAAAAAGATCAAGGCAGTGATAAGAAAGAACATGAAGATGAAGATTTCTTTTTTTGTAAAAGTATTGTGGATGTTTTGAGAAAGTTCCCAAGAAAAAAAAGTCTGGAAATAAAAATAAAAATTCAACAGATTCTTCTGGAAGAGATGGATGATGAATGAGGGAAATGTGAATATTCACTTTGTTTTGTCTGACAGGTTTATGTTTTGTTTGTAAGTTTTGTTGTGATGCTTTTTATTTTAAAAAAAAATTTGAATTCCTTGCATGAATCATGATCATTTCCCATGCAAATTTTAGGGATGACATTAATGTCTTTTAAATAAAGTTATCATGATTTGTGGCAATTATTTACATCAACATCATATGCATGCCATTGCCAAGGGACCTCTCCTTCCTTTGAATTAAAATATTTACAAAAATTGTCTCTTACTTCTTTAGCATCTTTTGCATAGTTGTTTGAACCAACTCTTGATATTTGACCCAAACCAGTTGTATCAACTACCATATCTCGCCAGTCCCCCTCCTTTGAAATGTCCATTGATTTCATGGTCAACAAAACCTAATGGACAGTATCGGTTAGCATATGTCTTTCCATTCATTAGGTAATTATGCAAAGCAACACAAGCTTTGGTAATTGAAATAACTGTGTCAACTTTTGCATGAATTGGACGTCTAAATATTCGGAATCTTGCAGCCAATATTCCAAACGAGTTTTCAATTATACGCCTGGCTCTTGATATGCGATAGTTGGTCACAAGTTTCCTTATGTCCAAATTAGGATTTGCATAAGGCTTCATCAAGTTCTGACGTAATGGGAATGCATCATCTCCAAGAAAGACAAATGGAAATAAAACATTTGAACTGTCTATCTGTCTTGGTCTAGGCACTGGCAGGAGATTCTTAAGAATAGAACAGCCAAGATTGCTATTAGAAAATACACCACCATCACTTTGCCTGCCTGCTTCCCCAATATCGACCATTGTAAATTGGTAGTTTCCATTACAAACTGCTAGCAGCACAATTGAGAAAGTTTTTTTATAATTGAAAAACAGTGAACCACTCCTAGCAGGTGCTTGAATGAGTACATGTTTTCCATCAATGCACCCCAAGCAATTAGGAAAATTCCAACGTTTTTCAAACAATTTGGCAATTGCTAACCAATCTTCTGGTGCTTTAGGCATGTTCAAAATGTTTTTCTCCAACATTGCTTCCCAAATAGCATTCGATGTTTCGCTGACAATCTTTGATATTGTGGTTTCTCCAATTCTATAACTCATCGATATGGTTGAGAAAGAGTCACCCGTTGCTAAATAGCGCATAGTCACACATAATCTATCTTCAGGTTTTATAACATCTCTCCGAGTTTCCTGTTTATAAATTTTTGGCGCTATCCAGCTTAAAACCTCTTCCATCTGGCTAGGATCCATCCTGAATTGCTTAAAAAACAACTCATGGTCGTGCAGTTTCAACTCCTGTACTAAGTTCACAAATTCCCCTCGTATTGCAAGACTTTTAAAAAGCTTTCTGACCCAAAATCTCTTTTTGTATTTTTTCAAACGTCGTTTTCTTCTTCGGTATATCAAGAGCAGGCAAATTAATTGCTTGCGGCTGAACTCCATATTGCTATATTATTTAAAAGTTGGCGCTCTTTTTCTTATGCGTGGAAATCAAATTACAGGAGAAAATTTCGCAGAAAGAAAATTTCGCGCGAACTATTTCGCATTTCGCTGCCGTGGAATTAGGCCTTTACAGACAAAATGAAATTTTTCGCGACAAGCGATCTAATTTCAATAACGCGACAGTGCGGAAATGAGTGCTTATTCAGGGGGGGACTGAGAAAATTATTTTATTGCTTGCTGACGTCATTTGGCACGCCAAGTGTCTCGAAATTATTTTGGTTATTTATAAATAACCATTTTTCCGCGTGCGCGGAAGCGCGGAAACTGGTTATTTATAAATAACCATTTTTTCCGCGTGCGCAGAAACTGGTTATTTAATAAATAACCAATTTTCGGCGTGTGTAGAAACTGGTTATTTAATAAATAACCAATTTTCGATGTTTTCATAAAGTGGTTATTTATTAAATAACCAAAATAAGAAATTGGTTATTTAATAAATCAGGGAAAATCACAGTGTTATGCGGTTAAATAATAAAACCACAGATGGCTCCCCATACATGAGGGGTATCGGTCCTATGCGTTTTTATTCCTTTTATATACATCTGATTAAGGCAAAATTTTCATGGCATGTAGAGGAAAACCGGTAGAGAGTTTTAACACTGAAGCTTTTTTTTTTGGCTTTGTAACGACTGAAAAATAAGATTGCAAGTTGTATTGAAATTTGAAAGTTGAAGGTGACGAGGACAATTTCAGCCGTGCGAGGCATTTTTAAAAGATGAATACTTAAATTACAAATTTACAACAAAGTAAGAACAAAGGTATTCATATCTTCAACACATTCATTGATATTGAAGTTGTTCACATGGGAACTGGTTGAAAACTTTGCTTGGCTTAATGACAAAAGAGGTACTTTAATTCGCATATTTTGATGATGCACATCTCATAGAGTTTGATGATACCGTTTCCAACTTACTATTGTTCGTCAAAATGTCTTTCTGATTATTTTTCTATGTGGATTTGTTTTGTTTCTTCACTGATACAATAAAGACGTAATTTGAAATTATTATGATATTAGCGATGTGAATAACAAGTGTTGTTAAATAAGTAAATTTGTAGCAATCTCCCATAAACGTCATTGCAGATGAAATTTTGGTAGCAGTAGTAGGATTCTGTGATATTTCTACATTTTTCAAGAAGCAGCAACATCATAGAATCTCCAGTTTGTTTCAAAACAATGCAGGTCGACCTTGTACCGTCTCAATTTTCTGCCATTATAAAGCCAAGAAGACAAACTTTTTAGGATTAAATATCTTTGCCGGTTGTTCTGTCACTTTCACAAAAATTTTGCTCAAATCAAAAGTTTGTAGAACGAATAAAAATGCAAAAACTGTGATTTTGTAATACAAAAGTATAGTAAAGGCTTCAAATATCTTACTATATATTACACATGGATGTGTAATATACATATCAGTGATATGATCCAATCCTGATTAATTATCTAAGTGGATGGAGTAACCGAAATGATGATGAATGTGATGACGCCAGAAAGTAACAGCCAAATGAATTGACCAGAGATTCAGAGAAGTCTAGAAATGTAACTGACTTATTGAGTTTACTGGATTTTATCTGTGCTAAAATGCCTGTTTTTCATAAAAGATTCATTTAAATTTCAGTAAATTTTTGAAAAACAAACTGTCAAAGACAGTCCAGCAACAGTTTTTAACGCTAAAAACATCATTTTTAGTCAGATGATGTCTTGAGCCAAAGCCTGTAGCCATTAAATGGTTTTGACAAAAAAATTTATAAAAATTTTGTCAGTTTTTTCTTATTTTTCAATGTTAAGTTTCCGTTTTTCTATATTTTTTCATTTTCATAGCCATTTCTAAGGTTTAATTTTTGTGATAGATTTGATGTTTACATAATCAATACTGACGACGATGGTACATATTCATGTTATTTTTGCAAAGTTGGCAACTAAGCTTTACCATAAGAAAGAAGGCAAAACTTTTAGCTGTAATGATTGCAAAATGATTGACTGTTATCTGTTATTTGCTATTATAGTAAGAAGAAAATACGTAATTCTGTACTATTCCAAAGTATATTACATAGCAGCTAAAACGTTAATTACATTCTTACTTCTTTATCTGCTTCACTTCTAGAGTTTCAAAAATAAGAATGATAATGGAAATTCTTAAAAGATACAGCTCATTACAGAATATTGATCTTGAAAAAATTCGTAAACCAAATTGGATTTTAACAGAAAATGGATGGGGTCTTTGAAGCGGAAGAAGTTTTTGATCTTAAAAGAAGAAAATAATAGTTTTATGTCTAAGTTTGTGCAGTAACATCTGACCAAGCTATGCAGTTTTCGTTTCGTGATTTGTGAGTAGTGGCCAATGTAAGGTAGCTTGAAGTAATGGATTTGGAGTCTGGCTTGTTTGTGGTCTTGTTCATTGTTGGTTGTGTTAGAGTTAGTGTTTTTGTTATAGGTTTTTATTACTTGGTTTATGAAATGTAAGGAATATGAGTTACGTTTTAGAATGTCGATAAATTCGATTAGGTCACTTTTGTAACCTGTTTGTGTGTTGTTGATTTTTTTAATGCGATGAAGAAGAGTTTTTATGAGTCCTGTCTTGTATCTTTGTGGAGTGAAGCTAAAAAAATTCAATAAAATCCGGTGTATGTTTTCTCATGGAAAATTGATGTTGTTAAGGTTTTGGATTTAGAGTTTTTAGTTATTTTAGTTATAAGTACGTCCAGGAAAGGTAATTACTTGTCTTGTTCTTTGTCCTAAGTAAATTTAATGTTCTTGTGTTGTTGATTCAGATAATTGAAAAAATATGAGGCATTGTTTTCGTTATTAAAATTACAAAAAATGTCGTCTACGTAGCGTCTGTAAAAAAGTACGTCAGGTCGTTATAGTGTTTTATCCAATTCTTTCATAGTGACCCATAAAAATATTGGCTAGTGATGTTGCTAATGGGCACCCCATTGCAACTCCGTCAATTTGGTCGTTAAAGTTTCCGTTTAATAGAAAGTGTGTTTGGCTTGTGGCAATAAGAAAAAGATGTTTGAGGTCAAGTCTGTTGATGAGGAGGTTTGGTTGATGTAAGTAAGGTCTAATGCAATGTCAATGGTTTCATTTAGTGGAATGTTGGTGAACAGGCTTTGGACAAAAGTAAAAAATCCAATAAAAAGGAAAAGAAAATAAGCACATCGAATATCAAGAATAAGCTTGATGCGAAACATTTTAATATAAAACCAAAAATGAAATAAACCCTGGGAAACTGAAATATTTATCTTCTATTAAAAAGACAAAATGAATATTTTTTAAACGTAGAAAGACATCAATGATGCACGTAAAAGATGTATTTATAAAAAAGATGTGCATAGTACTGAAAATATTCAAATAAAATGTTTTTATCAATTTTTTAGCATTTTCCGTCTTCTAGTAGTTTGTCGGATGAATACATTTTCATTGTGTTTATTTTATAATGGGTTCTATAACAACTGGAGCGGCTGTCTCAATCACGGCTTTAGGTATCGGATAGTGAAAAAAGTGAGCTGTGATATAAACTGGAACGATAACTCCTGTAGTTTTGTCCCCCCCTGAAATAATGCGTTTTTCGATCATTTGTTTTGATTGTTTTCTTCGCGACGGACGTTTGTTCTGGCCTCTTGGCAGTTAAAAAACGTGAATAATTATTTATTGTTGCATTTTTGACAGATTTCGTGTTTAAAAATCGCATCTACCATACTTAATGTATGCTACAGCAAGATATTTTCGAAGAGAAAATAATCGGCAAGAATCGAGGACAATCTATCGACTAAATAATACTATAAATTATGTTCCAGTGGTATATCTTATTTGATGACCTACAATTTTCGTTGTTTATTTATTGTTTTCTTTTTACAATACGTACCAAGCTTACCGGCTCGTTTTATGAACGTGTTTCTTTTCTTTTCTATCTTTTTATCCTTTACACTGACAGCATAACAGCTATATGTAATGTATTTAGATGAAAATCTTGATTTTATGCACTTACATTTTAAACAAAGCTTTTTAGAAATTAAACTCTTTTTTCAAGGATCTTGAACTTTCTTAATGACAAGCTGTATACAGGAGTTTAATTGCATAAGCGAATAATAATTTTATTGCTTTCACGTGTTATTTTGTAGTTTAAATTGTAAATAGGAGATATGTCAATCAGGGAGAAACAAAGAGAGGGTAGGACCAATGTGTTAATTTATTGTTAAAGCACAAGCAAAACGACATATATTTAATAGTTTTAGTTACATAAAGAGCGTTGATCTAAGCCATGCGGTGTCGAGCAGAACACAAGTCAAAGTGTGAAAATTTTTAAATTAGCATACAATAAGTAGTGCTTACTAGATCATGTGACTAGCACTATGATCAGATGTATAATACTTTGTTTAATACATATGTAATGTATCGTCATTCATAACACAATGAACTCTAATACAACTGGAAGGCTAACTCAATATATAAATGCCTAAACTTCTGTAAAGCCCTCGAGTCCTATACTAACTGGAGTGACTCTCTCCAACACAGCTTTAATTAGCGGCTGACGCCTAAAAAAATGGAGGATTTGTTCCATTATCGCTGAGATTTACCGAAATTGACTGCTTTTCCGAAAATCTCATAATTTCTCTCTCCCCCCTCAAGAAAGAGTGAGGAAAAAGTGTTTTTCGCATATTTGGCAAGCATTTTATGATGAAAATCACTGTAAAAACATAAATTTCATAAAAGTGAGTCTACTGTGGTTGCCAGTTGTCGGCTTTTACCACGGATGCCTTTTTTAACTATTGACGAACGAACTACTTGTTGGCCATATATGAATGCAAATGTGCGCGTCGTAACTGTCGTTCAATGATTTGCTTGATATCAAAGTTTGTAGTCTGCACCAAGCCAAATATATCATATTTTATCTCAGCAGACTACAAACTTTGCTTTCTTTCATGTGATGGCCTTCTTCGCA